CGAAGGCGGTGCCGCCGGACCCAGCGCGGCGGCGGTGGCTGCTGCGGCTGTACGGCTGTTGCTGCTGGTGCTGGTGCTGGTTCTGCTCGCCGTGGCGCTGGTAGCCCGCCGTCTGGACGTCGAAGAAGTTGTGGGACGCGCGGGGCGACGGCTCCGTTCGCGTGTCGGACGGCGTGTTGGCCTCGCCGCCGCCGCCGCCGCCGGCGACGCTCATGGGTGGCGTTGTCTGGTAGGGACCACCGCCGCCGGTGGTGAATTGGACGGGGTAAGGGACTGGTCGGGAAAAGGCCGCGTCGCCCGGATACGACGGGTGGCGCTGGTGGTGCGACGACGGCCAGGCGGCGGCGGCGGCGGACGAAGGGCTGTTTGTGGGCGATGAATGGGACCCTGTCGCGTATCCCGGCATCCCCTGGACCGACCCGATCCTGAGCCCGAGGCCGGTCAGGTGGCCGCTGTTGTTGTTGTTGTGGTGGCCGTACTGACGGGCCTGGTCGGCAGGCTGCTGCTGCTGCGAGCCGCCGCTCGGGTTGCGCGACATGGGGAGGGACGAGTACCCGTCCGGCGGCGAGGGCGAGTAGGTCATGTCGGGCGGGTGGACGTTGATGCGGTACGGGCTCTGGCGGTACCCTTGGAGCCCCTGCCTCTCTCGCTGGCCTGGGCTGGCAGGGTTGTGGCGGGGGTAGTAGTAGCCATCGCCGTGGGCGCCCTCGGCCTCGAGCCCGCTCTCTCCGTCGCGCATCGACGGCATCGATCGGGTCACGTTTATGTTCGCATGCCCGTTCTCGTGGTATTCCTCCTCGCCGTCGGGAAACGAGCCGAGAAGCTCGGTGGAGTCGATGTACCCAAGCCCCTTTCTGAACGGGTGCTGCAGATCGGACTCCCACCGCTGCACCGGAGGCCCCGCCCCGGGGAGGGACTGGAAATGGGGGCAGCCGTTGTACGGCGCATCCTGTCCACCTGCGAACTCGTTGGGTGGCGAGCCTGGCGGAGGGGGAGGCGGAGGAGGGCGGAAGCCCGATGTTGCTTGTCCTGGGCTCGCCTGAGCCGAGCGCCGGCCAAGGAATGCGGGCGAGTGATGCCGTTGCGGCGACTGATGTGGGCTCCCATTGGCGTTTAGAGATGCCGGTGTCCCGCTTGATTCCCTGGACGGGCCCTCCTGGGGCCCTGGCGCTTGTGCGGCCGCCTTGCGAGGCTTTGGGGTCGGGCTCGGCGTGTTCTTCTCGCGGCCCTCGTTGTCACCGCCGCCAGAACCCGCGCTTGCCGGGTTGCTGCCAGAGCTTGACGCGCGGGCACGGAATTGGTCCCGGAGGCGGAGAAGGACATTCTGCGTCTTCTCTGTCCAGCTTGAGGGCGATGCCCCCTGGGACTCTGACGGAAGGTAGTCGGTGAAAAACTCGCCGGTTGGCCCGCCCGTCTCGTCTTGGTGCTCCAGTCCGGCCCCCCTGCTGCTCGTCCCTGCGGCAACGCTGGCCCAGCTCTTGGGTCGCACCTTCATTCCCAGCCGCGCCGTCCTGGCCGAGCCCGGCGCGGCGGCCTGCGCGCCATCCTGGACCTGGGCGACGACTTCGAGAGCGACATCTGTGGAGGGGATCGCCAGGGGCGGGAATGGCGGGGGTCTCGCGGCGTCTTTCAGCCTGTTGAGGGTTGCTAGGATCACGTTGGCGCCCCTTGGTGACGACGTGGCTGGGGGCACAACGGCGCGCTGATTCCGCTTCTCCTGTTGCGCAACTGAGGCGTCGGATCCGATGATGCCTTTGGCCGTCTGGCGACTGAAAGTCATGGTGCCGCGTGGGCCTCCCTGGAAAGTCTGGCGTTTCAGAGACATGGTGTTTCGTGGGTCGTTCTCGCTCCGCAGGGCGCCGAGGGTGTCGTGATAGCGGCGGCTCTCGTTCTTCTTCACCGTCCTGTGTGACTTGGTGCTGATTTTGCGGCCTGGTACGGTATGCCAAGGCGGCGAGTTTGGAGGCTCAGGGTTGACCGAGGGTGGAGGCATCCGCGGCGATGGCACTGGCGGCACTTCGGTGTCGCCGTCGTCGTCGCCGTCGTATGAAGCCGGCCCAGGCATGAGTATGCCCCCTTCTGTTCCCTGCGGATACGGCGTCGGGCCCGAGGGAGGGAGATAGGGTACATGGAAGTGTACAGGGTCGATGTCCTCGTAGTGAAAGTAGGAGCCAGACGGATGGTGCATCTCGGTGGGGGATTCGTGATAGCCCGAATCATCGTCCCCGCGACCGGCCGCGCCTCTACCGGCGCCGATAGAGCCATCGGGATCTGGCGTCCAAGCACCGCCGCCGTTTTCCCAAATGCTGTGGTGGCTTCCCGAGCCGCTCATGCTATCGTCCTCGGAGCGACTGTCACTACGCTCAAACACCGAGGAGCGCGAGACCTCGTTGGATCCTGCGACGATGTGAGCGGCGACCTCGCGGCTCAGCTGTTTGATGGGGTCGGAGCAGAGGTCGCACCGCTCCTTGAGCTTTGCGTGGAGCGAGGTGAGGCACTGGACCTCATCGGGCGTCGGCTTGCGCTCTAGCCGGCGGTTGACGTGGGCAAGCAGCTTCCGGCCGTGGATTTGGAGGCGGCGGTAGTCGTCGGGCAGCCCGACCTTGGGGTCGTTGTGTATACGCCCGTCGGCGTCGTCGAACGCGCGGCAGAAGACGGTGGCGGCCCTCTCGAGCCAGAAGAGATGCGCCTTCTTCTCCATTAGCATCTCGATGAAGAATGCCTGCACTACGCTATGCACCCGGAGAATGTCCAGGTACTCGGCGTTTCGGTCAAAGTCTTGTCTGGAGCTCCGCGAGCTTGCCGGCGATATGTCGTCGCTCTCGACCCTATCGACGAGCGCAAACATGATGAGCACCTTCAACGTGTTGGTAAGGCTGGATTTGCTATCTCTAGCGTCGCGGGTCCTCCAGGGGGTTCTCTTGTCTAGTGCGTGTAAGCCTGTCGGTTAGAAAAAAGAAAAGATGGTGTCAGTGTGAGCTCGAGGGTCCTTTCTTGCGCTGATTCTAGCCATCTGAGCGCGGCAGTGAGGAGAGCCTACCAAGAGCAACCATCTCAACTGGGATATGCGAATCAAAAAAGACCAATATGAACATCAGATTCAATGCGGCGTTTTGGTCGCCTCGACTGTCCAACTGGTCATAGACAGCCCTGTAGGCTGACAGGCTACCGGCCTTTTGTCGGCTCGGGAACGAGCGGAGATACTTGGACAGCGGCTCACGCGTGGCCTTGAGCTGCTGCGCGGCAACGTGGATCATCAGGGGTAGCCTATCCATGAGCCGCACGAGCTCGAGGGCGCGCTCGAGGTCGTCACGAGACCACGGCTTGGGCTTGTTCATCTCGGTGAGCAGCAGCTCCTGCGCCTCCTGGGCCGAGAGGAGCGGCAGTTCTATGACTTGTGGGCTGTCAAAGCTGTTATCCCCCGACGCGGTGCCGTCTGTGGAAGTGTAGATGATTGCCGTTTCTCGCCGATCGGGGATGAAGCGCTTTATGTCCGGGGTGTCGAATCGGATGCCGTCAAAGACGATAAGCCAGCCGTCAAAGGTCTGGAACCACTCGCGCACCATCTCGACGACCTGATCTGGATTCTGCAGTTGGTTTTTGGTCATGCCTGCCGCGTTTTGGAGGGAGCCCGGGATGACACGCTCTTTTGCGATACTCCAAAACCAGTACTCCATCTCGTGAACGGATTTGGCCTGGATCCAGAAGACGCCATGCGGGTAGTCAGCCTTGTGTTTGAAGACATATTGCTGTGCCAGGTGCGTCTTGCCGCCGCCTGGGAGACACTGTATCAGCACAGCTGAAGTGCCCATGTCCCTGCGGCCCTTGTCCATCAGCATCTTATGTAGCATTTTCATTTCCTGCTGCCGACCGACGTTATGAAAGTTGGGCCTGAACGGCTCAGGGTGTATGAAGATGTGGTCGTGGAGGCCCGAGCTGGGACGATGTGGCAGGCCTGCATGTGTCCCGTCGTGTAGGACTGGGCCTAAAGCCTGAGGCGTCGTCTCGGGACCACCAAGAATGGCGGGTGCGTGGGTAGGATCGGCAAGCGACGGTGTAGTATTTGTGTCTCTTCTGACATCTATTTCAACGAGAACGCCACCCGTACCCAAAGCAGCTTATATCAGCTCACGTTCCTTGTCTATCCTATGAAGGATCAAAGGATACTCATCACCGTCTCGCCTGCCCCGCCGAGACCTTGTCCTCCTCGTCTTCCATCACCTCTACCTCGAATGCCGGCTGTGAAGCGGCTGTGCGAGGCGCGAGGATGAGGCCCGGCCCTCGGGGAACGCCACCAGACGAGGAACTAGCGCCAACCACCCCAGAAAATTGGGGGTACATACCAAGCTCGAGTTGCTGGGCCTGGCTGGAGCCAGATGGACTGGTGGGCATCTATGGTTGTGTCAGTGTGTAAGCGCAATAGGCAGGCGTGAAAACCGGAGGGTGTGGAAAGGAGTGAGCGGATAGCACGCCACGGGATTCTGCTGCTGGGAATCATCACGTACATAGGGCATCCCCATCTCATGCATTTGGTTCACTGTCTTCATCCGGCGATCCTCCTCCTCGACCTTCCATCGCATCTCGACAAACGGGGCTGCTTCGGCAACCCAGTCGCGCAGCGTGGTCGACACAATGCGGTAGCCGGGGGCATCAGCGCTGTCGTACTTGCACATGCCCGAGTGCGTCGCGTCGATGCCGTAGTAGGTGACACCAGGGAGCTGGGGCCCGGCCGAGTTTGCGTCAACGACGAGGATCTTGTGTCCCTTGATTGGGGTCTTGAAGTTCTCGTGCACCATGTGGATCCTGAAGCGCTGATAGATGTCAAGAAAGTGGTTGTTGATGGCCTGGAGCGTCTCATTATCCTTCTTGAGTGTGCGGAGCAGAACCGACTCGGTCTCGAAGATGCCCTTGGGCACAACCGCGTCCGACATGGCTTGGAGGACAGTGCCCCAGACGGCCAGGTTAGAGCCGGTGTGAGGCGTGCCGAGGAACAGGATGCCATACGTTGACACATATATGGACCTCAGAGGCTCCTGGTCCCTGTTCTGGAGATCGTTGGAGTACAGGAGCGCACGCTTGACCAGGATACCGCCGAGGCTGTGTGCTACCCATATGATGGGATTGCGGGTTGTCTCCTCGCTTCTGCGGTAGATGCTAAGTTTGGCGACGAGCGTCTGCGCGTGGACGTGGATGAAGTTGTCACTGGGGCTCCTGAGCGGCGTCTCTGTCAGCAAGGGATACCCGACAGGGGAGATGCGTACGTAGTGAGAGAACAGATGAGTTACGAGTGGTGCCGGAGGCAGCTGGGGTGTCGTACTTGTCCTTGCGATTCGAGTACACGTCCGCGTTATAGCCGTATACCAGGATGTTGGCATGGCGCCCCTTGAGCGAGGGTGGGAGGAGGTCGGCGGGCCAGTAGACGCCATTATCCTTGGCCGCCCATGTCCGCTTTGGCTCCCCGTTCAGGCCATGAACGAGAACAATGTCGACCTTGGCGTCGGGATGGGTGTAGACGGCGCTCACGTCATAGCGATTGGGCTGCCGGTTGATTGTGCCCTGTTCAGTTGCGTGTCAGCACACTGCCGTAAGTGGAGTTGAGCACAGGCTCCCGCAGCGACATCTCCAGTGCGGGCCGCCCCGTGGCTCCATCTCGTGTTGGAGCTGAGAGCGAGGGATAAAGAAGAGGTGGTGGCATGTTCTATTGGGGATGATAGAGCATGGTCTGATGCCATGTTTTGCGCCGTCACGTCCCTTGCAGATGGCACAGCATCCAAGGCTGCTGGCTACCGTCGAAATCGGAACCAGCAACCATTGGGTAGGTAGACAGATTAATCGTGTGGTGTAGGACCGGAGCGGGGAAGCGCAGATTGTGAAAGCTGCGCCAACAACCTGAGCCGCGCGACACAAAGGAGGGAGGCCCTGACCCAGTTAACATTTCACTTACCATGCTTTATAAGACGACAGCTGTCGGGTGCCGGTGCCCGAGTTGGCACACAGGCACAGGCTTCCTTTCTAATCTGACCAAGGGCGGAGTATCGAGATGATCGGAGGCTTGGAGAGTTCCTGTTCTGCTCGAAAAGCTGAAAATTTCGGTGTTTGATCGAAGCAGAAGTCGCTGCCCAGCACTGCAGGTGAAACAGGGATCCGCGCTGAGAAAGGAGACAAGAGGGGTAGTCCGGTGGACAACGAGCAAGGTACAGAGAAGATGCAGCAATGCAATATGTCGAAAGGAAAGGGGGTGGGAGAGCTTTATACAAGAGAAACGAAAGGAAAATCCAGGAGCGATGCCATGGGGCAAAAGAAAAAGAAAGAGTAATAGAAGAGGAAGAAGGGAAGAAAATTGTTGGAAGCGTCAAAACGAGGAAGGGGTCCATCCAGTTGCCTCTTTGCTCGGTCAAGGCATCCAGAGAGAGGGCAGGCAGGCAGCGCCGGGCCAGGGGTATCTTAGCACGGCGAATCGAGCGACGAGCGACTGGCCTGTCAAAAAGGAAAGAAAAAAAAAGAAATCATTGGCTGGTATCCCAAAGAAAGACCGACGGCCCAGACACATCATAACCAATCTGGCATTATGTACCCAGCCAGCCCAGCGCCGAGCCCGTCGACGGGTCACATTGGACAGGGCGCCATCGGGAGGATTTCGAAATGCGACGGACACTTGCGAGGGGGCCAGAGAGCAGTGAGGAATAAACCGCTGCCCGCCAAAAAAAACCCCCCAAAAAAAACCAGCAATGTGGCTGTTGCTGTCACGCGGCGCCCATACCCGTCCGTTTGAGGGACCAGCTGAGCTTGTGTTGATGTCCGGGCTCTGGTTCTGCCTCCCCCTGCTTTTCTTCGCCCCTCACACCCCCAACACTAGCAAGAAACTGCCCGGGGAGACCCACTGTGTGCGCCCACACCCCTCAGGGGCGGGAGCGCTGACAGCCGCACCACCCATCTCCACGACGCCGTCGAGTTATTATGGAAATTGCACGGCATATGTGGGTGGGTGGTGGTCACAGAGGGCTGACCACCCCCAAGATGGCAGTCGGTCGGCTTCCGCCCAACCCCGCAGGTTTTGCTTTCTTTCTTATTCTCTTCTTCTCTTTTTTCTCTCTCGCAGGCCCAGGATAAGCGCAGATAAGAGAGGGAACATGAACGAGACAAATGAGGGCAGTGCAATAGTGGCCAGAATCAAACCTATGCGTACTATGCGTACACGCCCCCATCCCTTTACCCCTGCCCCTCCAGGCCGCGTCGGCGGAGGCCATCCCCGTTCCTAGCTTCGATTCGCCGCCGCTCGCTTCCAGGATTCAGGGACTTGGAAGACCGGTAAGGCTCCGCCTCCGCGTCCTCCTGGAGAGGGCTGCCTCAATCCTGGGACAGTGGGTTTCGTGGCTTCATCCTATTCCATGCGGGGGGCCATTAGCCCCAGGTTGCATAGGCGGGCTTTTGAGCGGGCGGGCGGCCACGAAATGCGATCCCAGACCACACGCAGCATTCACGACAGACATGTTTTTGAGGATTTGATCCATGAAATAGTGCTCCTGTTAACACCTTCGGTACTTGACCATGTCAAGTGTCGTGTGGGCGGCATGGGTCGTTACGAAGCACCAGCTCACAAGGAGGCGGTCACAAGCGACAATGTCTCGGAAGCTCGCCCCCCCCCTTTGACGTAACCTGAAAACCGAGCATACAAAGTCACGAGGAACAGTCTGTATTCAAGACCGGGGTTGGGTATATGCGCTTGTTACTTTTCATTTGTTACTTGAATGGCTATCACTGCAAAGGGCTTGAAAATGCGGCCCGCTGGGTAGGTACCCTAGTCTGCTGCTGCCTTGAGTTGCATGAAAAAGAACAGAAGCTCCTACTCGAGTACCCGTCTAGCTCGCGGAGGCTTCATTCTCCAGAGCGGTGCCCGGAAATGTTCCGCTGCTCACGGGGCGTTACGTTTGGCTCACCTGCCTTTGATTTCGCCTTGCCTTTCAGTTTTTTACCATGAAAAACTCGCGGGGTGTTCATTACCCACTGCTCCACGCCTCGTTATCTTGTCGTCTGCCGAGATGTCTCCGATCACATCTGCACCTCGCCTGGGGCCTCACACCCTCCTTGGGGCGCATCGCCGGGTACCTGCGTGACACAGGGAGAAGAAAAAAAGGACACACAGGAAACACGAGGCTTTGACATCCCGCATACCATCATGCTTCTGAAACAGGCCTTGGGGAGGCAGAAAGCCCGATCGTTGCCCTCTTGCAAGCCACCTGATGACTGCGTGAACACGAGGCCTCAATGACGGGGCAATGGCCGGGGATGCGCGTTCGAGCTACTTCACGGCGTGCCCGATGTTGGTTCAGGAGGCGACATCCGTTCTCGGACAAACCCATAGTACAAGGTGTGCGGTATAAGCCGTGAGCCGTGACGACTGACATGTCAAATTTCTTCTTCGACTTCTCTGGTGGCGTCCATTTTTTTTTTTCTTCTCGCATACGCCCATGAGGCAGAAGAGAAAATGTGGTGACGCAACCAAGCCGGCGACGCTCACCGAGCTGTCATCGAGGGGATGAGGCCGGTTGAGTCACGCAGAACCGTGGACCCACCGGAGCTTGGGAGTGTCTTCGGTGTTGAAAATGAGGCGGGCGGGCGTTGACGAAGTGAGGCTCGAGGGTGAAAACGACCTATCGGCAAAACTTGTCGGCCATGGAAAGCGAGCGAAAACGGCAGGCTCTGAGCGAGGCCGGAGGACAAAGAGGAAAAAGAGGCCATGTTGGCGCTTGTGATGCTCAGTCACACGTTTGCCGGCGCCTGCGAGTTGCTGGGCTCGAGAGACATGGGTGCGCAGCGAGTCTCAGCCTCAAGACGTCCGGGGTTATGCAGGGGAGGCTCCCGCTATCAAATCGGCGAATGGAGATGGCGGCCCGGGGGGTCGGGGAATTGTGGCTCCGACCAGTGAAAGCCCCCTTAGCGCCAACCGAACGCCAAGAGGGCGCAGCGTGGGCTAGAATATTGACGGGTTAGAAGGTGGGCTCCGAACATGTGCTGTTTTGGTTCATGGAGTGGCGTTCTGGGCCACGTAGTAGCCGCCGCTCGAGAGGCGAGGAGTTACTGCCAGGTTGCGTGTTGAAAGGACACCATACTCTGTCTAGGCAGCCAAGTATCTAGGTATCCATGTACGTAGTTCCGGCCTTGCGCATAGATATCAGGCGCGTGCTCGGTCGATACAGACGTAACATGGTGGGGGGCGTGGTGGTCCCTCCCCCCAGGCACCATCCCTTCCGACTGCTCAGTCCTTGGGCGCCAGCATGACGACGTACTCGCGCGAGCTGAGCCCGAGCTTGACCACGTCCTTGTGCCGCAGCTCCAGGTAGCGGCTGGCGGGGACGCGGTCGCCGTTGAGCACGGTCCCGTTTGCGCTCTCGAGGTCGATGAGGTAGGGCTTGACGCCGCCGACCCGGTCGCCGAACTCGTTGCGCTTCTCGACGTGCCGGAACTGCACCACGGCGTGCTGCTTGCTGATGCTCGGGTGCTCGGCCAGCAGGTCTGTCACGGCCGCGTCCCGGCCCACGAGCCAGCACGAGCGCGATGACAGCGGCACTGTGTCGGCCAGGTCGCCGTCACCCTTGAACACGAAGAGTCGCCAGTCGTCGCGCGAAGGTGGCTTGCGCGCCTCAGGCGGCTCGTGGTACTTGAGCGTGATGACCGTCCCGTCCGCCTGCTGCACTGAGTTGGACGCCGCCGCGAGCGCGCCCGAGACGCCGAAGTTTGGCTGCTCCTTGGGCACCGGCGGCGCCTCCCCGTTGGCGATGGCGTCCATCACGGCGAACGAGTCGGCCTGCGACGGCAGAGGTCCGCCGCGACGCACCGGAGGGCGAGGTGCCTCCTCGCTCTGGCCGGGGCCGTTCTCTATGGCGCGCGCGTTCGTGCCCTCTTCCTTCTTGTGATTGCTCCTCTCTCGATCGTCGCGTGACCGCCTCCTCTTGCGCTCCCTCCTTCCCCGGTCCTCGTCGTCTTGACTGCCGTCTCCGCCCGTCCGTTCATCCCGATTGCGGCGCGACGATCTGCCGTCGCGCTCTGAGTCCCCGTCTCGGCGGCGGCCGCGATCGTTGCCATCTCTGCGGCCGTCGCCTCGGTCTCGGTCTCGGTCTCGATCCTGGTCTCGGTCCCTCCTGTCCCGTGAGCGGCCGCTCCTCCGGTGTTCTCTATGCGCAGGGCTTCGCGAGCGCCTGTGTCGTCGCCTGCTGCGGTCTCTCGATCTCTCGCGCCTCTCGGCGGCGCCGCTTATGTCTTTAGCATCTCCGTCTTCGTTTTCGCGTCGCGTCTTGTGTCTCCGGTCGTCGCGATCGTCGCGGTCGTCGCGCCTCTGCCGCCGGGAGCGATGCCCCTTGTCAGAACCGTCCGAGGTCATGGTCGGCGTAGCGAGACGGCAAGGTTATTGTTTGCAGTGCGTGTGTGAGCGGGGAGGAGTCAAGGGAAGTGCAGATTCTGCCCAATCTTGGGGAGATGGGATTGAGCCTCAATGTGCGCCGGGTCGAAATTTGGGTACTGCTGGGGTCTGGTGACGCGACTGGTGCCTGTCTGGTGCTGAGCGAAGCATTTACAGCGCCCTTTTAGGCCCACACGAACCCACAGCGCCCCAGCCACGGCAAGGTGAGAGCTGATCAATAGCACCAATCCATTCATGGGTCGACGCTGCTTCTTTCCAGATCGCTGGTCTAACAACATTCCCCCAGACACCATTTACACAATTCTTCGAAACAGCTCTGACAGAGTAAGTCAAAAGCACAAATACGGTGGGAAGATATTGAGCCGCTGGTCTCTGGACCCCCACCACCGGGGAGCTCCGAAAGGGCCGCCATGGTCGATGGCCACAGTAAGAATAATATGCACCAGATGATGGGGCAAGCGTGAGCAAGAGAGCATCGTTTACGGAGCTTCTCCCAACTCTCGTCCTTGGCACGCTCAGCGCAGACGCACAAACCCTGGATTGACAACGACCTGGACCTGGGAGCCATTATCATGCGATCTTGATCTCGGCCACCTCGCCCGTCTCGTTCTTCATCTCACCAGCAAGCCTGTATGCCACCCTCCACCTCAGTTTGAACGACTCCACCTTTTTGTTCTTGTCGCCCGCATGCCAGACATCAAGCACTTGCGTGACACCACGGTTCTGCTTGGCAGCCAGGTCCCGGCCGGTTTGTGGCTGTAATTGCGACTCGTACCCCTGAGAAGGTTAAGGAAAGAAAGGTGTCAGTAAGAATAGCCAACCTATCAAGAGGTTGGTCCCCGGATTTCGTGCATGATGATGACGGGCATACCTTCGGGACTGCGGACTGGAAGTGCAACTCCCCCACAGGAGCCGGCGCATTGTTAGAAAACGCGAAATGTAATCTTATCGAGCTGGACCCAGGTGTCGTTCTTTTGGCGATGAGCTCGATCTTGACCGTCGAGTCGGCCATGACCAGCTTCTGCTCCTCAGGCAGAGTTTCCGGCGGGAGAGCCGATGAGAAGGCCCATTCATCGTCATCATTTGCTGCTGCCGCGGCGGGCCCCGGCGGTGCGGGCGGCTGATAGGCCGATCCAGCGGCAGGGGTTGGCGTTGTCGGCTTGGATGTTGACGGAAAGGCGCTGGGGGATGCAAGCACCGCGAACGGGTCCGTGGTAGGCTTGGACGGTGGAGCGAAAAGAGACGACTGGTAGTTCGGGGGCTGGGGCTGCGGGGTGGCCGATTTAGAAGACGGAGGAGGGGCCGACACGAAGGCGGCGAAGGGTGATGCGGACGGGGGCGGCGGGGACACAGTCGCCGGTACGGGCCCCTTTGCGCTGCTTTCTTGGGTCATGGAAGACAGGAGAGCCGGGCCCGGGATGTCTTTGTTTGGCCAGGTTAGCTTTGGACTTTGAAATACAAGACGATGTGCGTCAGGGGTCGAACGGAGGTGCAACCATGGAACTTACTGGTGTTAGCACCGAATCCCAACTGGATACCGCCGGCTTGGCCGAAGCTCTCGCTCTCCTCAATGGAGAGCCCCAGGAGGTCATTCTCAATGCCGGCGGGCTGGGATGGGGCTTGCTGAGAAGAGCCAGCCCCGTTGGCCCCCGAGCCACCGCCACTGTCGCCGTCGAGATCGATGAGGGAAAGCTCGGCTTTGGCGCCGCCACTGGGGGCAGGGCCGTGCTGGCCGCTCGCAATGTTGGAGGCACCAGCATAGTCTCCCTTTTTCAGCAGCTTATAGCGCTCTACTGTCCGGTGTATGCTGTCGTTAATTTCGAGCAGCCTAGCGACGGCTTCGTGGTCGTCCGACTCCTCCTCGCACATCTTTTGGATCTTGGGCTGGGCGCTGGACAGGGCCGAAGCCAGCTCCTCAAAGACATCGCCATCCTGCATCTTGTCGCCCGGCTTAAAGGCCTCGAGCCGCTCCTCGAGCAGCCGCGCCTTTGCCTGGATCTTGGCCACGTCCTCGGCCGCTTTGGCGCGGTAGTCGACCTTGGACCGTGTGTCGTAGCCAGCCATGATCTTCATAAGCCGGTTGGCCTCCTGTAGGTCTTCCGGGGTGCCACGCCGAATGAGCTCCTGGAGCTTCGCAGACTGCGCCTCACGCTCCTCCTCTTCCATCTCCTCGACAGACTTGAGGTTCTGTTTGTCCATGCGCGCAAGCGCAAGGGGTCAGCAAGACTGTTGCAGCTGCAGTATACACGCCACATATCTGTTTGGAAGAGAGAAGGGCGTTGCAGCACTTACATCGCTCGGGTTCAAAACAGCTGCATCGTCTCTCCTAACCTCGGGGAAGCTGTAGCCCTTGTAGCTCAGGAGGCGGTGCATGTCCCGGATGAAGCCGAGATCCTCCTTGTACCTGCTGGTCTCGCATATGGTGCTCCTCCACTCCTCGATGGCCTCGAGGATCTTAGCCTGGACGCGCGAGGGGCGTATGGGCGGCCGCTCGGGGAAGCGGCGGACGAGCTCGTTGAGGAACTCCTTGGTGCTGATCTGCAGGTGGAAGGGGTAGCCGCAGTTCTTGACGCAGATGTCGAGCAGCGCCAGGGCCAACAGAGCCACGTTAGGGTTCCGGTGGTTGATGTAGTTGACGATGGCGGTGGCGGCCTCGCGCGGGGCGCTGCCCTTCTTGGAGTTGATCAGGTCGGCGATCTCGAGGTTCACCGACAGGTTGGGCTCGTAGTTCTCGGGACTGCAGGCGGCCTGGATGAAGCGCTGCAGCTGCGACGGCGCCGAGCCGCCCGCGTCGGCCCACCGGTCCCTGGCGGCATACCGCGCCGCTGCCGCCTCCATTGTGGTGGTGAGTCGTCGCTCGCGCGGCTCAAGCTCTTGCGCCGTATCGTGTTAGGTCGCTGTGCGGGAGCGCCGGGGACGCCCAAGGTGCCCTGCGCGAGGGTCTGGAGTTGTAGAATATATCGGTGTCTCGGGAGGTACGGCAGCGCAAAGCCTGGAGGCTATAGGTGGCCAGCCTGATGTGGTCGTGAGTGCGTGTCTGTTCTGTTGCGTCTCGTCTTCAGTCTGGCCCGCTTAGGCGCTACGTCGTCGGTCTAGGTGGTCGGTGGTGTGGGCGAGGTGGGGTATCGTAGCATGCAGGAGCCCGTTGCTTTCGAACTGAGCTTTGAACTCCTCAGCTTGGCTGTCCGCTGAGGGTCCACGTATACGTATGGTGGCAGGAAGGCCAAGCAATCAATACATGACAAAATAAAATAGCAAGCGAAGGCGAACGACAGTAGCCTTGCCTTCAGGGGATATGATGAAATCGGGCGGCTCGCTAGGCACCAACCCGGCGCAGTCAATTTACACGCTGTTCAGAATTTGCCGACGGTTTTAGCATCCCACTTTGACGGCTGGTGTGCGCGGCGCAGAGCTCCAATCAATTCCTTCCAGGACACATGCTAACAACCAAGTCAACGTGCCAACCTAGCACAAGGCACACTGCAAGCCTGCGAGAGATGTGAGGAAGCACAGTGTATCATATACAGTCATACGGTCAATCGGTACTGTATCACTGCCAACCATCCTCGTCGCCACTGGACCGATTTGAACCCTTCTCCGGCGCCCCACCAGCGAATTTCATCAACCCCAAACCCGGGAACCAAGACCTCGCTCCTACCTTGGCCCCTCCTGAATCCTGTCGCCGGCATAGTTGCTATACACCAGCCATGGTCAGGCATAAAAAGGACCACAACAACAAGGGCAAGCGCCTTCACTACGGCCCCCCGCGGTCGGCCCGCCCCCCTCCCCGGCGCCAAGACGGCGGCGGGGAGGGCTCCGGCGATGAGGGCTCCGGCAGCGACGGCGGCGGCAACGCCTCGTCGGCGCGGCGCGGCGGCGGCAGGGGCCAGGCGCCGTCCTTCAAGGCCGCGTGCTGGGACCTGGGCCACTGCGACCCCAAGCGGTGCTCGGGCAAGAAGCTCATGAGGCTGGGCCTGATGCGGCCCCTGTCGGTCGGCCAGCGCCACCCGGGCGTCGTCATCACGCCCAACGGCAAGACGGTCGTGTCGCCCGCCGACCGCGAGGCCCTCGAGGCGCACGGCGCCGCCGTCGTCGAGTGCTCGTGGGCCCGCACAAAGGAGGTGCAGTGGTCCCGCGTCGGCGGCCGCTGCGAGCGCCTGCTGCCCTACCTCGTCGCCGCAAACACGGTCAACTACGGCAAGCCCTGGCGCCTCAACTGCGTCGAGGCCCTGGCCGCCGCCTTCGCCATCTGCGGCCACCGCGACTGGGCCGTCGAGGTCCTGGCGCCCTTCTCGTACGGCGACGCCTTCCTCGACATCAATGCGACCCTGTTCGAGCGGTACGCCGCCTGCGCCGACGCCAAGGAGGTCAAGCAGGCCGAGGAGGAGTGGATGGAGACGCTCGAGAGGGAGTACGCCGAGAGCCGTCTGGATGCTGCCGACGGTGCTGACCTGTGGAAGGGCGGCAACATGAACCGCAGGCCCGTCGTGGACTCCGAGCCCGATTCAGACGAGGACGATGAGGATGCGGACGGCGAGGGTGGCGAGGACGAGGTTGACGGGATATTTCTGGGGAAGAAACCCCCAGCATCATCCAAGCCGCCAGCAGCAGCAGCCGAGGAGGACGATGCAGAAAAGGACCCGTTCGCCATATCCGACGATTCCGACGACGACGCCGCCATGGAGGATATCCGCAGAAAGGTGCTGGCATCGAAGCCCTTCGCGAACCCGGCCGACATGGGCCAGAAGCCTGCCCCAGCAACCATACCGCGGCCGCAGCACCTCGCGCCCGACGACGGCGTCGAGCCGGACTCGGACAACGGCTCCGACAATGACGAGTTCGACGGTATCATGGCTGCCACCCCCCTGACCGATAGAGTCGGGCTCGCCAAGCTTGAAAAGGAGAGGGCTCGCGCCGCCGTCACGACCCGGACTTTTACGTCATCTTCCCTCTCGGCGCCTCGAAGGGGGTGAGCTGTGGCCCGCGAGGGACTGCCCGCAACGCGGATGCATGGTCTGACCGGCCGTCCGAGGATGGTTTCTTAGGTTTACATAATATACAATGGTCCCAAAGTGCCCTTCCCTTGTAAATGCACCAGGCGTCGAGGGAAGCGCCGCCGCTACCCTCCGTGCTTTGACAGATATTCCCAGGTTTTTATGTATCCCTCTTCTTTCCCCACCTATATCTCACAGGTATTGCTTTTCCCTGACGGTCTCGTACATCTGGATCTGGTCACCCACCTTCAGATCCTGGAACCCGTCAAACCCAATACCGCACTCGGAGCCCTTCTTGATCTCGGTAACCTCCTTCCTGCCATGCTTGAGCGACTCGAGCTTGCCTGTAGAGACGAACGGACACGGGTTAGCAAATAAGCCAGAATCTGGAGCGAAGAAAAAGAAATAGGGAATGTGAAAAAAGGGGTAGATGGGCGCCTTACCGTCGAAGATCTTCGCCTTGCCGCGCATCACACGGTACGTTCCGTTGCTGAGCAGCTGCCCGTTGCGCACCCTGCAGCCGGCAATGTTCTTGTAGACGCGCCCCCGGATGTTGATGGGGAAGACCTCGAGCAACTCGGCCTCGCCGAGCACCTTGTACGACACGGCTTCGGGGAGCTGCTCCGACATGAGCGCCTTGACGGCGTCCACGAGGTGGTAGATGACCGAGTAGTCCAGTACCCGCACGCCCGACGCGTCGGCCAGCCGCTGGATGTGCGCGGGGATGGGGCTGTTGAAGTTGATGATGGCGCTGCCCGTCGTCGCCGCGTGCTCCACGTCCGACTCGCTGACCTGCCCGGGGTTCGACCGCAGCACCCGGGCGCGCACGTCATTGTTGCCAATCTCCATGATGGCGCCCATGACCGCCTCGACCGAGCCCAGGGCGTCGCCCCTGATGACGAAGTTGACGATCTTGGGCCCTGTCGGCGCAGCCTCGGCCGCCCCGTCTTCGTCGCCCGTCTCGCCAAGCTCTGCCAATTCCGCAGCGAGCGCGTCGGCCTCGGCCTTCTCCCTGTCGCGCCTCTCTTGCTCGGCGATGTCGGTCGCGGTCTTCTGCCAAGCCGCCATGTCCACGCGGTATTTGATAGCCTGCCGTGCCTTGTCCTCGTCCGGCGCCTGCAGCACCTGGTCCCCTGCCAAGGGGGCGTCGCGCCAGCCAAATACCTCCACCGGCGTACCTGGTGGTGCTTCCTTCAACTCTTTACCGAACTCGTCCATCATGAAACGGATCTTGGCAAACACGCTCCCTGCTACAATGATGTCGCCCTTGCGAAGCGTGCCTCGCTTCACCAGTACCGTAGCCGCCCGGCCAAGTGGCTTTATGCCGGACTCCAGGATCCAGCCCTCGGCCATGCCGTCCAGCTCGGCTCGCATGTCCAGGACTTCGGCGAGGGTGACGATGCTCTCCTCCAGGTCTTTCATGCCCAGGCCAGTCTTGCCGCTCACCGCCACAGCTTGAACTTCGCCGCCGAACTGCTCGAGCTCGACCCCGTTATTCGCGATGTCAAATTTGACCTGCTCCACCCGCGCCTCGGGCTTATCGGCCTTGTTGATTGCAACTATTATCGGCACCTTGGCGTTCTGGGCATGCTTGAGGGCCTCGAGAGTCTGTGGCTTCACGCTGTCGTCCGCGGCCACCACCAGAATGACAATGTCGGTGATGTTGGCTCCGCGTTGCCGCATGGTCAAGAAGGCGGCGTGGCCGGGGGTGTCGAGGAACGTTATCTGCTTGCCAGTCGACAGACACACCGAGAATGCACCAATATGCTGCGTGATGCCACCATGCTCGCCCGCGGCGATGGAGGACTTGCGCAACCAGTCCAGCATGGTGGTCTTCCCGTGATCGACGTGGCCCATGATGGTCACGATGGGGGGTCGTGGCGGGAGCAGCGAGGGATCCTCGGGCGCCGGGCGGGGCCTCAAGTCAACCTTGTGGCCGTCGTCAATAGTCGGCTCGAAGTCAAACTCTTGGGCAACGAGCGCGGCAGTCTCGCCCGTCATAACGCTCTCGTCCGTGATCTCCTCAAACCCCAAGTTGGTAAGCTCCTCAAGAAACTTGTCCGTCTTGAATCCGAGAGCCTCGCCCAGATTCGCCACTGTGATGAACTCGGGTACCAAGATGGGCTTCGGGGCAGATGCGGCCTCCAGCCTTTCCAGTGCTTGCTGTTCCTTCATTGCCTGCCTTTCCTCTTTACGGAGACGTCGCTCCTCGGCTATTCGCGCAGTTTCCTCATCCCAGCCATCTTCGTCATTGCTGCCGCGTCTCCTCATGTTCTTGGGCTTCGTTTTAGTCTTCTCTGGTCGCTCTCTCCGCCTCGACCACCTCTCTTCAACCACATCATGCTCGGCCGAGTCTAGAACGAGTGTGTTCTTCACAGCTGGTTCCTTGGCCCACTCCGAGGATTCTTCTGGTTCCACCGGCGCCGGTTTTGCTACCGCAATGTTCTCAGCCATGGGGAAATCAGCGACCTTGACCCTATTACTCTTGGGTCGACTTGGGGCTGGTTTAGCGCTGTTTCGCTTGTCGAACTGTCTGAAGAAGTCGTCCTCATCAATGGAGGCGCCTTCAGGCCCGCCATTGGCCTGCTTATCGGGCTTGAACAAGTCGTCTCCGGCCACAGGGGCTGGGCCAGGCCTCGGGCGTTCAAACTGTCTGGGCCTGGTATTGTCGGCAGTCTTTTTGTCGAACTGGGAGAAGAAATCTTCTTCATCTGCAGGTTCCGGCGGCTTCACGGTAGCATTTGTAGGTCTAGAAAACGGTCTTAGGAGGCTGTCATCTAAATCAAGCGGGGGCCTCACGCCAGCCCTTGCATTGTCACCATCACGCGGCCTCCCGAACGTGGGGGCACGTCTGGGCTGGTTGGGCGGCGTTGTTGATGGCCTTGATGAGGCCCCAGAGTTTGCGTTACGCAAGGTGTCGAGTATGGAACCAAACCCTTTGCCTTTTCCAGCGGACTTTTCCTCGCCGAGCTTGGAGGCCAGGAATCCCAGCCCTCCCACAGCCCAAGGATTCTTTTGTTGCATGGGAACAAAGTCCGTGGAGCTAGTGTCGCCCGAGCTCTGTATCGGCCTCGAGAGCTGTGACCATTCTCGCTCGCCGTCAAGCTTCGTCTCCCTGGCCGGACCTAGATCCTTCCTCGGATATATATCTGGGCGTGATGGTGGATTGCGTGGCCCCGTATGTCCAAAGTTGTTTCTTGGGCGCAGAGGCTCGACAGGCTCGAACCCAACCCCCAATGGTAGTGGGCTCCTCCCGCGAGCTTGGGGTTCTTGTGTGGAAGGAGCACGCTCCAGTGGCCGTGGCCGTGACCATAGCGCACTCTGATCAAGGGGAGGCGGTCTCTGCTCAGGAGGAGGCGGCCTCTGCTCAGGGGGAGGCGGCCTCGGCCTTTCGTCGAGTGCCGCCTGGCGCGCGGCCAGCTCATGGGGTAGAAGGAAGTCGTCGCGGTCGCTGACTAGCCGAGGAGTTGAGGTTCTCGCCTGGCCTTGCCTCTGTCCGAAGAGTTTCTTGCCGGTTATTGGTCTGCTTGCGAAACCCGAGTTCTGAGAGGAAGATGAGGGGTTGGCGGGGGCGTCGGAGGACTCCCCGGGCCGCGGCCCATCGTCGTTGGGGCGGGGTGCGTCGGCGACGGAGTACCATCGGTGGTGCCGGGCAGTGGGCTGTTGGGCGAGCCTTATGGCGCCTACGCGGAGAGCCAGGGCGCAGGCGGCGCATATGACCTGGCTGTCCTGGCTCTTTAGGGAGCGTCAGCGACAAAAGTCCGGGGCCTCGAGGCGGCGGGCGGGCGGACGGGCATAGACTCACCCTGGCGACACGATATCTAATCATGTTCAGTCTGCCGCACGAATTTCCGAAAGCCGGGTTGGCCGTCTCATCTCGGCGTTCACGCGACTGAGAATGCCGCGGTTGAACTGAAGGCCGGGGAGCTCCCACTGTCTTTGACGCTCGAGAATTTCTGACAGGGGTGGCGCCGCCCAACGAGGTCCCGCTATCGGCGCCGACCAGCTTCGATAAGAAAAATGATCCACTATTTCCGACTCTGCGTCATTCGCCTCTTGCTTGCACAGCGTCAAGTGCTGGTCTGCAGGCTACGTACTCTAGGCCAGTCTACAATGCGGTAGCAATCGAGATGGTTACATTTGGCAGGGATGTATTAGGCTGTTCAAGTTCCGAGTCAAAGGTGAAGTTATTCTCTTTGCAGTGGTAGAAATGTAAGAGCCAATGTTACCACTCGATTTCCATCAATGACGAACAGCCCCTGAATAGCTTTACATAATCTCTCTTCTCCACTCAACCCCTGTATCCATAGTGCCACTTCACAAGGCTCTCCCTTGACCAGAAGCCAGCACTCATCTTCAGTTTCGGGACCCGAAGCCAACGAAAACAAAACCGGCAAGGCAAACTCATGGCGCCGCCAAAGCGCAACTCAAAAGTCCGCCTGGGCTCCGCAACGGGGCCCAAGGGCAAGTCGGACGGATCACCGCCGAAGCCGTACCGGACCATCCCGGACAGCCTCAAGCCCTTCGTCTCGGGGCTCGACCCCAAGCACGTCTACATCGCCCACCTCGACTCCAAGCCCGTGGCCCTGAAGCGCAATATCTTCCTGGTGCCGCTCGCCATGAACATCCTGGTCGCCGTGCTCTTCTTCATGCGCCTGCGCTACATCGGCCCGTGGTACATGCAGCTGCTCCTGCCGGGCATCGACCTGACGCCGCTGCTCGGCGCCGAGGCGGCGGCGGCCCTGGGGCTGGGCGGCGCTGCGCACGTGGCGGACCCCACCATCGGCGTCGCGCCGTCGTCCATGACGTGGGGCCAGATCGCGCTGCTGGCGCTGCGGCGCGGCTTCACCTTCGTGCTGGACGCGGGCCTGCTCGTCTTCGTCTGGCCCTGGCCCGTCGAGTTCTGCCTGGGCCGGACGCACGGGAACCCGCTCAACTGGCGCTGGCGCGTCGGCTTCCGCGACCGCGAGGTCTACGTCCGCCGCAGCCGCGAGTGGGACCGCGCCCTGGGCGACGTGCTCGGGCCGGACGCGGCCGCGGCCCGCATGGAGCTGGGCGCCAAGGTCCGCGCCGCCACCTCGCCGATGCTGCTGCAAGAGAAGACGGGCTACCTGACCATGAACGGCGACTGGGACCTCGACTGGGCCGCCATGATCCGGGCCACGCTCCTGGTCGACAACAAGGCGCTCGCCCTCGACGCCTTCCGCCTCCTCGTACTGGTGCACCACGCGGACCACGATTGGATGATCATGGACACGAGCTCGGGCCCGGGCGGCGCCACGTCGTCGCAGGAGGACGAGCGGAGGCGGCAGGTGTTTGCGTTCCGGGACGCCTTGTCCGCCATCGGCAAGGAGGACCTCTTCTTCCGCTGGATCGAGATTGTGCAGTTCGAGGCCACGCAGCCGGGCGGTCTCACAAAGGATAAGGAGGTCGTAGTTGCCAACCAAATCCGGGAAATGTTCCAGGCCCAGGGCATCGACTTTGACGATTTCTGGAAACAAAGCGTCGGCTCCGAGGGCATTGCAGGTATGGAATGATACCCCTTGTTTTGGGTGCAGTACGGACAAGCTTGAGGGTAGGCGTTGCCTGCAATTTTCTTTCCCTCAAATGCACCATCAGATTGGATGGCATGCGCAGGAGTTCGGGTGCGTCGCATAAAAGGATACCATATTGAATAATGATACGTGTTTTGGAATGTCACACATGCACCACTTCATGAGGCGTCACTGATGGGAATCGCGATACCGCCGATGGTTTACTCGGCCTATCGGGTGCAACCGATGGCGGGGATTTTCAGTACCGAGGGCAGGCTACCACCGCAGGATCGAGTCCTTCACGGGAACGCTGCATGGGCCGCCTCATAAAACCGAACTGCCCAAATCTAGGTAGGCAGCATGTACTGAGAGAATCGACAGCTTATCCCGCCCTGCCTCGACTTATTTCTTCGCCGGTGCCGCCTTGGCCTTGGCCGGGGCCTCGTCCTCGCTCTCCTCCTCCTCGGAGCTCGAGGGCATGTCGCCGACCTCGACCTTCTTCTCGGCCTCGGCCGCCTTGGCGGCGGCGGCGGCCTTCTTGGCCTTCTTCGCGGCCTTGAGCTGCTCGCGCGATGGCGGCTTCTCCTTCTTGGCCTTGGGCGCCTCCTCCTCCTCCTCCGACTCTTCGTCCTCCTCGTCCTCTTCGTTGAGGGCGCCGCCCTTTTGCTGCGCCTCCTCGCTCCAGATGCTGACCTCGTTCCCCTCGTCGTCGATGGGCCTCAGGCCGCGAGAGAAGGACCTGCCGCCTGGAGATAGGGTGATGCGGAGCAAGAGTCAGCGCGTGGTCGGGTTGGCAGGTTGAGCAGGACGTAGCGCTTGCATGCGCGTTCCAATCTCAGTCCGCGCTCTGAGCTCCGAGGCGCATGATGGGAAGAGATGTAAGGCTAAACTGAGCTACGACTTACCTCCACGGCTGTAATTCTTGAACTTGCCCCTGCCGCGCGAGCTAGTTCCCTGCTTTCCCGACATGCTTGTGGTGCACGGTCAGGCTTTCTCTGGGATAGGTAGCTGTCTTGGATAGTAGGCGTGGTGGGGTAAATGGTAGCGAGTAGTATGCAGATAGCCTGATCAGGTCAATAGAAGGCAGTATGGGTGATCAAGGGAATGGTATGTCTAGATGTAGCACTCCGGAATCCCAAATGACTGAGTAAATGAAGTGAAATTGGAGAGTTTGTTGAGGACGAGACCTTGGTCAGGGTCACGACAAGGCAGGAAGTAGGAACTCGAGGGGTAGGAAGCAGAGCTCCCAGACTGCTAGCCGCCGCCCTTGACCAGGCTACGGAAAGCTAGGGTGTAGCTGAGGTGTGCGTAGAGGGGCGCACATGAATAACGACTGAGCAAGCACGCCTACCGTAAGACTCACGGCACGCCCCCAAGACCAATCATTATGACTACAAGTCCTGCTCCTTCGGACCAAACGAGGTTTTGAGGCGGAGAGCTGCGGGCGGAAAGACCCCTCCAGGCTCGCAGGCGGATCTCTGCCCCCTAGCAAACCAGGCCAGGCCTGATGAGGAAATGAGGGGGACCAGGTCTCTGGCGGACTTGCCCATTGCAACACGCTCGACTTGACCGACGCCAAGAGGCGCGGGAGGACAAGCACCGCCGGAGCTCCCGCGGTCAGTTTCAAGCTCTCCAATCCGAATTTGACATGGAAGGAAACAGCAGCATGAGGGCAGCCCGACGATGAGTCGATGATATTTCTAGCGCGTGGGGCTGGTGCTGTGGCATCAGATCCGATAAGGGATTGCAGGAAAGAACAGGGGAACCGAGGTCAGACTGGGTGACTGGATGTCGTTTACATGCCAACCGAGACTCGTTCTAGTTTGGATGGCCGTAATCGTAATGCGATGAGATTGGAGATGAACCCCGCGTCAACCTGCCCGACCGAAATGGCTTGGAACCGGAAGGTTGGCACGCGTGACTGGACTTTCTGCCACCGCTACTGGTGGGCCCATTAGTCACCAGTGGGTCCACGCAGGTCCCGCCACCGCCGCGGGCGCCATCTTTAAAATCTCTGAGCAGCAAATTTTTGTTTTGGTTTGTTTTCTCCTCCTTTCTTCTCCTTACTGAAGACTCCTTCATATTCACTCTGGCTTACGCCCTTTTTCAATGGCAGGTCTTGGAGGGGAAATTGGAGGATAGAGAAAACCCTTCGAGAACTTACCCTTTGGCTCGCTCGCGGCGGATTGTACGCAATACGTCGCTTTGGATGACCAGAGAAATTATCGCTTTCGATACAAGCAAAAAAAAAAACAGCATGGGGTTGGGATTTTGGGACGGAATCGCCTCACGTAGGCACTAAGGATACGGTCGTAAATATCTTTGGTATATATTCCTTTGTTCGTGTCTGTCGCTGAACCAATGCCGCCGGGATATGCTTGCATGTCCCATCTACGAGGAGGAAACGAAACAAGCCAGAATACACGTCGCTGAACGCCACCAACATGATGTCTGCCGTGCGTGGCACACTCCTGGTCTCATTGCCGCCATGCGACTTCCACAGTCTACAGCATGGGCTTGAGGTCGTCTGCCACCTTGAAAGGCGCCTCGGTCTTGGCCTTGACCTCGTCGACGGTGACGCCGTCGGCGATCTCCACGAGGGTCAGGCCGTGGGCAAAGTCGACATCAAAGACGGCCTGTTGAGGGAGGAGGACATGTCAGTGGCGATGCGTAGAAGAGACGGGGAGGCGAGTGCCCGGACAAAAGAACAGGGGGGGAAAAAACACTCACAAGCTCCGTGATAATCCTCGAAACGCAGGCCTTGCCCGTCAGCGGAAAGGCGCACTGCTTGACGATCTTGGGGTTGCCCTTGCGGTCCGTGTGCTCCATGGTGATGACGACCTTTGTCTTGCTCGGGTTGCTGACCAGGTCCATGGCGCCGCCGAAACCCTTGACCTTGCCGGGCAGCATCCAGTTCGCCAGGTCGCCACTGGCGCTGACCTGCATGGCGCCCAGGATGGTCAGGTCTATGCGGCCCGACCGGATCATGCCGAACGACTCCTCGGATCCGAACACGGCCGCGCCCGGCTTGAGCGTGACCGTCTCCTTGCCGGCGTTGATCAGGTCCGCGTCCTCCTGGCCCGCGCGCGGGTAGGGGCCCAGGCCCAGGATGCCGTTCTCGCTCTGCAGCTGCACCGTCACGTCGTCGCCCACAAAGGAGGGGGCCAGCATGGGCATGCCGATGCCCAGGTTGGCGTACATGCCGTTCTTGAACTCCCTGGCCGCCCGCCGCACGATGCGCTCGCGCTTGGCCGCCGAGTCGCCCGTGCCCAGCGCCGCCTTTGCCGTCGTCGCCTTGTCGGCCGCGTCCCCGGCGGCGGCCGACGCGGAGGGCTCTTTGGACAGCGTCACCTTCTCGATGCGCTTCTCGGCCGTGCTCTGCACGACGCGCTTGACGTAGATGCCCGGCAGGTGCACCGCCTCGGGCGGGATCTCGCCCGGCTCGACGATGTGTTCGGCCTCGACGATGGTGCAGCGCGCGTTGCGGCCCATGGCGCCGTTGAAGTTGTGCGCCGCGAGCCGGAACTGCACGTTGCCGAGGCGGTCGGCCTTGTAGGCCTTGACGAAGGCGTAGTCGCCCGCGATGCTGCGCTCGAGCAGGTACGGCTTGCCGTCAAACACCTTGACGTCCTTGGGGTACGAGAACTCGGCGGGGGTGCCGTCGGGTTTGTTGCGCAGCGGCAGCTCGCCCGTCTGCACCACGGTGCCCACGGCGGCGGGTGTGTAAAAGGCTGGGATGCCGCGCCCGCCGGCCGAGCAGCGCTCGGCCAGCGTGCCCTGCGGCGTCAGCTCCAGCTCCACCTTGCCGCTCAGGTACATGCCCTCGAGCGTCTTGTTCTCGCCTATGTAGGACGCGATCATCTTGGTGACCTGGCCCGTCTTGAGCAGCTTGCCAAGTCCGCTCGAGTCGGTGCCGGCGTTGTTGGACACGGCCGTCAGACCCGTGACCTCGGGCTTCTTGATCACCTCGTCGATCAGCGTGTCCGGCACGCCCGAGAGCCCGAAGCCGCCGCAGAGCACGATCGAGTTCGACTTCATGTCCTTGAGCGCCTCGGCCGCCGAGGGGTACACCTTGTCGATCTTGGCCCGCCTCGACGTGGACGAGAAGGAGCGGGCGAGGAGGGCGGCATGCTAGAAAGGGGCGGGCGCGCAAACGGCCCAAGTCAGCATCGAAGCTGTGCGCTGCCTAGCAGGTAGCCTGAATACGGCGCCTCGATGGGGAGGACTACAAGAAACTCACGTTACTTCCATATTTGGAATGCGCCCTCAAAATCCTCATGCACATTGCGGTAGACGGCATCCTGGCGACAAAACTCCCCGGTCACGGCGAGTATGTGGACGGCGACACTGCGCGGGCGGCGCTGGGGCGTACTCGGCTATTCTCGGCAGTGCTGAGCGGCGGGCCAAGGCGCGAAGGAAACTCAATTCACACGGCGCAGTGCTCGCAACAAGGAGGTCTTGTCTAGATACCTCTGGGGGAATTATAGAGAAACCTAACAGAATGAGAAAAAGCGCCGAGAGAAAAGATCAAGTCAGAAGCTGTCGCCAGGGAGAGAAGTGCTGCTCGAGCCGGGGTATTACGGGGACAAGATACAAGGCCCCAAGCCGTCCTTGGCCGAGGCGAGCCCTCCCGGGTATTCCCCGCACTCCCCGCTGTCGGAATCATGTTTCGGCAGAGGGAGGCTCTGTTCGGCAAGTGGGTTGGTCTCGGTCAGCGCATAGGAGCAACTGTAATCTCCTGCCCGGCGCCGGACGATGATTGTTTTGGTTAGGAGCAAGCCCTTAGAAACAAATCTTGCCCCACGCATTCAGACTAGGTGCCGTGGAAGAACTTGCTCCCACCCCATTGGTAATCCCCATGGCCGATGTCGGATATGGCCCGAACTCGACCAGCCATCATCATGTGTACACCGACAAAGTTGGAGAACAACCCAAACGCTCAAGAAAGCAGCTAGCCCAGCCAGCCTGTCATCACGCTCCTAGCTTCATATTACCTACGCGAGTAAAATTACCACTTGCCACCGTCGTACTTCTCACATGAGCATGCCCATATCTTCTAAGCTAAGCCTTAACCGGCGGCACTCGTCCACCCCAAGATGGCTCCTCTGGCTTGCTTCCCATTCACCATAGTCCATGTCTTGGTTTCACGCGCCTTGAGGATGGGGGACGATGCAAAAGTGATATCAGGACAGAAAAGGAAACCTATATGAGAAGTAACCCCTGAAAACGTCACCACCCAGAGTGGAAACAAACCATGCCAGTACGCCATCGCACCCGGTCCGTGCTCCCATGAAGATGGAGAGGGAAATGTGAAAAAATGTCAGACATGCCATGCCCGCAAGGTTGAAACAAAAAGAGAAGCGGGAAAGAATATATAAAGCGCAATGAGATGCAGCAGGAGCAGGGATAAAGACGATGAGTAGGGAGAGCGCTGCTGCTGCCAGTCCTTTCAAGCAAGCCTAACAAGCGGCCCAAGTAAAACCCTCTGTCCCAGCCGAGCAGTCCAAGAACCCCCAGGAGCAGGCGGCATCTGTTTCCTCAAGAGTAACATGGCCGCTGGCTCTTCACAGGTGCTGAAATGTGATGCCAATCACGGGCGGATGTGATCGGCCGCTGCTAAATATGTTCAGAAGAGGTATCCCGCGGAACCTCGGAGTGCTCTGTCGAACGAGCCAAAGTGCGGTTGGGAAATGCTGAAATCGCCCCGGAGCGCCCCCTCGGCATTCAGGTTCCGTGATGCTCCTAGTCCCATGAATATGACGCTTCGTGAATGCAGTCGTTTAGGAAATTAATCAATAAACCTCACCCAACAGCGCACATTGTTGTGACGTGTGCTCGGTAGATCAAGGCGGAAAAAAGACCGTTCGTCGGCCTCGGCGAGCGGACTCTGTGCAACAAGGGGCGTCCGCCAGCCGTATTCCGTGGCTGTTTTAGCGGCGACTGGGACCGGACAGTACTCCGATCTCTACATTAAAGCTCCACCGGCCTGTGAAAATAGACGGCGATGTTAGTACGGAGTTCACGGTTTGTTTGTGTTGTCATGGCGGTCCAGGTGAATAAAACAGGAGGAAAAACACAACCTACCATCAGCCAGGTTTTGAGCCGTATCCTCGAGCAAAATCACCCGGCGGCGGTTGCAGTACGCTGTCTTGTCCATGATCTCGACCTTCAGATTCGAGTTGCTGAGCTCCGACACGGGCTTCTCAAACATTTCCGACAGCGCCTCGACCGCTAACTCCAGGTCCTTCTGATTGTCCTCGAATATCTCGGTCAAGTTGTTGCGGGTGAGATAGTAGGCGAAGGCGTACGTCCACTTGAGCGTCTGGCGGCAGGTTTGCAGCGCCTGCGAGGCTGCGTTGAGGTACTGGACCTCGATCCAAGACATCCCCGAGGCCGTCTGCAACTGTATCATCTTCTTCTCCGTCTTGGTGTAGATGTCCTTGTCCAGGCGGGCCGATTGCTCGTGGTTTGCGTAACGATTATAGTAGTGTAGATAGCGTTCCAGGGACAACCGAGACTTGGCCTGCGCGTCACGGGCGTCGGTCCCGCTCTTCTCCTCGTACCGGTTGCAGTTGTACCAGCTCGTACCGTGCTCAGACCAGACACCCATGCACATCCAGCAGAATTCGTGCTTACATTTGCGGCATGTCATGTGGTTGCAGCCGCCGTTCTTCTCGATGGTCGAGTTGCACCGCGGGCACTCCTTGGTGTTGGCAGAGATCCAGTTGGCCGTCTCCGAGTCGTCGGCACACTTCTTGAGCCACATCTTGACCAGCTCGCAGGGAGCCGGTTGGTGATCCTTCAGGCTGCAGCCGAAGCAGAAGCGCGTTTTGCATTCGCACACGACCGTGGGGACGACTTTGTGCAGGTCCTTCTTCTTGACCGGGCAATCGATGGCGTTTTGGCAGTCGGGCCCGGGACACCACTTGAGGGTCTCCTTGTCTTCGACGTATGTCCTTTGCAGAAGCTCCCTATACCTCTCAGAGAGATGCGCAGCGACAAGGATGTCAAGCGACCTGGCGTCTATGATGCGGTGACATCCGTCGCTCGGGCACTGTATCCTGGCCGCCTCGCCTTCCTCGCGGATCTTCTGGGTGAGGTAGTGGCGATAGCAATCGACGCAGTACCTGTGGCCGCACTTGATGGCGAACGAGAGTAACCCCTCGTCATCCTCGCAGCAGATGTCGCAGCAAAAGCCAGGGATGGCCTCGAGCTTTGGCGGCCCAGTCACGTTGGGCCCCAGGCCAGCAGCCTCAAGAACCTTCTTTGGCCTATCCATGTAGTCCTCCATCAATCGCTCCTTGTTCCACCGGAAGTACCGCAGCAGAATTGCAGCGTCCTCTTTCCGCATTTCCAGGATCATATTGACCTCGTCGATCAGGTCATCCTGTTGCTTCTGGAGGGTTTCTGGTGTGTAGACACTAAAGGAGACATCGTAGGCCGCCTTCCTTTTGGGAACGATATCCTTGGCAAGATCGACGTCCGGGTCAGGGTCGAGGTCAGAATCGAAGTCTAGATGGAGAAGAGAGGATGTGAGCGAGGAAGATGGAGACAGTCGGGGGCAGGCGGTGGACCAATATGGTTGGCCGCGTGCGGCGAAGACTCACCATCGGCGCCCGAAAGATCTTCGTTGTCGCTGAGGACGTCCTCATCGCCGCTAGAGATGTTGGACATGAACTCGTCGTCTGAATCCATGGTGTTGGGCGTCGGCGGCGCGGGCTGGGGAGCAGCAGAGCTGAGTATCCTCTTATTTGGTGCAGCCTCCTTGTTTTTTGCGGAGGATGTCGTCGCCTCAGCGGCCTTCCGCTTCCTGGTGGTGGGAGGAATCGTGGATTTCGGGGCGCGGCTCGTCGGGGGAACTGACGAGCACACGAACGGGTGGGAAGGGGGGGAGGGGTGGTGAAGAGGATGAAGAGGGTGGACGGTCGGGAAGACTGGTCGATACAGTGTCTGGCGGTTCTTCGATCGCCGGTCTGACTGTAGGGCCGGAGTTGGAATCGAGAGGGGACGACTGAGGGCGGGTGGCACGGAGATGAGGCGACAGGCCGAATGACGCCAAGGAGGTCGGAATGGCCCGGGCCTGAAAGAGTCACGACGGTGACTTGGGTGGCGGAAGGAGGATGGGGAGGACGCTAGAGCGGGCAGGGTTGGGTCGGTGGTGGTTGTCGGTCAGGTAGGCAGGCAGGCAGGCGGCACAGGTGGCAGGCGGGCGGCAGGCGGCACAGGCGTGGGTCGGTCGTTAGCCACCTCAGACAAGCAATCGAGGGGAAAGCCGCCCAGCGCAGTCGTCGTCGTCGCTAGCAGGTCCACCACACCTGGAAGAGCGGGACTAGAAGGGGCAGCCAGGTGATGGATTTCAGGTGTTGGGTAAGAGTTGGGCAAAAGATCAGGGCATGCAGCACGACAAAATGGTCCTCACGTTGAGCTGGGGTTGTTTCTGCAAGGCGGTTTCGCAGCCTGATTTCTTGAAAGGGACACGGGATGGAACGACTGGGCTGGCTGGCTGGGCTTGGTGTCGGGTTCTAGGTTCTGGGTTCTGGGTGTTTGGAAATTCGGGCGGGCAGCACATGGAACGCCCACCGCACCACTGAGCTGGAGGTGTCAGGCATGCGGCACCATGTCCAGGGAGACTGGGCGTCAGCGTTTAGTGCGAGATTGGGGGCGCACTGTGCTGGCTGCCTGAACAGGTAGCCACAGCGCCGCTGTGTGATTGGCCGAGGAGCCAGCGCGCGAAACCCGCACTCAGCCCATCAGTCGGCAGTAGACCCCCTTCCCGCAAGTCATTCGGCTCGCGGCCAGCCCCGAAAGTGTCGCGCTGTCTGACACGAGAACTCTACGGCCAGGCACGCGGGATCCAGACCTCGCTCGAAGCCAATAGGGTCGTGTCTCCCGATTAAGGTGCGGCGCACCTGATGCCTTACCAGCAGCCTCCACCCCCAGGAAAGGTGTGGGAGCTGACCGCGAGGTTTCAAGACTGCGAGGACACGGGGTTGTTCCTGGCTTGGCCACAGATTGCTGCCTTGGTTGGATCAGACAAATTTCTCTTCGATATCACTGCGTTCTCTTATTCATAGGTAGCTTGCCAAAACACTGGCATGCCATACCGGATTTGATAGGCACAGCATTAAAACATCCACCCGAGACCCAGGTAGACACGAAGTTTGAAGTGTATCCACGTGCAGTACCATGGGGGAAGTACATATGAGAAATAGCTGCCGCCCTATCCTCCAGCCTGGTCTGCATTATCAAAACAGATACCTGAGCTACACGGAAGCGCCATCCAGCACCTTTGCCCGGCGCCTGCTCCTTTAACCGAGAACCTTGTCTGCCATGGAAACTGCAGCGATGGATAGAATCACGTCAGTGGGAGTCATTCCGAGAGATACCCAGAGGGGAGCAAGACGTACCGTTGGTTCCAGTGCTGTCGGGCTCAACGTGCGCCGACTTGACCTTGCCATCCTTGATAACGAGAGCATAGCGTTTGCTCCGAGGGCCGCCGAAAATGGCAGTCCCGTCAAAGTCAAGCTCCAGCGCCTTGGTGAAGGCCGCCTGTGGGTCGCCGAGGAACCGGAACTAGAGAAACCATAACGGCTTAGTCCAGCGCGCCCTTCTACATCTTGCCAACAAGCGGGAGGATTTCAAAGGCCCCTGGAACTTACCCCGGTCTGACCGGCAGGGTCCATCTGCTGGGCCCAAGCCTTCATCCTGCAACGGCACGTACGATGATGAGTTTGGTGGGCAAACGCCAGCGCAGTCATCCCAACTGAGAGGCCAGACAGAAAGCAGCTTACACAAACGCGTCGTTGACAGATACCACAAAGACCTGGCCGGCGTCCTTGATCTTGGGGTGGTTCATGTACGAGGGGATGTGGCTGCTGGAGCAGCCGGGCGAGAAGGCGGCAGGGACGCCGATGACAATGCCGTCCTTGAGAGAGAACTCGGAGGCGAGGTTGACCTTGTTGCCGGGAGAGCTCTCGACAAGCACCTCAAGGTTCGGCACGGCCTCGCCGGCCTTGACGAAGGCAGGGCGAGTGGTGTGGAATCCACGGGCCGACCGGGCGGCCATGGCCATGGCCGACTTGAAGGCACTCATTCTGAGCGCCATGTTGCTGTCTGATGATTCGAATTGCTGTGCTGGCTGTGGAGATTGATTGATCCCGCGGCTGCAGATTGCGTTTTCTGCTCGTCGTGATAGATCCTGGTCGGTGGTGGTTTTCCTGTGACATCACCGCCGCCATCCAGCATGGCGGGGGCCACATAGTGTTTATGGCTGCTTTTTACTGTGCCTTTCGACGGGGTCAAGGAGCGTCACAACCGACCGCTTCAGCTCGAAACGCAGTCATCACCGTGCGCATCCACCAAATCCACCACCAACAAACGAGCCAACTACCAACATGACAAGAAATACTGTTCACGAGTACGAGTTCCAGATACCAATGCGATCTTCATCCTCCTGGGTTGCGGCTCAACTCTGGGGCAGATTTCGCCTCATCAAATCGCTACCTTTAGACTCCGGTAAAGTCGCGCTCTTGGGCGGCGATAAGACATTGGTGGCGATGCGCGATGCCTTCATGACAAAGACTGAGCTTTGGTCGAAGGGATTCCCTGTCTTTACGCCCGTGGTTATGAACCGGTTTCCTCAACAATCTGCTGTAAATATCGCCCACAGACTACGGCTAGGTCCCTACAGAAATATCTACCGATGAAACCCTTATTCCATGATATCCTGTCCAACCACGCTCGTTAGGCCACCTGGGTACCAACCATAGGCACGCAGCTAGCTAATAAGCAGGACCGTTGACAAGCCGAATCACACCCGAGAGCCACGTCTCCCAATCCTCGAGGAGATCCTTGTCGCCTCCCCACCGCAGCACGCTCACTAGCCAGCGGTAGTCGCCTGGCCCGAGGCGCGTGGTCCGCCGGTCGCCGCCCGCCACGTCCAGCCCGCCCTTGCTATTCGGGCTGAAGTCGTTAGACGGGCCCAGCAAGCCCGTGATGTTGCGCAGCGTGCCAAAGCTCGCGTGGCCCTCGGGGAGCGTGGCGCCCGGCGGCGCGGCGGTCTCGTAGCCAGCAACCGCGGCCCCCGCGACGGTCCCGTTGCTGAAGCCGCGGTGCGTCGGCACGACGCTCGTGTTGGCCGGCACCACGTCGATGCGGTATGCGGTCGTCCAGAGGTCAAAGAGGGCCGTCGACCCCCACTGCATCGAGTTGTTTACCACCAGCAGGTCCTGCACGACGACGGGCGTGCCGTTGCGGTAGAAGTAGACGATCTCGGGCAGCGCCCGCCCCACGGTCTGCAGCACGATCGACTCGGCGTTGTATTGGCTGTAGGGCGGGCCGCTGTAGGGGATGCTGAGCCCCTCGCCGTCCCCACCCTCCTCGCGCACCTGCACGTATCCGCCAAACACGGGCAGCCTCCGCGGCTCGACTCCCTCAGCCGGCGGCGCGATACTCAGGCCCACAGTCACGCTTTCTCCAGGTGCGACCTCGAGGCTGGCAGTCGGCGACGAGGATATGTCGAACCTCGCGGTTCCATATATCGGCCGTTGGTTCCGCTCCCCAATCGCCAATAGCTGGTTCATATAGCCCGCACCGCGGTGTGACAGCTTGTACGTCTTGGGAGACATCCCCCCGTTGGTAAGCGTGATGTTTGCCCGACCGAAGACGCGTTTGTTATTATCAGCGATTCGCAGCTGGCCAGGACTCAGGCGTGTTTTAGCCGTGATGGCGCGGTGCACGTCGACGAGCCCCGCGCCCTGCTGGGCCGTCGCAGAGAGCATCTCCTCGTCAAAGACCCAGGTCATCGGTTTTGCTGTCGTTTGGAGCCTCTCCAGAATTCTGGCCATATTGTCTTCCGGGAACTGTGACTTGACGAGGGCATAGCAGCCTGCGAGGAATGGTGTCGCCATTGATGTTCCCGACATGATAGCATACCCGCCGAGCTCGCCTAGTGGGAATGTAGACAGTATGTTGCCCCCCGGTGCCGATATCTGCGGCTTCAAGTCGTACGTAAGCCGTAGGGGGCCAAAGGACGAGTAATAGTCCATCCTCCCTCCTGTTATCTGCGGGGCGCTCGAGAAGCTGCTTTGAGCCGGGAACTTGACCGTATAGTTATTTCCTTTCCCCGCAGTCGCCAGGCCAGCCCGCAGCCGATCCCCATCCAGTGTGCTCAGCTGGATGAAATGCGAAGTTCCGAGCCGCGATTGCGGCGGGAGGCTGTAGGGCTCGGCGTAGGGGTTCTGCGACGCGACGCCGTACCCCATGATAAAAGGCGGCATGGAGCGCTGGGCTGCGTAAATGGCGTCTGCTGACCGGCAATCCTCGCTGACTTCAAAGGCGTAGATGGTCTGGTTTAGCCTCTGGGCGCTGACGCCCGAGACAGCGTCTCTCCATGACGCGATCGAGCAGGGATCGGAGACCACAATGACCTCGAGCTCCGGGACTTTGATGGGCCAGATGGAGGCGTATTGTATGGTATTCCCCACCGAGTCTGTCATGTTGTATAACAGAGGAAAGTCCTGGTTTGCAACGGATCCCACCGCAATGGCCGTCGGCTCGGTGCTTGGAAACTCCTGTGTGTAGATGTTCCTGGAGAAGGGGCTCGGCCCTGCATCGTTGGCGATGGCAATAATTACGGCGACGCCTGCATCCGTCACTCGCTTAATAATGTCGGCCAGGGGGTCTCCGAGGCCCGTGGCAGGAGTTGCTCCAATCGAGAGTGAGAGGCTCAGTACGTCGACTTTGTCCTGAATACCCCTGAGCATCGCAGCGATGATATAGTCTGTGCCAGGCGCCCTTCCGTTACAGTCGAAGATCCTGTACATAAATATGCTAGCTTCCGGAGCCACGCCGGTGACAGGTAGTCCATCAGGGGCCTGCATTGGGTTCATGGCGACAGTCCCTGAGAATTAAATACGATGCGAATGTGTTAGTGGAGAAGGCCCTTGAATGAGTGGCCTACTTTCCATGGGAAGGGGCTCTCACCGGCAACGTGGGTGCCATGCCCGCCGCCATAGCAAGTCGCAAGGGGATCTTGGCTCTGCACCAGACCTCCGTTGTCCGCGACCCAAGCATAGCCGCCGGCAACCTTCTTCCCCGGTCCGAATCCTCCGCCGAGCGCCGGATGTCTGTAGTCGATACCAGTGTCGATTATGCCGACTTTCATCCCCTTGCCCTTGATGCCCAGAGCGTGTACCTTGTCGACCCCAGCCATGCGCAAGGGGGCGTCCAAAATGCGCGGACCCTCGGGTACGCCATAGAGACCGTCCGCCTTGTACGAGGTGAGTGAATGGGTCGTGTCCACGGACTCGTTGATCGGGCGGTCTGGGATATGGACATCGTAGACGGGAGTGACATCCACAACACCGGGAACGGACCGCAGCCGGTTTATCGCGTCATCAGGCGCTAGGTGGTCGGCCAAGTCGATGGAGAGCCCAAGGTAGACATCTGATTTGAATTCCTGGCGTACCTTGAAGTCGATGCCCATGTCTACGGCCCGCTTGCCGAAGAGCGCATGCTGGTCCACGTCGCGGGCAAAGAGGCCGCTGCCCTGACGAGCGATCTCCGGAGAGAGCTTGAGGATGTATGCTCCATCGACCACTGCCGAGTGCGCAACAGGTAACCTTTGAAGCCATAAGGCTATAACTGTCAGAGGGGCGAAGGCCGAAAAGAAGGACCGGCGACAGGGAGACATTGCATGAGAAAGGCCAGAGCAGGCCCAAAGCCATTAGAGCCCCAGCAATACCCACGGGCTCTGTCCCGAGAAGATATATATCGCATTCTGAGCACCATTGACCCAGACTTATGGTAGAGGAGCGGGAAGCAACTACAGCCCGGACCTGGGGCTATTCTGGTGCGCTACGCTAACGATGAGGCAATGGGGAAAACATCGCAAGCGACATCGGACTGATAATCTCGAACGTGTACTTGATGCTGACCTCTTTATTGCGAGATTAAGACAGTCTCAGGAGTGTTCAGCCGGCCGGCGTCTTCCAAGACAACCGCGCCCGGATAGGAAAGTAGGGGTTTACGCCGGCATGCGGCGGGTTGATGTGCCGGCCAAGAGGGGAGTGCCGACATGGATTCCTTTCAGACAGGACGCCAGGTGCCGAGAATAAGTGAGGGGTGTCGTATTTGATCGACAAAGCGCGGCGAGGAGCGGCCCAGATGGACTTGGTTTGATTGTGACATGCCGGCAGCGTTGAGAACTTTAGCCGGCAATGACCCAACGGGTCTAGGACGGGCCACAGCATGCCAGGTATAGTGCTTGGAATTGCTGGTACTATATCGCCGTGGCACCACGAAGACGCGATAGAGCATCGATAGCTGGTTTCCCAAACTAGAGGTGGCTGATATTATTCGATGCGTGTATATGGAGACAGGAGCGGTGAGTGAAACGGGCACACTCCGGGGCCTCAGATCCATGCAGTGATCTTCAGGCGCATCTACGGAGGCTCCCTTTCGGCTGCGGTGGCACGTAGAAAGTCGGAGTCGAGTCACGAGGTCGGTGTAGTAGCCTGACGAAGGAGCTCTATCACCCGGGAGAGAACCTCTTTCTCGGTGCCCAGGGCAAGTTTTCCCTTGACAGCCACAGTCTTTTCGTGCGACTTGAGACCGCTGACGATGTTCAGGTCGGACTTGGGAGAACCGAGGGCCTCGCTCAAGACGGCGACGACGGCCTGGTTGGCCTTGTTTTCGAGGGGCGGTGCGGCAACAGATAGGTTGATGGCGTCGTCGGACAGCGAGGTGATGCCTTCTCGTGATTTGCTAGCGCTTGGCCTGACGTGACATTGCAGCATGAGGGCTGGTGGCACCGGCGACCTCTTGCTGGAGGCTATGAAGCGGATGGCCCTCATTTGCGACATGGTGTTTCCGGATGGTTGTGGTTTTCACTATTCTAACCAGGAAGCCAACGCGTAGGCTCTCGTTGTCGGTGTCGTCGTCACGGGGTTGGAAAAGTTATCGACCTGCTGAGGCTGGTTTCGGTTGATGTATCCACGGTGGGGGCAAATTCAATGGATGCGGTCCAAGTGGGAGAAGGAAAAAACTCCACTGTACGCCAATGGTGTGCAAGCAACCTTACCTAAGCTTTGCTTCCACATTCCCTTCAATGTCAAGAGCAAGCTATTCCCGTAGCCTCGAGAGTTCCAGAAACCTGTCCGTGGGAGAATACAGTAACTTCATTCATGATCCTCGAAGGATCAATTGGGTCGTGCAGCAGCTCCAATTTCGTGGCTGAGTTCCCGCGGGAAAGTCTCAAATTAGGCTATAAGCTGGCAAGGTTCGATAGGAGCGCCTACATCGGAGCTGCATGCCGGGTAACATTCGTTGGAGTAAGCACGCCAAATTTGGGAGATATCAAGTACACGAACATGACCTCCTTGAACAAGTAGCCCATAACTGCCACCCGACACGCCCTAGCTCCCTCGCATACTACTACACACTGTCTAGATATTCTCAATAGCCGACAGAACCCACAATCTAGCCGACATGCCATCTTTGAAGCAGACAGTCCTCTTCTTACCCCTAGCAGCTCTCGTCGCCGCCCGCCCGGTCACAGTCCATGTCTCGCCGACGTCTCCAACAACCCCCACCTCCCCCATATCTCCCGAGGTACAACAGCACCTAGATACTGTCGATGTCGAGAGCATCGCAAGTGTTCTTCAGGGTAGCAAAAGGGAGAATGGCCACTACGCATCTTACACGCAAACTCCGCTAACCCATGTCCAGAATTCTCTTGATCGCCGGGCTGACGACAAGCAGAAAGGAAGCCTGCGCGTGATAACCCAGCTGGGCTCGGGCTCCGATGCGATTTCACCGCCAAACTCCCCCGAAGGGGAGGGAGGCCGTTCCCCCCAGAATAAGTATCCTCTGGCGGTCTCACCACTCTCGCCCGCGCCTTCGGATAGCCTCGAGACTAATCCGTTCAACCCAAACACTGACAGTAAGAAGTATTGGGAGCATGCCAGCAAGCAGGCCAAGGCAATGAAGAAAGAGTCGGAGGTCAAGGCCAAACAGGAAGCCGAGAAGAACCAGAAGCTCGGGGCCGGGAAGCGTCTGGATCCTGCCAGAAAGGAGCAGCTAGAGGCCCAGAAAAGGAAACAGCTGGAGGCTGAGAGAATGAGACCGAAGCTTAACCTCATGGACCAAGCATGGCGAAACAAGATTGATCAGGCCGGGGGCCAGGGGAACCAAGAAGCCGCAGCTAACAACCTACGAGTCAATGTCAACCAGAACGGGAAGGCGACCAAGAGATGATCGCCAGTCAGCATGGACGAATGAAGGTAATGCGAATTGTATCCATCCCACATTCCATATCCTCGCGAATAGTTCTACGGCACATAAACCTTTTGGGGTACCGCTGCACGTAGCAAGGCGAGGCGGTAAAGTACATTCCATACTAGGCTCTCGAAGACCCAATGCGACGCTTTGCATGGGGCCAGATCTCTGGGAAACGATGGCCCGCCGCTCCGGCCTCCTCTGCAGGCCTGCAGCAAAATTCTGCTTAGGTGAGTGAGGGCCACATTCTACCAACTTGGCAGGGTGGACGAACAGGCATATTCCGAACGGCAGCCAGTGGTCAAATACCGCGGATCAACCACTAGCGAGGCAGCTTTTTCGCCCGCGTGCTATGGCGAAAACCACACGTCTCATACCCTGAAACCACCGTCCAGTATCACCCCGCACGGCCGCCACGGCCTCTTGGCAGCCCGCTAGGCCGTGAACCTCGAGTAGATCCGCGAGCGATGCCCGACGCCGGCCGGCCGCGGGTGCTGGCGCCCCTAGTGTTCGCACCACCTCTAGTCCCAGGAGCTCCACGTCCGCGGGACGAGGTGCCTCGTGCCGGTGTCTGCGGCGCTCTCCTAGGGGTCGCAGCCTTGGACGATGCAGACGGGTTATCCACAAATGACGTGTCGGTCGTCCTTGTGCGGGTTAGTGTATGGGACACGAGAGAGAAGACGATGGAAATATGCAGTCAAGAGTGTGTCGGTTACTCACATGAACGTCGCATCACCTTCCATCTCTCCAGGCCGGTCTGGGAAGCGAGAGGCACCAGAAGCTTGCTGTTCCTCCATTTGCTTTGCCCGCTTGAAGGACTCAGGGGCGGGGGCCTGGATGAGCGAGGAGATTAGTGATATGCTAGGGGTTTCATGCCCAGTATATAACCGGGCAGGCAGAGGGCGCACGGGGCTTACGCTCCCGACAAGTCCTCCTCACCTCAGGGAACTCCACGCAAAAGGCGTTCATGTTGACACCATAAAGGAAGCTGGCAAAGCTCTCGCTGAAGCGCGACAGGCTCTCGTGCATGATCTGGAAGTGCATCATGTTGGCCTCGAGATCGGCCATGGCGTCGGCCAGCTCGGCAAAGGCGGGCTCGAAGGCGCCGAGGGGGAAGGACGCATCGGAGCCATGGACGCTATCCCGGGCCGAGTCGCGGAACGAGGACCGCGACGACGGGCGCAGCGGGGTCGTCGGGCGCGGCGTCCGCGTCCGCGACGTCGACCGCTTCCGCTCCGAGCTGGGGTTGCAGTCGCGGCTGCGGGATGCCATGGGAGGCAGATGCGCTGATGAGCACGCTATGTTACTCTCAGGCTGCTTGCTGACTCGGGCTGCATCGCCGTCTTGCTCGGGTTGGGGGCGCACGGCAAAGGTGAGGACCGAGTTGACGTTGGGCGGATCGGCTCTGGCATGGGCCGCTAACCGACGTCAGATTTCGTTTCGGAGGGTGCTGGAGTTGGTGGGACGTTTGGCCAAGACGGCCAGCCAGTCAGGTTGCGGTGCCTGAAATTAGTACTGGGTGACAGTGGGGACATGAATTGCATTGATCTTCGTGAGCAAATCTGCTGGCTTTCTCACCAACCTGGAAGTCCTAGCCCAAAAGCGATTCACCATGTGAGAGCCCCGTCAAGACCAAGACCCTGGCATTTATCCCATGTTCTATTTTTTAGCGTGTTTCTGCCAACCCGATTCTTCTGTTTTCGCGTTTTCGGGTTCGGGCTCTCGTCCCTTTGACGCGCTGGCATCGGATTCGAAAATCGAGAGCTCGCGTGACGGGTCTTGGAATGGAAGCCTCTCGAGGGAACCCGACAGATGCAAACATACAACCACCTCGCCAAGGTTACAGTACGGGGTGGCTTTTCTCCAGTCAATTACTACATCTAGGCAGATATTCTTAGTTAGTGGCAAGCGAGCACGCGCGTACCCACCCTTTGAGGAAAATGTTTCGCAGCTACGCGCACGCGAGCGGTCGGAGCCAAAACGCAAAGTAATTGCCGGGGCTCCGAACACCGCGACTGGCCAGGGCACGGCCATGGCCACGAGGCAAGATCCATGCCGCTGGAGCTCAGCGCAGTACGCAGCAGCCCAAGATCCACCGCGTCGGGGCAGTGCAACCTGCATCTTGAGACGAAGTTGGGTTCGTCGTTCAGGCCCTGCCGTCGTCGAGTCGTTGCATTAGCTCGCAATGTACGGCATGGATCCCGATATCAGTCTTGGACGGGGGGCTGGGCTGTGGCGGATGGTGCGGATGCAGGCGCTGTCAGGCTGCTGACGAAGGATTTGGGCCAGCGATGACGATTCCGATCCATTCCCTGCAAGTTCCATGAGCGGGGGGCGGGGCGTCGGCGGGCTCTGGTGGGCGCTCGCGAGTCTGTCGCACGGCAGAAATTGGCCCGCGACATGGATGCGCAATTGCAGCCGAGTGCTGACGGCTCGCTCCTGCCCAAAAACGCGCATAAGCAGAACCTCCATACTGGACTCCATCCCAGGCTGACGCTCCCAGACTGGCGCTCCCAGTTGTGGTCTCGTGCCCTGCCCCAACACCATAAAGCTTCACGCCGGAGAGAGGCCAAGGCCCAGCGTCCGCGGCCCTTTGTGTCTTTGCTCCTCTCCGCCCCTCCACTCCTGCGATTCGCCCTCCAACCCAAGACTAGGTACCTGACACAGACCTGCCACCGCGATAATCAACCGCGGCGCATTCACTATCCGCATCCGACGTACACAGCATTGCGCCCTGTCCCAGACTCGTCACGCCCCGCTTGGACTGGGCCTTGGTAGGGTCGCCGACGGGCCAAAACATCCTGAGCGCCGCATCCCCTTCGGCGCAGGCGCGCGCAGAGTTCAGTCTGCGCAGGGCTGTGAGCGGCGGTGCTTGCAAGCGTCCATCCTCGGACTCGTTGGCTCGTTCGGCCGCGGCCTGCTACTCTTGACCTGCTGCAGTAGCAAGACCATCAGACTAATTCCCGTGCGGGATCGTTCCCCTTTCTTCTTTTTTCTTTTCTTGTTTCTGCCCCTCGATTCTGTTCACCTCTGGCAGCAAGGCCTTCCCGGACTGTCTCGCGTCATCCGGCCCTCTCGACCCGATCTCCTGCGTTCCATCTTATCGACTCCTCAAAGTGAGACGGCTGGCCACTATTTCTAGACGTGTCAACACATTTGCCCTGCCAGCCGGTGTCCATATGACATCCTGGTCCCGCACTGGCCTTGCAGCAGCGCATCGTCATCTTCTTGTTGGCCCGAGGCAGACCCTTCTGTCCGTAGTCCGACCGACCGCCGACGGCTTTTGCAGTCGTACTTCATCTCATCTATCCAGAGTCCCTGTGCTTCGGAACCCCCATACCTCCCGTGTATATTCGATCGGGCCCTCGAACGCTATTAAGGACCTCCGTGCCGCTGCCTCGAAATATCGACTTCCACACACCACATCAACATCTGCGCTCCCAGCCAAGCTAGCGCATCGGGACACCAAGCATTCCCAAGGCCAGCGCGGTCCTGAGCCATACAGATCGAGCATTGAACTTGTCATTCCGGTGCTTCTCGTTGCCATCGCCGCTATTCTTTACCCAGCTTACATCCCTGACGCCCAACCCGAGGCCCCCGACTCCCCCTACGACCTAGACAACATGTCGACACAAAGCCTTCCCGGAAGGCCCGGAAACCTGACGGCCGAGCAGGACGAGCAGCTGCGCAAACTGTGGACGCGCGTCTTTGAGGTGTGCGGCATAGTCGACCCTGCTGGCGCAACAGCAGCACCCAACGCTGATTCGGTTGCGCCGGAACCGCTAGCGGCAGCGGACCGCAAACTTTCCGAACCAGATGGGGACAAAACCAAGAAGAAGCGACTGGGCCTCTTCTCGAGGAAAAGCAAGAAAGATGTGGAAAAGACATCCGAGAACGGCAAGACGCCCGACAAGCCAGAGACGCCGTCTATCGCATCTAGCAACAAGACCGCCGCAGGCGACGTCAAGGAGGGCGACCCAGAAGACAAATACGGACAGAACAAGATTTTCCTCGACACCTTGGCTACGCAGTCACCCGAGTCGCTGCGGGCCACCATATGGAGCATGACCAAGCACGACAACCCGGATGCGTTGATGCTACGGTTCTTGCGCGCGCGCAAGTGGGACGTGGAACGAGCTCTTGTCATGTTCATCTCTTCTATCAGTTGGCGCGCCACCGACGCCCATATTGACGACAAAATCATGCGCTGGGGTGAAGGCGGTGCAGCAGAGGATGCAGCCAAGGGTGAAGGCGATGCTCAGAAGCTCGGGCAAGACTTCCTCAAGCAGATGGAGCTGGGCAAGAGCCTCATACATGGTGTCGACAAAGCGGGCAGGCCAATTTGCCTGGTCAGAGTTCGCATTCACAAGGCGGGAGAGCAGTGCGAAGAGTCCGTGGAAAGATACACAATTTTCCTGATAGAGACCACAAGGCTTCTGATCAGGCCGCCAGTCGATACCGCGGTAAGCTGCGACGCCTGGGCCCCTGTGGCGGTTCCTTCTTTTTTTCTGTCCCGTCAGAGAACCCACCATACTAATTATTTCTTATCTCAGACCATCATCTTCGACATGACCGGATTTTCCATGGCCAACATGGTAAGTCGCTCTCCCCTTCGCTCGATCAGAACATGTCACTGACAGTATCATGCAGGACTATGCGCCTGTTAAGTTCATGATCAAGTGCTTCGAGGCCAACTTCCCGGAATGCCTCGGTGCCGTGCTCGTCCACAAAGCTCCATGGATCTTCCAGGGTATGTTATCTTATTTCGCCGCCTATCAGAGTCAGGAACCGCATTCTATGGTATAAACATACACTAATGGGGCGCAAAAACGTTGCAGGTATTTGGCGAATCATCAAGGGGTGGCTTGACCCCGTGGTGGCCAGCAAGGTGCACTTCACAAACGACGCCAAGGCAATGGAGGAGTTTGTGGCGCTCGACAAGCTTCCAAAGGAGCTTGATGGCGAGGAGGACTGGCAGTACAAGTACACTGCGCCAGTTCCGGGCGAGAACGACAAGATGAAAGACACAGCAACACGCGACAAGCTTCTGGCAGAGCGCGAACTCATCTACCGACAATACGAGGACGCGACGCTGCGCATGATCCGGGACCCCACGGATCAGGCCGCCCGCAAGGAGCGCACCGAGATAGTAACGCGCATGCGGACGCAGTACTGGCAGCTGGATCCCTACATCCGCGCTCGCTCGTGGTATGACCGCACAGGAGTGCTCAAGCCCGACGGGAGCATCGATTACTACCCCGCCACGGCGACGAATGGGACAGGGGCTGCGTCTCCGCCACCAGTCCAAGGGACCAGCAGCGGAAGCAGTAGCGTGGTCGAGGCTCCTAACGAGAAGGTGGCCGTGGAGCATTCTACCCCAGTCGTGGTTCCCGTCAATGGGGTAGCGTAGATAGGGGTCGCTTTGTGGACATTTTTCTTTCTTAATTCTTGGTTCTTTTATTTATTTTTTTGGCGCTAGTAAGCGCATACCTTCTTTTCCGGTCATGTTCGTTTTCGCTGAACAGTTTACAAGCAGTATGTGGAAGTACCATACCACGCGTGTTATCGGGATTGTTGCATTCTGGCACGTCCCAAGATAGCTCGCATCTCGACATATTTCTCTGATTTCGGGCTTTCCAGGGGCGTTGGACTTTTCTTAGGTATATATGAACAAAGATATACCTTGATACAGGCCGAGATGGCGCTATTCCTTTTTGTTAGTAGGTATTAACCTTATGAACACCCTACTCAGAGTCGATCGTTCACAATGCGCGAATGCGAGGCGCGGGGCTTCATCTCATAATAGAGTTCCACCAAGGCTTGATTCGACTGCACCGGGCGTTGATACCCAGCCTGACCCCTGCATCATGTCGCTTTCGTTTGCTCTCTTTATTCACATGTTCACATCTTGGCCTTCATCTCCTCAAAAGTCGCCTTAAGTTTGTCCATGTCCGTAGCCTGGGCCGGCCAAGCACCCGGACCAAGAATAAGGCCCTCCGCGTCGTTTGGCTTCGGAATCTGCTCGAAAAACCATTGGGTTAGTTGCACAAAACTCGAAGGACCAGGTCGTTTTACACGCGCCGGGGAACAAGGGTCGATACCATGTGGAAATGGACCTGTTTGTGAGCAACAGACGTGGATAGTCAGCGTGGGCACGATCCTGCCCGCAAGCGGGAGGATATGGTGACAGTCGGTAGGCGGTTTATAAACTGACATGTTCAACAACTTGGTGAGCGATGGCACCGTTGTTCTGCAGTACGTTGTACTCCGTTGCGCCAGCAGCCTGGGCGAGCTTCTTGGCGACGGGCTGAAATGGCAAGGACCTGTCAGCCGTTCCCTCCCTTCCTACCACCAACCAACAAAGAGGGACAGCATGGGCCACCGGCGGCGTACCAGGATTTCGGTCAGGCTGTCGTCGGGGATGTCGTGCAGCTTCACGCCGTGGAATTTTGGAATCACGAGCTGTCGGGGACGTTCGGAGGGGCGAGTGTGTGGCACCGGTCAGCGCTCGTGTAAGCGTGCTTTGCGTGCAGAGAGGGAAGCTGAGGATGGCGTTCGGGACGGCCTCGGGATCTATGCTATGCTGGGGGGAGGGGAGCACTGTACCGCATGGCCCTCGGTCAGAGGGTTGATGTCGAGGAATGCAAAGACCTTGTCGCTCTCGTAGAGCTTGAACGAAGGGATGTCGCCTGGCAATTCCCCGTGTTTTTTGTTAGCTGCCAACGCGGCGCAGGACGGGGCGTGCTGGCGCGCGGCGGGCGCTGGCTGGAGCTCTGTTGCAACCAGCATTGCGCCCCCGCACGAGGAGGAACCGGGGGCGTACCCTTGATGATCTTGCAGAAGAGGCAAGACGCCATTTTGCTGGCCATATCACGCTTTCTGGGGAAGTGTATAGATGACAAGCAAGAGAAAAGGGTGATCGGGGCAGGAGTTTGTGCCGAGGGAAGCTCTGTCTTAGAGAGGGGTGCTGCTGAGTGTCAAATGGAATGATCCCCAGCGCCCACGTCATCAGAGTGGGGGCTGACAGGACCCCATTTTTCGGTTGACCCAGAAGACTCGAACCTTTATAAAGGGCCCTAGGGTACGAGTCGTTCGGAGGCAGACGGACACATTACCACTACTCTTGCCTTTTACCAGATTAGTCAAATGGTCTGCTGCAATACCTCCACTATTCAATCTTTGGAACCCACCTCTGGAACACCCAGATTCGATTTTCTCTTTTGCCACCTTTCTTTTCTTTTTTTTTTTGTCCCTCCCGCAATTCTGGTCAATCCAACAGCGCAAAGGAACGCGACAAACAGTTCTTTAAGAAATACAGTTTAACATGCAGATTTAATTCCTTCTGTTCTCCTTTGCCTGTAAATGCTTGGAACGAAATCCTTGTTTATCTGACGGACCACAAACCTCTAACAGGCAACTTCCATCCAGTTAACCGCTCCCACTATTGTCATGCTGCCTACAAGCAACCCGACATTGTGGTCCCCGCCCGGCTTCAGCTTCAGGACGCCAGCCTCTCCAGCACACAGGGCCGAATCATCGGCAGGCCGTGACGAAAAGTTGGCTTTCATTGGCCACAGGCGAACCCAAGCAATGCCTTGATCCTACTTGGCGCCACTCAGGCAGCAACCACAGCACCCCGCTAGCTGACGTGCCCGCCCCTCCAAGTCGTGTCTGAACCCCACCTGACATGAGGACCACGCGCAGGACAAACGACATCATTGCCTTGCACAGCCGCCCAGGGCTGCAGGTCGCAATGCCAACAGCCGCCGAGTGCACTTGGTCGCCTCGCCCGGAACAAGCCATTCCCCACGAGGCTCTCCCCCTAACTTCTGGTCGCAACCGTCCCCGCCAGTGTCCCAACGACCGTGACCAATCCCCCCAGAACCATCGACCATTACAGATTCCCCGGCCGCCCGCCCAACTCGAGCAGCATGTCGACTTTCAAGACGACGAAACTGTTTGGCGGGGCCCTCAGCAGCGAAATCCCGGAGCAGTTCGCCGATGTCAGGTATGCAAGCTTTACATGCTTCTAGCCGCCTCCCCCCACAGCTGGGCTTGGGCTGACTTTCGGACTTGCTTCCCCCCCTTTGCCAGCCAAATCCGCCAGGTGCCCGACCACCAGGAGGTCTTCATCGACAAGGACGGCTTCACGAGCATAATCGTCGAGATCACGGAGCGCGTCGGCCCCGCGGGCAGCACGCCCGAGATCGACGGCAAGGCGCTGTCGGTGCACCTCGAGGACATCGTCGGGTCCGACGACGTCGACGGCGTCAAGGTCTGGAACACGACCGACACCGAGTTCTCGCGCGTGAGCCCCGAGATCCCCGCCTACACCCTTATCGCCACCCAGAAGCCGCGACAGGACCTCCGCTCGCCCGGCGGCTCCGCGGCCGCCCCGGACTTCACGGCCCTCATCCTCACGCTGCTGCGCCTCGAGCGCGAGCAGACCGACATCCTCATCACCGTCAACGTGCCCCACATCAAGGGGTCCTACGACGAGGAAGAGGTCGACCTCGAGCTGGGCAAGCAGGGCAAGCTGATTGGCGACGCCGTCGAGTACGCCGCTAGGATGTGGTCGACCTTTGCCATCCATGATTGGAAGATATTTGATGGCATTTAGACTCTGTACCTTTTGAGGGGTATGGGAATGTGTCATGACGTTGATGACATGACCTTACGATGACGCGTCTCCTTATATGGAAATCTCATTTTGATGTTTTTCGTGATCGCTTTCACGATGGCGCTTTGTATGATATTTTCTTGACTTGGAATATGAACCACTCTAGGTAGGGCCTTTCTACACAGCTATAAATGCAAAGCAGTCTCTTCAGCTGCGTTGCTTACGCTCCAAATTACACGCTCTCGCGCCCACAGCGCTTACTGATACGTGATTTGTTTTGGAAGGGATGCGCAGTTGTCTATCTAGGCAAGCATGTACAGGTACTATCGATAAAGATGGAGGGATATGTATCCCGCCGGAGACGGGTCAGCGCGCAATTCAACTATCTTGTATGTTCAGCGATACCAGTCCATCAACAACATCATCCACATCTTGCTCCTCCGCCTCGGCCGCTTTTGCCTTGCCCCGCGTCTTTGTCGTCTTCTTGGACGTCTTTGCCCACCGCTCGGCAACCAGCTTCATGACCTCCTTCTGCGGGCTGCCAGGATGCTCCTGCCGGATGAGCTTCATGTGCTCGCTCATGAATTTTTGATATTCAGAAGGCACCCTCTTCTCCCCGCCAGCCAATCCCGCCCCCACCGCCGTCCCGGCCGCCGCTCCGGCGCCGCCCCGCGGCTTGGGCTTGATCTGGACCAGCTCGCCCTTGCACACGCCGCAGCGGTGGCGGCGCGGGTCGACGCTCTTGGAGTGGCGCTTGTACTCTAGCGCGCACTCGGCGCACTCCCAGACGTACTTAAAGTCGATGTCGTACGAGTGCTTGGTCGTGACGGCGATGCCGCGGTCGCCAAAGGCGCGCGAGCACGCGGCCGCCCAGGCCTTGAACTCGCGCCCGTGCGGGTTGCCCGTCACGCCGCTGACCATGAAGTTGGCGAGGTGGCAGAACTCGTGCGCCAGCACGTTGAGCAGCCGGTCCTCGCTGTCGATCACCTTCTCGGCCAGCTCGATGGACGCGTGGTGCCGGTGCGTCACCGTCTCGGTCGCGGCCCCGGCCGAGCCGGCGGCCGCCCGGTGTCGGGTCCGCACCGTCTCGCGCCGCCAGCTCGCGCGCCCGGCCGTCGTGTTGAGCTTGTTGGTCCACTGGATCCGGACCCCGCCCGTCGACGCTGCCAGCTCCCCCAGCTTGCCCATCGTGATGACCCGGTCCAGCTCGCGCAGGAACCGCTCGGCCGTCCCGTGCCTCGTCGCCTCGAAGCTCTTCTTGGCCTCGCGCTGCTTGGCCGCGAGCCCCTTCTCCTTCTTCTCGGGGCCCCTAGCCACGGCCTTTGCGGGGCTGGCAAAGAGCTTCCTGGGCGAGTGCTTGTCGTTCCACTCGTCCGTCACCTCCTGGTCCCAGAACGCGTCCGTGCCGGGGCCGTGAGGCGTCATGGGGATCCGTGGGGGCTTCTTGCTCGGAGACACGAGAACATTGGGCCGGACCTTGGGCGGCGTGCTTGGCGGAGGCGTCTCCGGTCTCTTCCTGACCGCATTCTGGGTCTCTGGTGGCGGCGTTGGCTCCCTAATAGTTTATTAGAATTACACGCTGAGCTTGCCTGATATGGGCTACTCTCTGCCGGTTTAGAACAACTTACAGCCGCAGCGAAGAAAGAGATTCGGCAAGGCCCTTGGTGAGACTTGAAGGCTTATCACTACGCCTTGATGACTTTTCTTTTTTGTCCACCTCCTGTGAGCCATTGCCCCCTGACGCCTTGGGCTGGTCGCCGTCCTTGGATTTGGTGCTCGAGGACGTCGATTCTGGACCACGTCGTGTATCTGCTGCCTTTGGTGCGCCTTTTTCTCGGCGACTCGGCTCCTCTAGCTTCTCTGCGGAGACTTTCGCCTTTGATGCTATGTTCCGTCGAACGTCCTTGGGTGGCTCTTTTTCACTGCTCAGTCCAGATTTGGTTCCCCGACTAGGCCGTGTAGGCTTTGATCTTGGTGGCGGGTCGGGCTCAGACAAATCATCGAAGCTGTCCTCGTCAGAGCTCGAAAGCGAGAAGTATACCGAGTCGTCCACGATAGTGACTTCTTCAACAATAGTCTCTCCTTCGGACTCTTCCTCTTCTGCCTCGACAGTTTTCACGTTGGCAGCGGCCGCTCTCGGTTTCCTGGCACGGAGCTCCACTCTTGGTCCTCCGACGTCCTCTCGCTTCCCTCCCGAGCGCAGGTTGTCAGAATTACCACCCCTCTGCGAGCTAGGCTCCAGATTCTTGCCCAGGGGTCGAAGCAGGGGGTTATCGACTGCCTGTCCCAACTTCCGACGTCTGACAGTGGCCTCCCTGGGTGAGTCGTCTGAATTCTGGCTCCCAGTGCTGTCTTTGGCGCTTTTAGTTGGTATGGCTGCCTTTTGGCGCAATAGCTGGTTTACCGAGGGCAGCTCATCTTCAGACTCCTCGTCGGCCCACACACGCGCCATGGCACCAGATCGAGCCCAGGGAAGTGGTTATGGATGAGAAAATAGTATACGTGGGAATATAATTGACGATGCTGTTAAGTCGTGGTGCTGCCAACAGCTTCGATTGTTCTCTCTTGCACAGAATCAACATGCGGTAAGTTGCCAGGAGCAACTCAACACGCACAGCCAGCGCTCTGACCCACTTTCGCCATCTGTATCCACCACGTCGGACGAATGTCCATTGTCCAGCGGTGGACCGACAGCCTACTACGAGGGCGGTCAAGAATTAGAAGCGGGATCACCAACCCGCCATAACCGAAGAAAAATGGGATAATACTCGCTGACTTAGTCTGCAAATTTTTGGAAGGTGGCCTCATTATGACAGTTAGCTGGGGCTTGGGCACGGTATTCCTGGAGCACAAGAAGTCACAAAGCTTCATCAAGGGTCAAACGGGGCCTCCCACTCTGTGGGCGGGGAAGGATTCATCCAGCAGACGGGATCGACCAATATTCTATCCTCTAGGCATCCCTTCGCATCCTCCCCACGAGCCAATGCTAAACTACTGCCAGGCAGCAGTAGGAGAAACCCGGCACCATATCCAGGTACATTGCAGATACGTTTACTCAGCCTAGAGCAATGTGCTTTACAATTGCTGGCTTCATGCACACTTGGGACCAAGCCGTGCCCTGAGCTGTAGGCCTGCCCGGCATCTGAGGATGCAGAATACCAATAAAAATGGCATGAGCTTCATGGAGCGTTCGCTGTCATTTAGCCACCGCGCGTGCCGCTAGTATATGCACGCCGGCCGTCCTGTAAGTTTAAATTAGTGTAGCATGCAGCATCATGGAAGCCCGGGGCCTAATGGAACTTGGGATGTCGGCCGTTTGCTAGATGACCAAATACGCTTCGCTGATAAGAATAACGATGGTATAGTTGTCATTTACTCCCTTTAATCTGGATCTGTTCAAAAAAAAAAAAAAAAAAAGGCTTTACTTATACTAGTAGTTCTTTGGCATATCTCAATGCTAGGACAAATGTGCCCAACAGGCCGTACGAACATTATCCCCAAAATACGTCACGAAGAAAGCCTGCCAGGTCCCTGGCGAAATGAATAATAAGCAAAGCCAATACGTTCGCACTAAAAATGCCATTGATCCATCATCACCAGCCATTGCAATTACTTTGGTGGCTGAGAGTCGGTACTGGCAGCAGTGGCATAGCTGTTGTGTGCGTTGTTGGCCCGCTCCTCCAACAAGGTTTTTGGCTTTTGGGCTTTTGGTCTGCACGGGGACAGGGGTTAAAATTGGAAAACGTCATCGGCGACACCATGATGCTTTCTAATGTCAGGAGGCTGACAGAGAATAAAAAATTGGACAACCGTGTTGTTCATCCATACTGTGTCCGCCCTAGGAGGAGCCGATTGGTTTGTACCTGCATGGGTCTTGGGGAGGTAAGATTCTCGCCCTCTTTGGGCTCACCATCGTCAATGCCCGTATTTGTATGGTATCAGCTGCCTCCTGCCATCACCAACACGATAGACACCACATGCAGGCCATTCGAAAGCACGATTTCACTCGTTTCTGTGCTCCCTCCACTCAGAGATGTGGCGTGAGTCGCGGAGGGAGGGGAGCTGGTGGGTGGTTAGTGCGTTGATAACGAGGCCGGCTCTAAGCCACTGTCTCGCTGTTTCACGGCTCGATCAAAACGGAGCGCGCACCACTTGGGGCCCACACCTCCCATTCCGACCTCCCGTCTCTGGCTTCCCGTTTTCGCTGGCGCAGCGGTCGTCCGGCACACAGTGTTGACGCTAGTTGCGCACCTCAAGGGTGCCGCTGTCTAAACTTGGAACAGAATTGCCACAGTGTCACCGACGGAATGAATGCCAGTCAATCAATAGCAACAGTTCCCTATCTTTTCTCCAAGTGCCCGCGTGCTTGCCGTCCCTTTTGTAAGTAACTGCTCGGATGAATCGGATACTTGTGAGTTTGGGCGTGCTGCCACGCTGCGCTCAACGCTAGCTTTCGTCAATGGAAGTCCGCAGCACGCACAGTAATCGGCAGACGGTCTGGTTCCAGTTCTTGGTGAGAGGGTGGGACTGGACATGCCCGAATGCCGGGCAAATAAACCAATTCGTTTGTGCTTTTGAATCGGAATCGACCAACTCAGGGCCAGCGAATAAGATGCCCCTCCTGATGGGAGCACGGAAGATACAATGGCAACGGGAGCACGGGAGTTCCTGTCCAGTGCTGGCTTCCATCGGACGATCTTTCCGGTCTGTGCATGATGCTGTGATGCGAGGAGGCGAATGGCTCTCAATGTGTTACGGCGACGCAACCTGCATCTTGCGTTCACCCCGTGTCGGTGTGATTGTGGTCAGTTGATCGGCTGGACGGAGGAAACACGTTCGGATGCCAAAAAAACAAAAACACACAAAAAAGCCAGCCATTATCGTTCTGCAGCAGAAATCTGCTTTTGATTCCTTTTCATCTGCTGCCTCGATCCTCAGAGTCTGGCCCAAGGCAATTAGAGCCGGGTAGCATTTACCGACCGGAACGGTACCGCAAGGGAACCTGGCTTGATGCAGGTGTCAGGGTGGAGGTGGAGGGGTACGACACAGCGGGCAGTCGTTGGCCACCGAAACGGCGGAGGGAATGTGCTGACATGAAGGTACCTGCTCTGTCACGCAGCGGCCAACGCCAGAGTCACGGCCAGGTCCCCAGTGCCAAGCGATGCGCTAGCTGGCACAAAGCAAGGTTGGGAGGTGGGGCCGCCCGCCCTGGCTGGACCCCCCCTGATTGATGCGATCCATCTGAGGCTCCTTTTTGCCAACGGACCTGGCGCGAGCGGACACCACAGCCACCCAATCCATCCGCCCAATCCGCTGCGAGATCTCTTGTGTCGTGCCGGGCCTCCTTTTCTTCCTTTTCCCCCTTTCGCTTGGCACAAAGTTTCCTTTCTTTCTTCCAATCCTCCGAGCTCACTACCCGACATTCGTTGTCATTCCCGTCGGCTCTTGCCTTCGATTTTTTTTATATCGTGTTTTCTGTATTGCCGTCCACCCACGTATCCAGTCAATCGCTATCTGGTGCGTTTGAGGAGAAAGTGCGAGAGGGTGCGGTTTCGTGCGAATAAGCCGTGCTCTGGACTGTGACGCACGAGTCAACGTTGGGAGTCGCTCGCCCTTAGAAACCGTTTCCTGCCCATCCCATAGAAACCGTTTCCTGCCCATCCCATCTTTCCTCCTGCTCCTGTTACCGCCCACACCCGCCCTGCCGACACGGACGACACGCGCGCTGTGCAGTAGTGGAAAGAAGAAGGCCCGACGCCTGCAGTCAATCGCTCCGACAGACGATCCCCTCTACTCTTTCCGCGCAACAATCTTGCAATCGAGGAAGCTGGTGGACAGGTGCAACCCTCTCATTTGCCACCCCTCGGCCACTCTCTTGACGCGTGTGGCTTGCAGGCTGGAATTGCTTGGCTCCCTCCAGCACCCGAACACGGCTCTGGCACAGCCCACGCCATCTCCAAGCCAACACGAAGGCTGTTCTTGATTTGCTCGCCGCGTTCCGCCGCTCTCTCGCAGCAACACAACATCATCTACCCGACTAATTTCGCCTCAAGGCACGACGAACACAACCACACTCGCTCCCATCACTGCTGTGGCCGGCCACACTTAATCCAGCAGTCGCTCATCATCTCTCCCTCGGCATTGCTTTGCCCAGGATAATCGTCGCCATTCTGCTTCTGTCTTTTTTGGACAGCAGCTCTATCGGATCCCATCCATGAGTTTATGATTGATTGGTGAGTTGCTCGATTCCTGACCGAACCTCTTCCTCCGGACATTGCTTACTCGATGGCTCCATCCCGAATCCAGCAAGAAGACACCGGCTCGGGATGACCATTGCAGTTTCCATGCTGCTTTCGCACTGCTAACCCACTGTCCCCAACCACAGACGACCTTTGCCCATTATGTCGGGGCCACAACGTCCCAACCGGAATGACTACGATGATGGCTACGGCCGGAATCAGGGGGGAGGCGGAGGAGACTACTACCAGGACGACCACTCGCAGCAGCAACAGTACTACGACAACGGCTACGATAGCGGCCAAGGCGGCTATGGTGGCCAGGGCGGTCAAGGTGGTCAAGGTGGCCAGGGTGGCCAAGGTGGCCAAGGTGGCCAAGGTGGCCAAGGTGGCCAAGGCGGCAGGAATGGGGATGGATACTACGATGAATCGTATGTTGCGCCTAATCTTCCTCTTCACGCGTGTTCTCTGAATTTTCTAACGCAGATGTTCGCAGGGGCTACTACAACGCCGATCCAAACAATCCCTACCAGCAAGACGGCGGGTACTACGACAATAATGATCAGTACCAAGACGATTACTACAACAACAACAACAACGGCGCCTACTACGACCAGGGATACGACCAGGGCTATAACAATCCCAACGGTCGGCGCGGTCAGGGTTCCGAGGATGATTCAGAGACCTTCAGCGATTTCACTACCGGCGGCCCCGGCGGTGACTACTACGGTGGCGGTGACCCGCGGTACAACAGCTATAATGACGGCCAGGGTGGTGGTCGTGGTTACCGCCCGCCATCGTCGCAGGTTTCATACGGTGGAAACCGCTCGTCCGGAGCGTCAACCCCCAACTATGGCATGGACTACGGTGCCGCGGCCGCTCAGAGGTCGCGCGAACCGTACCCGGCGTGGACTTCAGATGCGCAGATCCCACTTTCCAAGGAAGAGGTCGAAGATATCTTCATCGATCTTTGTTCAAAGTTCGGGTTCCAGCGTGACAGCATGCGCAACATGTACGACCACCTGATGACGCTGCTCGACTCGAGGGCATCCCGCATGACGCCCAACCAGGCCCTGCTCTCCCTTCACGCCGACTACATTGGCGGAGACAATGCCAACTACCGCAAGTGGTACTTCGCGGCACACCTTGATCTGGACGACGCTGTCGGCTTCGCAAACGTCAAGGGCAAGGGCCTGAAGCGCAAAAACAAGAAGAAGAAGGGAGATGAGGCACAAAACGAGGCCGACATGCTCCAGGACCTCGAGGGAGACGACTCTCTCGAGGCAGCAGAGTACAGGTGGAAGACTAGGATGAACCGCATGTCTCAGCACGACCGCATTCGCCAGTTGGCTCTCTATCTGCTCTGCTGGGGTGAGGCGAATCAGGTTCGCTTTATGCCTGAGTGCCTGTGCTTCATCTTCAAGTGCGCCGACGACTACCTCAACTCGCCTGCCTGCCAGAACCTGGTCGAACCAGTTGAGGAGCTCACGTTCCTCAACCAAGTCATCACGCCACTGTACCAGTACTGTCGCGACCAGGGATACGAGATCGTCGATGGAGTTTACGTTCGCCGTGAGAGGGACCACAACAGGATCATTGGCTACGACGACTGCAATCAGCTTTTCTGGTACCCTGAGGGTATCGAGCGCATTGTACTGGAGGACAAGACCAAGCTCACCGATGTTCCTCCCGCCGAGCGTTATCTCAAGCTCAAGGATGTCAACTGGAAGAAGTGCTTCTTTAAGACATACAAGGAGACGCGTTCATGGTTCCATCTCATCACAAACTTCAACCGCATCTGGATTATCCACCTGACTATGTGGTGGTACTTCACTGCCTTCAACTCGCCGACGCTCTTGGTCCCCAACTATGAGCAAGAGGCGAACAACGTGCCGCCCAACTCCGTCATGTGGTCCATCTGCGGCCTTGGTGGTGGAATTGCCTCCCTGATCCAGATTCTGGCTACCATCTTCGAGTGGATGTACGTCCCTCGGCGCTGGGCAGGCGCACAACACTTGACGAAACGCCTGTTCTTCCTTCTTGGTGTTTTCGTCCTCAACGTGGGCCCGGCCGTGTATATCTTCATGCCGGCGAAGGACCTGCCGACATTTGAGGCGCGCCAGAAGAGCCAAGTTGCCCTGATTATCTCGATCGTGCACTTCTTCATCTCCGTCATCACCTTCATCTTCTTCACTATCATGCCTCTCGGCGGTCTTTTCGGCAGCTACCTTACCAAAAACTCTCGCCGCTATGTCGCCAGCCAGACCTTCACTGCCAGCTACCCCAGGCTCTCCGGCAACGACATGGCTCTGTCTTATCTCCTCTGGATCATCGTTTTTGGTGCTAAACTGGGAGAGTCTTACGGCTACCTCGCGCTCTCCTTCCGCGACCCTGTCCGGTACCTTCAGATCATGAACATTGACTGTCGGGGCGACAAGCTGCTTCCGGTTGGCATGCAGGATCTGCTGTGCAAACTCCAGCCCAAGTTCCTGCTGTGCCTGATGGGTTTCACTGATCTCATCTTCTTCTTCCTCGACACCTACTTGTGGTACGTCTTGGTCAACACGGCCGTCTCGGTCGCTCGCTCCTTCTACCTGGGCGCATCCATCTTGACCCCGTGGAGGAATATCTTCTCCCGACTGCCGAAGCGCATCTACTCCAAGGTGCTGGCAACGACAGACATGGAGATCAAGTACAAGCCCAAGGTCCTCATCTCCCAGATCTGGAACGCTATTGTCATCTCCATGTACCGCGAGCACCTGTTGGCCATTGACCACGTCCAGAAGCTGTTGTACCACCAGGTCCCATCCGAGCAGGAGGGCAAGCGGACACTGAGGGCTCCCACCTTCTTCGTTTCCCAGGAGGACCACTCGTTCAAGACAGAGTTCTTCCCTGCCCAGAGTGAGGCCGAGCGCCGCATCTCCTTCTTTGCGCAGTCGCTTTCCATCCCCATTCCTGAGCCGCTCCCCGTCGACAACATGCCGACCTTCACTGTCCTCATTCCTCACTACAGTGAGAAGATTTTGCTGTCGCTCCGCGAGATCATTCGCGAGGATGAGCCATACTCGCGCGTCACTCTTCTCGAGTATCTGAAGCAGCTCTACCCCCATGAGTGGGACTGCTTTGTGAAGGACACCAAGATTCTGGCCGATGAGACGTCGCAGTTTAACGGCGATGGTGAAAAGGACGAGAAGGATACGGCCAAGAGCAAGATTGACGATCTCCCATTCTACTGCATCGGTTTCAAGTCCTCTGCTCCCGAGTACACTCTCAGGACTCGCATCTGGTCTTCGCTTCGCTCTCAGACTCTGTACCGCACCATCTCTGGTTTCATGAACTACAGCCGCGCCATCAAGCTTCTCTACCGTGTCGAGAACCCCGAGGTCGTCCAGATGTTTGGAGGCAACTCTGAGAAGCTGGAGCGTGAGCTCGAGCGCATGGCCCGCCGGAAGTTCAAGATTTGCGTCTCGATGCAGCGTTTTGCCAAGTTCAAGAAGGAGGAGATGGAGAACGCTGAATTCCTGCTTCGTGCGTACCCTGATCTCCAGATCGCCTACCTGGATGAGGAAGCTCCTCTGAACGAGGGCGACGAGCCTCGTATCTACTCGGCACTTATCGATGGCCACTCTGAAATCATGGAGAACGGTGTCCGCCGTCCCAAGTTCCGTGTCCAGCTCTCCGGCAACCCCATTCTCGGCGACGGCAAATCCGACAACCAGAACCACTCCATCATCTTCTACCGAGGCGAATACATTCAGCTCATCGACGCAAACCAGGACAACTACCTCGAAGAGTGTCTCAAGATCCGCAGCGTGCTCGCCGAGTTTGAGGAGATGAAGATCGATAACGCATCGCCCTACACGCCTGGGGTTAAGAACGTTGCCAAGGCTCCTGTCGCCATTCTGGGTGCGCGCGAGTACATCTTCTCGGAGAACATCGGCATTCTCGGTGACGTCGCCGCTGGCAAGGAGCAGACGTTCGGTACCCTGTTCGCTCGTACCCTGGCTCAGATTGGTGGCAAGCTTCACTATGGTCACCCCGATTTCCTCAACGGCATTTTCATGACCACGCGCGGCGGTGTTTCCAAGGCTCAAAAAGGTCTGCATCTCAACGAGGATATTTACGCCGGAATGAACGCCGTGTTGCGCGGTGGTCGCATCAAGCACTGCGAGTACTACCAGTGTGGCAAGGGTCGTGATCTCGGATTTGGCTCCATTCTCAACTTCACCACCAAGATCGGCACTGGTATGGGAGAACAGATGCTCTCCCGCGAGTACTACTACCTCGGCACGCAGCTTCCTCTGGATCGATTTCTGTCCTTCTACTACGCTCACCCCGGCTTCCATGTGAACAACATTTTCATCATGTTGTCCATTCAGATGTTTATCATCTCGCTGCTCAACATAGGAGCCTTGAAGCACGAGACCATTCCTTGCAACTACAACCGGAGCGTTCCCATCACCGACGAGATGTTCCCCACCGGCTGCCAAAATACCGAGGCTCTCACGGACTGGGTTTTCAGGAGTGTTCTGTCCATCATCTTCGTGCTTCTTCTGTCCTACGTCCCACTGGTCGTGCAGGAGCTGTTCGAGCGTGGTGTCTCTCGCGCCGCCTTCCGTCTAGCCAAGCAGATCTGCTCTCTGTCTCCTCTCTTTGAGGTGTTCGTCTGCCAAATCTATGCCAACGCTGTCCACAACAACTTGTCGTTCGGTGGCGCTCGCTACATTGGTACCGGTCGTGGTTTCGCCACGGCCCGTATCCCCTTCGGCGTTCTCTACTCTCGCTTTGCCGCGCCGTCCATCTACTTTGGCGCCCGCCTTTTGTTGATGCTGTTGTTTGCGACCGTCACCATCTTCCAGGGCGCTCTGGTCTACTTTTGGATCACGCTGCTTGCGTTGGTCATCTCGCCCTTTCTCTACAACCCTCACCAGTTTGCCTGGAACGACTTCTTCATCGACTACCGTGACTACCTGCGTTGGCTCTCGCGTGGCAACTCTCGGTCTCACGCCTCCTCCTGGATCGCCTACTGCCGTTTGTCCAGGACTCGCCTCACCGGATACAAGCGCAAGGCGGTTGGAGACCCAACGGCCAAGCTTTCCGCCGATGTGCCTCGTGCCTCGTTCACCAATGTCTTCTTCAGCGAAATCGTCTCACCCTTCCTCCTGGTCGTTGTTACTCTCGTTCCGTTCCTGTACATGAACGCTCAGACTGGCGTTCTTCAAGATCGGAACCCTGGCCTCAACATTCAACCGACCGGTGCCCTCCTGAGAATTGGTGTCATAGCGCTGGCACCTATCGGGGTCAACGCCGTCGTGCTCCTTATCATGTTCTTCATGGCCTGTTTTATGGGCCCTCTGTTGAGCATGTGCTGCAAGAAGTTTGGTAGCGTCCTTGCCGCCATCGCGCACGCTCTGGCAGTGATCATGCTGCTTGTCTTCACCGAAGTGCTCTTCGTCCTCGAGAGGTTCAGCTTCGCTCGGACGCTCTCGGGCATGATCGCCGTGGTGGCTATCCAGAGGTTCCTTCTCAAGCTGATCGTGTGCCTGGGTCTTACACGAGAGTTCAAGGGAGATCAGGCCAACATCGCCTTCTGGACTGGAAAGTGGTACTCTATGGGATGGCATACAATTTCACAGCCTGCACGAGAGTTCCTGTGCAAGATTACGGAGCTGAGCTTCTTTGCTTCCGACTTCATTCTTGGACACGTTCTTCTCTTCCTCATGCTTCCCGTCATCCTCATTCCCCAGATCGACAAGCTGCACTCGACCATGCTCTTCTGGCTCCGCCCTAGGTATGTTTTCAAATCCCCTCTCGGTTGCGGTCTGCCAGTGTCTCGCTTTTAGCATCCGAATGTTCATGTCGCTCACAAGTCTCGTCTCTCTAGCCGTCAAATTCGCCCGCCTATCTACTCCATGAAGCAGTCGAAGCTGAGGCAACGCCGTGTCGTTCGCTACGCTATCCTTTATTTCGGGTTGCTTGTCGTGTTCGTCGCTATGATCGGCGGACCCGTATTCCTTGGGGGCCAATCCAACCTCGTGACTTCTATTACGAAGCCTATCGAGGGTATCTCACCCATCAGGCAATTCGGTCTTTTCCAGTCCAGTGTCATCAGCAACAACAACACGAACGAAACCACAGCCACGGGCACCGGGGCTCCAAACTACTCGGGAGTTCGCAAGACCACGGCGTCGGCTGGAGCCACCGGGGTCGCTGCTAGGAGCGTCGTTCTTATTTGAGTCTTTCAAGTCGCTTCCCTTGCTGGGCTTGTTTGTTTCTAGACTTGCGCCGCTCCCCTCGCCAGCACATAATCTGTATCTCTCGTTGGGGAAGGTTGGTGGCAGTTAGCAATGCCTCTTTATACAAGCGCCTGTATACGGCACGAGACTGGGAGAGGTTCAGTGACTTTGATTTCTATTTCAGACTCCTGAGCTCAAGCCCAAGCACTCTAATCTTCCTGTTCTCTCATTCTCCACCCTTATTCCACTTTTTCTGGCTTTGCGCCTTTGTTGTCCTCGTCTTAGCATTGCAACTCGGTGGTCGGCGGTATGGTAAACAGAAACATGCTTTTGTCTAGATTTCAATACGCTCGCATATTTGCTATTCTTAGGACACCTCGTTTTGATTCTCTACATGCTTAAGTAGCTGCTCGTAATCCCATTGAACAGTATGTCGCCTTCGTAAAATTTGCTATAGTGGTTTAGGCGCAGGTTTGACATTTCGCGATCAGCTCCCGAAGAATGATGAAATTCCGCCTTCACAGAATCCGATGACCCTACGTGCCCACTTCGGTGTAATGCGCGAGACCAGTGCCGTATGCACCAGCAGACACTGTGGGTCCTTTTATGAGCTCTCCATGGTAAAGTAAGCCGGAGCAATTTTTAGATTGGATTGGTCCTGGCCAGGGGCTACCCGTCCCCCGTCCTCCTGCCTGTCCGTCCCCTGAGTGGGATTCGGGCGTGATTGGATCAAGAGGCCCAAGTCGCCTGAAAGGGTCTCCATCCTAATTCTCTTCATGGCATTGGATTTCGCCAGATGAACTTGTTCACACCGACATACCTCATTCTGGGTTGCAACTCAACCCCGACGACCAGTGCGCGCAACTGCCGCCATGGACCTCCACGACATTCAGAGCCAGGCGACGGCGTGGCTGCACGAGGTGTCGCATGCGTTCCAGAAGGTGCCTGGCTCCGCCGTCCTGATCCGCTACGTGCAGTCGAGCTACCAAAACGACCCGATCCGCTCCGCCATCGAGCTCGTCCTCGTCGTCTTCTTCATCCGCTACCTCCTCGCGCCATCGTATTCGACACACAAGCAGAACTTCATCAAGCTTCGAGATGATGTACGTCTAGTCTGGTGAATACTGGAGCGCGCGGGGCCTCGGTCAGCTAACTGACATTATTTTTCTGTGTTTTCAGGAGATCGACGAGCTCGTTGAGGACTGGACGCCGGAGCCGCTCGTGCCGGACCGCACACCGCAGGAGGAGGCCGAGGCCGAAAAGCTGCCGGTGATCGTGGGGCCAACGGGCCCCAAGGCGAAGCTGGCGAGCGGCCGGACCGTGACCAACCTGGCGTCGAGCAACTTCTACAACTTCAACGCCAACGAGCAGATCAAGGAAAAGGCGATCCAGACGTTGCGCACGTACGGCGTTGGTCCCTGCGGCCCCCCGCAGTTCTACGGCACCCAGGACGTCCACATGAAGACCGAGGCCGACATCGCCGCTTACATCGGAACCGAGGCCTGTATCATCTACGCCCATGCCTTCTCGACGGTCTCTAGTGTCATCCCCTCGTTCTGCAAGCGTGGCGATGTCATCATCGCCGACCGCGCCTGCAACTACTCCATCCGAAAGGGTCTCGAGCTCAGCCGCAGCAGCATCCGCTGGCACGGCCACGGCGACCTGGACGAGCTCGAGGCCGCAATGGCCAAGGTGGCACAGGAGCAGGCCAAGGCGAAGAAACTGACCCGGCGGTTCGTGGTCATCGAGGCTCTGTCTGATCTGGTCGGCGACTGCGCCGACCTGCCCAAGCTTGTACGGCCACCCCCTGCCATTCGCCCCGCCCCTCCCGTGATCATGTTGGCGCTGACACATGTCGCTTCTGTCTGTCCAGATTGAGCTCAAGGAGAAGTACAAGTTCCGCCTCCTCTTCGACGAAACCAACTCGTTTGGCGTACTGGGTCGGACAGGTCGGGGCCTGACCGAGGCACAAAACGTGGACCCGACACAGGTGGACGTTATCGTAGGCTCGATGGCGGGTGCCCTGTGCTCGGGCGGAGGCTTCTGTGCTGGCACTCAGGAGGTGGTGACGCACCAGCGGGTCACTTCGGCGGCGTACACGTACTCGGCAGCGCTGCCGGCAATGCTCGCCGTGACGACGAGCGAGACGCTGAACCTGCTGCAGTCAAATCCCGAGATTCTTCTGCAGTGCCGCGAGAACATCAAGGCAATGCGGGCGCAGCTGGATCCGCGCAGCGACTGGGTTGTCTGCACCAGTGACCCCGAGAACCCTGTTCTCGTTCTTGTGCTTAAGCCTGAAGTGGTCGCGTCCAGGCGTTTAACGGACGAGGATCAGTCGCGCCTGCTGCAGGAGTGTGTTGATGAGGTTAGTTGCGAGCACTCTTTTGCCGATCCCCTTCCCCTCCACCTTTGGCACAACGACTGGCTATTTGCCCACAAGGCTAACATCACATGTCCCACCCCAAGTCGCTGGCCAACGGTGTCTGGATCACGCGCATGAGGACAAAGCCCGTTACCGACGCTATTAGCCCCAAGGAGAAGAGCTTCAAGGTTACTCCAGCACTCAAGGTGTCGGTTACGTCGGGTCTTTCCAAGAAGGACACTGAGCGTGCGGGCACCACGATCCGTCACGCCATCACCAAGGTGATGAAGAGCAACGCCAAGCTCGCGCCAGCCGTGGCGGCGTGAAGCTGGACTGCCGAGGCCCGAATGCCATATCAGCATCGATTGGTCCCGTAGAGCGCCAAGCAGCTTACCTTTTTACCCTCTTCTTCCCGGGCCCCTCCATCTTGTCGCCAGCTGCTGTTCCAAGTTGCTTGGCTGGGGCTCTGCGTGCCAGGCATATAGAGTTTATAGATCCCGATGGCGAGCGCCAGCTAGGCGAACAGGCTGCAGATAGATGGAGCGAGCAACTAAATTAATGGCTAATACATCTCTACCTTGACACCACGCCGGAATTCCGGCCATGGCTATGGGGGAATGCCAACGACTCTGGGCTCTAGTAGCATCATGTAGCCGTTCTTCTCAATTTTTGACCTCTGTCTACTCTGTCGGTTGCTTGCTTGGCTGAAACTCTGCTCTGGATTAATTCCTGGGCAGCAACCCGTCGGAATTTCTGGGTTACTTCATTTTCTTCTCAGTCGAGATTGTCCATTGCTGACTCCCCTAGTGGGGCACTTACTGTCCCTGCATTGTTGTTGGCATGGCGGTGCGGCATTCAAGGCACAGCACCGCCCCTATTGGTTTTTACAAGCCCCAATGGCATGGCCTCCTTCTGTTTTGGGCTAGGCGGGATTTCCGCCATTGGTGTTCTCGGTTCTTGGTGCTCAGTCCACGCTCGGTTCGGCACTTGGTCGAAAGGGAGCCCACGAAGCTCGAACAGAACGGATCCTGAAGCCGAAGACAGCAAATGCCGGCACCACGGGCTCTCTTGCGTGGTGCAGTTTTCGGCTGCCAGCGATGTGTCCCCCAAATCCAAGCTCGCCAAAACTTTAGCCTCGCGCGACCAAACGCGTCTGCGCAGACATGGAATGCACTAATGCCCTCTGCGACGAGGACAACCCCCTCCCCTTTTCCCCCCCAAACGGCCGCCGCCTCGGTCTGGACTCTCATCTGGCCGTCCCCGTGCTGGCCCGGCGACGCTCGACGACGACGCCACAAAAAAGGCCCGAGAAGCAGTCTATTTGCTCGGCCTGCCGGTGATGCGCTGGGCGAAATGCGCCGGCCGGACGAGCAGAGTCGACCAAGCCCTTGGCTGGTTCGATGCTCATACCGAAAGGTCTCGGTGGGGAGTTTTTGTTTCTTCCCCTTTTGGTGTTTCCAGCATATGCAACGTCCCAGCTCCGAATGTGAGCGAGCGAGTGGGTGAGTGTGACTGTGTGCAGCCAGAATGGCCGACGAAGCCGTCGTCATTCCAGAGTCAGGGTTGCATTTATTGACGGCGCAGCCTTCTTCCCGCCTGTAGTAAGTCGGGGGGAGGCTAGGCGCCGCATGCATTTTCCGTCTCACCTGTCCGGACTGTGGCAGTTGGAATCTGCAGAGAGCTAGGCGTGTTGTTGCTGCTGGCTTACTGCGCTCCTTACCTTCCACACTACCCCCTCGGCCTAGTCCACGCTCTGTCCGCAGCCACGCTGCGTTCGGTTCGGCCTGTCTCTGTGTCTTATCTCCCACGACTGGGCCTTGCGGGTTACTGCCCCTCGAGGGTTGAGCCATGGCAAAAAGAAGATATATACCACCTGTCGATTGGCACCATGGACATCTCGGGGGTGGTTCTGCCTCTTGTTCATCAATAGCAAATCTCCTCATCTTACCGCCTCGGTTTCAACCCGAAACATTGCTCATTCTTATTGTTATTACTGTTATTCTCGTTTTCCTTACTTCTCTCACAAGCACGCATTCGGATCGCCGCCGCCATTTCCACCCAACACTCTTCTGCCGAGACAAACATTCCAACGCTCCAAGTAACCTACCCCTGAGGTTCGTGGGCTCTCCCGCCGATTCTCTTCATTCCATCCCACCGATGCGCTCGGAGCCAGCCGGGCCATGTGGCCATGGTCCCCAGCCATCTATAAGCATCCTGTTTCGTCCCCAAGCTCGTATCGACGTCTAACATCTCATTCAGTGTTCCAGCTTTCCTCCCTCTTTCCCCAGAGACCTGGTGTTACTTACCCCCTTTTCGGTTGTTAGTATAAGCCGCTGTCTTGGGCGCCTACCAAAATGAGGTCAAATATCCTCTCACTGGCGCTCGTATCGCTGCTGGGCGTTGCGAGTGCCCTCCCCATCGGTAAGCAACCCCAGGACCGTAACAGGCTACCGCAAAATTTTACTAACACGCAAGGCACAGGTTCTCGTCTGGTCAGGAGAGCGGACTCTGAGCTCGCCAACACCCAAGATGACGACGGCCAAGCTGGGGCACAGGTGCTGGCTCGTGCCGCCGGGAAGCCTGGTATCGCGTATGCACCTTTCAAAAAGGACAACCAGTGCAAGAGCGCCAACGAAGTACAGGCAGACTTTGACAATGTGCTCAAGGACTACTCCATGGTTCGTCTTTACGGCGTCGAGTGCAACCAGGTTGCCACGGCACTGCAAGGGGCCAAAAAGCACAAGATGAAGCTCTTCCTAGGCTTCTTCACCACGGAACCCGGCAAGATCGCGGAGGAGTTCAAGAGCATGGACAAGCAGCTGGGCGGGGACTGGAGCCTGGTCGACACGGTCAGCTTCGGCAACGAGAACTTGGACAAGGGCCAGGGGGTCGCGGTCGTCCTGGCCGGCCTCAAGCAGGTCCGCGGCCTGCTCAAGGGCACGAGCTTCAAGGGCAGCGTCGTGGCAGTCGAGACGTGGGTCGCGGCGCGCGACAACGCGAAAATCCTGGAGGACTCGGACTACTGCGCCGTCAACTTCCACCCCTTCTTCGACCAGGGCGGCGTGACGGCCGAAAAGGCGGGCGACTTCATCGCGCAAAAGATCAAGACGGACCTCAAGCCAAAGTGCGGCGGCAAGCGCGTCGTCATCACCGAGACGGGCTGGCCGCACGCCGGGACGCCCCACCACGGCGCCGTGCCGGGCATAAAGCAGCAGGCGGCCGCCATCGCGTCCATCAGGGCCGCCGTCCCCGCCGCCGACCTCATCCTCTTCTCGCCCTTTGACGACGAGTGGAAGAAGGACAACGCCGGCTCCTGGGGCGCCGAGAAGTTCTGGGGCATCGCGGGCAAGAAGAGCGGATAGAGTGGCCCCGTCTCACTCTCGCCAGTCGCCGCCGTCTGCTGGCCGACTCCTTGATATCATCTCACACCCATTTTCCATCCCCTTCTATATTCTCCCTTCGATGCGTCCTAGCGGGACAAGCTCGGGATACGCCAACCCACAAGCTTCCCGCTACCGCCCTCTCCTTTGTTCCCTCATCCTTTGTTTTATTCTTATACCCATATTCAATGTCTTTTACTATTTCTTTTTCTATCTGTATTCTTTCTTCTCCCTCTCTTTACTTTGTCACAGGGTTTCTCTTATCTTTTCTAAGCAGCCAGTGTCTAGGCTGTCGACCTAGACCTGATCTAACGGGTGTTTGTTGGCCACTACGATTTTCTGCTGTATATACTTGGGCCATGGCGCTTCAGAGGCGTTTTCTGGGGTTGACGATATTGTCTTGTTTTGAAAGATTGGGTTAATCCTGAACGTTTTGTTGGGGGCATTCGGTCTTGTTTTCATTTGTTCCCGGCCGGTCGGTTGATATTGGATGCCATATTGGTAAAAATCTAATATGCATCGTGGAATGATTTCGCTTGTCTGGTTCTAGCTCTTCTGATGGTCGGACGCGTTCTTTCGCTTGGTAGTGAGATGTGTTGGGCTTCGAAAGTGCAGAAATTTTCCAAGCATAAAGCAATCGGATTCACCGTCTCGTTGCGGCGGTCGCCACTCCCGAGCATTCCGTAGCACGTAAAGTTGACGTTCACGGAAAAGAGCGGCCAGGAGCAAAGTGGCCCCCAAAGTAAAGCCAAGGAGTTATTGCATTCAAAACTTGGCATATCGCCGTGGTCAAGATGATGGGATTGCATGCGTCTGAAATCCGAGCCACACCGTCTCCAAGCCCACCACCCAGCCCTTCCTTGCCTCTAATTCAGAGCATTCGGGGGAAGGGTCGACGGCGGGAAGCACCGGTCGACCTGGTCGGCATCATTGCCCCACCACTAAAACAACGGAACGTCGACGTTAGTCTTGCTTTGGGGGAAACTGCTGCGGGCCCCACCGCCTGGTGGGGAGGGGTAGGGCGGCTAGAGTGGCATGCGGAAAACGTACGTTGGGGAACTGGGCGTGAGGCAGGTTGATGCCCAGCATGATGACGGTCTGGCAGATCTGCGTGCCGCAGTCCAGGCCGACGCCGAGCAGGTAGTTGTACTTGCGGAACCAGACTGGGCGGTACCTGAGCATGTAGCCCATGAAGAAGAAGCTCAGGAGCGCCGAGGTCATGAGGTTGGTTGTCTGGTAGACGGGGAAGATGGTCCCGCCGTACATGATGACGACGGCTGCGGGGGGAGTAGGGAGGAGGTTAGTGAGCGGGGTCAACGAACTGGCTCGGAGGACCAAGATGAGGAGGGGGAGGGGGGCTTTTGCCATATTCCATGTCCGGGTGGTCCACTTACGGTTGCAGCGCTTCTCGAGCTTCCACTCGGGCTTGAAGATGTGCACGATATACACCAAGACGACGAGAGCGGGCCCGAGGAGGAACGCCCAGTAGATCCAGGCGTATGGAGACTCCGAGGAGAAGAAGACCTTGGGGCCCAGGATACCCCAGAGGACGGATAGGCTAAAAGTCGGGGAGATGGTCAGTCCGCGATACGAACAGAGGCCAAGGGGGCTCGAGGGAAAGACACATGGATGCTTGAGGCGAGAGCAGCCATTGGGCACCACATACCTGTAGTAGTTCTTGGTCTTTAGTGCCAGCCACCCTTCGGACTTGACGACGCCGGTGAGAAGGTCGACGCCGATCTGGTCGATGACGAGCCTCATGACGGCGTAGTTGACAAAGGGGCCAAGGAGCGTGCCGTATACCCGCCCCCAGAACATCTCCTTCTCCGGGATCTTCATGTAGAAGCCGAACTTGTAGTCCGAGATGAGGTTCAGGTTCTGAAAAAAAAACATGCAGGGATTAGCATTGCGCGCAAGAGGGGGACAGCAAGAATGCCACTAGCAGTCCCCATACCTGCTCCAGGATCTGTCTCCCAAACACCATGGACGTGAGCACGGCGCTCGGGTTGCCGGTGAACAGGGCCCCCGCCGTGCTCGGAAAGGAAGGCCATGCCGACCTGCATGTTGGCCAGCCCCCAGAGCAGACCGTTGGGGACTGATTCGGTTTTGGGGGGGGGTGTCAGATGTTTGATGAAAAAGATGCGACGGAGGAAAAGAGGGCATCAAGGCAACAATACTCACATGTGCAAATTACAGACATGACAACAGTAAGAATGAACCCCCACCACGGCAGGCCCAGGTCGGCGCCGTAGATGCAGCCAAACGACAGGCCCAGGCAGACGGCCAGGAGCGAGAGGTACCACCAGTGCGGCACACGCGGGGTGCGGCTCATGAGCTTGAGGTACGGGTCGTCGTAGTCGTTGCGGCGGCCGGCCCAGGCGTCGGCGACGGCGCGCCACGAGTCGCGGCCGTACCAGAGCGCGGCGTAGACGACGGCGCCGGCGGAGCAGGCGAAGCCCCAGAAGAAGTACATGGCGTACGAGGCGGGCCAGGCCGGGCGGCTGTAGGCGTCCAGGGCCGTCTGGTTGAGCGTGTAGTCGCTCGTGAGGATGCGGCTGATGTTGTACTTGTTGCCGTCGCTGTCAAAGGTGCCCGACGACATGGGCGGGTAGTTGAGCGCGCCGAGCGAGTTGGAAAAGTACATGACGGGGTAGATGAGCCAGCAGGCCAGGACGGCACCCGCGATTTGCGACGCGTTGGACCACAGCGGGGTGTACATGGGCTGCAGGTAGGACGCATAGTTCTAGTCCAGGCTGATGTCCAGGAGCCCAAAGCCGTAGTAGCCCGAGCCCAGAACGTAGCTTTGCCAGTTCCCATGGCCCATGTAGCAGAGGAGCGGGAGGGAGCTCAGCATGGCTAGGGTTATCGAGACATGTTGTTGTTAGCATTTGAAAAGGCCATCAAGCACGTCTAGGGCGGGATTCACTGCATGGAGCCAACTTACGGAAAATAACACCAGGGAAGTACTGCCAGACAAAAGTGGCGCCGGCGACGTAAGCAAAAAACTTGAGCGACTTTTTTGTTACGGAAGGGTTTTTGTGCCTGGCGTTGAAAAGAGCGACGTTGGGCAGGACGCCGGGATAGTAGATCTTGGGCGGGCGCACGAGGATATCGCGGAAGACGCCGGCGAAGCCTAATGAGGAGGGATGTTAACATTGGTACCATCCGAGAGGGCAAAAGTGTCACTGCACTTTACAAACTGACCATAGCCAATCATCTGGGTGCTCAGGAGAAAGACGATCCCCCAGCCAGCACTGATCTTCTTGCCGTAGTACGTCTCAAGAGCAGACAATGGACCCAGGCCGTAGGCGGTGTAGCACTATCACACTGAGTTAGCCAAAGTCGCAGCCTTCAAAGAAGAAGATAACAGGGGTGATGGGCTTCCGCCGGTGAACGTACGCTGCCCCAGTACGCAACAACAACGAGGGCGTGCTCCTTTGCGTTCCAGGGCCCCGGGTTGATGCTGTACCGCTGGCCGCGTAGCGTCAGCCCCCAGTCGGGGAGCCAGCGGTGCATGGCATCGCCCATGCCCCAGGACAGCAGCTGGATGGCATAGCTCGTCAGGGTGCTCGAATAGGGCTTGAAGTAGTACATGGAGCTGATGGCGCATCCCGTCACGACCCAGAACGTCGACAGGACCCAGAAGCGGAAGGTGAGGATCGGCTCGCTAGAGGGGGGAACGCAAAGAATAGAATTGTCAAGGGTCAGCACTGCTAAGTGGAAAGCAGCGGGCGAGAAGAAGGGAACTCACGAAAAGTCGTTGTGCAGCGAGACGGTCTTGGCGACGAGCTTGACGGGGTAGTCCTTGAGGCGGGGATCGATGAACTCGTCGCTGTCGTCGGGCACGATGATCTTGTCCGCCTCGTCGTAGGTCGTCGACTCGCGGTCCCCGACGGACGAGATCTCGAGGCCGTCTGTGTACTTCTCGTCCATGCTGGGTTTCTTCTTTGGCGCATCCCCACCACCTGCCGCCGCCGCCGCGGAGGCAGGCGGCGGTAGCGGCGGGCCGACTACGACGGCAGCAGGGGTGATGGCATCAGGCCCATCGGCTGGGGCGACTGCCATATTGCTGGCGACTAGGAGGCCTTGGGCAGGGCTCGCTCGTCGGTCTCGAAGGGTTTTTCCGGGCTACGTGGCGCCAGTGCGCGATGGGGAGAGAGTGGCTGGGATGAAGGGCAAAGAGGAAATGTCGGAGAAGCTTCAGACCTGTCATGGGCTTTTTATATCATATCTACCTAGCTTCTGGATAGATGCTACATGGGCCCCGCCCTTGCTGGGAGGTCCTCCTCGCTTCCCTGACTGGAGCATTATCTAGGAGCCATCCATCATACTCCAGATTGACCCGGCTACCGACACGGCTGGACCCATGGCTCAGGGCGTACGAGGTCGCTCCCAGCGTGTAGGGGAGGGTGGGCTATCAACCTGCGCGACATAAGCGAGGGACGAAAAAGCTTGTTTCCCTCCCGCAGGTTTGGCAACTGATTAACGTTGAGCGACAACCGGGAGGCTGGGATGAATGCGCGAGAGGGGGCGGCGGGCTAGATCATGCGGGCATGGGAAGTTCCCTCCTTTGGTACCACCTGGAGCGTCGTAATCTTGACCGGACTCTATTGACCGAAACGGACCTTCTGGTTCAAGAAGGAGAAAGGGAACGATGGCCATGATAGCCCCCACTATTGATTTTGGATCGCGTGGCGAGAAAGGATGCCAAACGCACCAATCCTCTGCCCTCGGCCCCCGGGATCCAACCAACAGCCAGAGACCCATTTGTTCTTATCTCGAGAGCAGCTGTGCTCGGTGATGGCGGCATCTGTGGGGATGAAGCGGATGGAAACGCAATCCTCCCCTCTCTCTTCCCTCCCTATCAGAAGCATAGATTGGAAGGATCCGCCCCCGCATGGGACCACGCGTTACGCCATATCATCCCGGCCCTTCGGAATTTAGCCCCATGTGCCTCTGTATGTGTGCCTGTATAGGGTGGGCTTGGTCTTGCATATGCTCAAATATGGAGGGCGAACGTGATGTCCGGGCTGCTGCGACCACGAGGACTGCAGACGCCGTCGGGGCTATCAATCTCTGCATGTCTGGCCAGAAGGTCCCAAAAACTAAAAGCGGGGAGAGGCGCTCTAGACTCGATAGAGAAGGTGCCTGTGATGATTGTTGGCGCGTCTAGTGCGCGACCAGACAGATGGATGGAAGGAAGCTCGAGCAGCGTCGCTCGAGGTCGCATCCAAAGACGGTGTCTTGTTAGCGTGCCAAGGCGGGAGATTTGCAAGGGGAAACGCTTAGCTTGCAAGTGCTACCCCCCGTGCCCCCACACTGGGCCAGGGGTGCTTGGCTTGTGACGGGAGATTGTGAATTAGGGGAAGCTGGAGACAAATAAATCATTCAGAAAACAAAGAGAAGAGAGCATGCCACGGAAAAATGATATGAAAGGAAGCGGGTACGTAGGTATAGAATCGAGGGGTCACGTCAGCCAGACTGCAAATAAGACATTTGTGTCGTTAACCATCTATATACGAGTATCCCGCTTGTCCAAAACCATCATTGCCGCCCAACCTTGAAAATGAAAATGAAATATTATCCCAAAGCCGTATATAATGAATGAAGCAAGGGTCAAGGGTGGCCGTTGCCCCATGCCCTTTACGGTGCTGCGTAAAATGTTTATAGCCCCATCCTCTGCCAAGTTGCCACTCGCCACAGCCACATGTAACCTTGCTTAGGCGACCCGATCGCTATTCCTGCCCAACGTGCTAGGGCTGGGCAGTCCGCTGTCGGCGCCGTCGGCGCTCCTTTTGGTGTTGAGGAGCTTCCGCTTGGCCGCGTTCTCTTCGTCTTCGTCGTCCGTCATCAACCCGTCAAGTTCAAACTCCTCAGCGTCCTGGAGCCGTCGCTGCTCCGCGTCCACGGTACCGCGACCCGCATTTTCGGCGGCCCCGGGGCCCGCGTTTGCCGACTGGTCGTAGACGCTCAAGAGCATGCACACGAAGAGGAATATCAGGAACGCGAGGCTGTACAGGATCAGGATGTACGCCACATGGTCGATGCCCGTCTGGGCCACCAGCGCCATCTGTTCCTCGGTGGCGCCCAGGAAGAGGAATCCCGAGGCATACAGAAGGAATATCGGGATGTACTGGAAGCTGTGAATGTCGTAGCCGGAATCGGATACCGCGCTCTTGTCCCCGAGCACGAAAGAAATCTCGACGATCCTTGACACACCGGCCGCCATGAGGGTATAGCCAAACACAGAGTGTGTCGCGGCGCTGATGGGCAGCTGCTGCGGGTGAGCCGACATGGCCCAGCCGGTGAGGATGAGCACGAAGCCGGGCACAAAGTTGCGCTTGGGCAGGCCGTCGCGCCCCCTGCTGAGCCATATGCCGGCCAGCCCCGCGCACCACCAGACGACGCCCATGGCCGTGTGCTGCCAGTCGTTACCGGTCCACTCGGAGCCCCAGCGGTGCTCGGTGAAGGTGTTGACGCAGCCCCAGGCGGCGATGACGGCGCTGTCGAAGAACTCCTGCGACCGCCTCTGGCGCCGAAGCCACAACTGACCCACCAGCAGCAGGATGGTCAGGATGCAGCCGTAGGCGATAAAGGCACTGCCCATGATGAAGTGCGCCAGGCACTGGCCCAGATGGTCGCCCTGGCAGAAGCCCAGCGCCGTGATGCCACCAAATATCATCTGCGTCCATGAGACGACCGGGAACAACTTGCCGTTGATTCCGTGCGCCATTTTAACCCATGGCCGCACCCGACCGTTGAAGCCGCGCTCGAGGTGCAGCTTGAGGTATATCCCGAGCACGATCTGGACGAAGAGGAGGAAGAAGAGGGTCGGGGCGAAGCCGGCGTGTGCGTTGGACGGGTGGAACTCGCGGCCGGCGTGTAAATGGCCGAGGACGTATCCGAGTATTCCGATCAGCGAGGCGAGGGTTTGGAGGGGGACGTGCCAGCGGCTCTTGACGATCTGCGCGAGGGGGCCAGAGCTTTGGTGTTAGTGTTGTTTCCTTCTGAACAGATGGGCGGCGCGAACTAGTGACGTACCCCAAGGACCATGCCAATGGGGAAGAGCACGCCAAAGGCGAGCATCTGGAGAAAGACGTGGACCCATAGTGTCGTGTCCTGTTGTCAAGACACGCGAGAGGCGCTGGTCAGTTATTGTCTATTATTCAACGCCTTTCGGGGACGCCCGGAACCGGTGTGGGAGAGGAGCAGGTTGGCCAACGCACAATCGGCTCAACCGAGACGGTCTGGCCATCCGGGATCTGGTCGTGGGCGTGGTCGTGTGTCGACGCCATGGGAGCGAATAGGAGCACGGCGGCGATGAGGGTACTGACAGGCCTGCTGCTGGCGGTGGTGGTGATGCTGCTGGCCGAGGCTCCGGAGAAGGGCAGGAGTCGAGCGGGGCGTGAGGATGCCGCAGCCGCCAAGAGCACGGCCGTCCCAAGTCGCATCGACAAGGCCATGGCTCGACGCTCCTGACTTTTGTACTGTATCGTCGGCCTGCCAAGCCAGGGTGGGTATGCGATGCTATACTTGCTTCTCTGCGCGTCTCGAGTCGGCACGACGCAACAGTTTGGGCGAATGAGACCAGACGGCCAAGGGGCCCAAGCGGGGAGCGAGCACTGAGTTTGTCAAGGAGCGGGGCGAGGGCCTGTCGAGGGCCTGTCGAGGGCCTGTCGAGGCCCCGTTTCTGTTTCAATCCTCGCATGGCCATGTGCGACGCACTGTAACTACGAGTTTACATGTGCCTGCCATCATCGAAGCCAGCAGAGTGAACCATCACATGATCTGTCAATGAAGCAACAAAACGTTCCCACCAACGATACAACATCCAACCTCCAACCTCCCTGGCCTCAAAATCACTCCCCCCTCGTCGGCAACTGCACGCCCTGCGGGTAGTTAAACACGTCCTCGGGATCTACATCGGCCTTGATCTTCTGAAGACGCTCCAGATGCCGACCCCAGTACTGCTGTTGCGCCGCTTGTCGGTCGAGCTTCGAGTCCGGGTAGTTGATGTACCGCCCCCAGTCGTCCCCGGCCAGCGTTGCCGTCAGGCTCTTGACAAAGTTGCCGATGAAGGGGAACCCGTCGGCCGGGTACTGGCCCCTGGCGTCGACCCGGTCGTAGAAGAGCATCATGAAGAGGTGGCGCCGGTGTGCGTACGCAGTCGAGTCCACCGACGGCTTGGCCACTGCCGAGTTTGCGCCGCCGTGCAGGTCAACCTGCACGTACCAGTCGCGTCGCGTCGCCTTGCCTTTTGTGAACCAGTAATTCACGAACCTCCTGATCTGCTCGTCGTCGAGCGCCGGCGTGTATATGCTGGACGAGTAAAAGGTCTCGGTCTTGCCATAGGGCCGTGTCTGGTCCAGGCTTAGCCCACCGCCAAAGTGCTTGAGCTGGCCCAGCCAGCCGTCGGCTTGCGACAGCTGAAGTCTTGCGCCGGTGCTTTTGAGCAGCGGAGCGAGCACCTCGTGCAGTCCCGCCTTGCTACCGTAATAGAGGCCCTCCAGGTTTGCGAACTGTCGCGAGATGAATAGTCGCATGTTGAGCTCGTTCGGCATGCGGGAGCCAACGTATTCTTGCAGCGACTTGAGCCCCTCCACGGCCGTGTCCTGCTTCCACGGGACCTGGGCGACGAAGTACGTTACCTCGGCCGGCGCCTCAAACGTCTTGAACCTGAACTCGGCCACGACCCCCATGGACGAGCCCGCGCCGCGTATGGCCCAAAACAGATCGGGGTTTTCTGTCTCGGAGCAGGCCACAACGGTCGAGTTGGCCAGGACAACGGTTGCGCCGACCAGCCAGTCGAGAGCCAGTCCCTTTGTGTGGGAGCTCATCCCGTACCCTCCGTGGAGCGTATGGCCTCCGACACCGACTCTATCCAGTTTTAGCTACTTGGCGGGGCCTTGGGAGTGGCCTTGGGAGTGGCAGAAGGTGCTGGTTGCTTATTCTTACCCTGGACAGGTTCCGTGGCTAATGGCCCGTTTCCCCTGGGAATACAACTCGGACGCCACATGCCCCAGCCTCGAGCCTCCTCCAACGGCTGCAATGCCGGTCGTCGAGTTTACCACGACCGTGTTCATGCGGTCAAGCTGGATGGTCAAGTGCCCATCCTCGCCGCCGAGACCGAACGAGGCGTAGCTGTGACCGCCGCATTTGGCGTTGGCCTTGAGGCCGAGCTTGGCCGCACAGGCAACCGCGTCTTGGATATGGCGCACCGTGAGGGGGGCGGCGACGGCGATGGGTGTGTAGTTGAGGCGCAAGTTGAACGGCGTTGTGTCCATCTGCCAGTCTGGACTCCCATAAGCCTCAGTCGGAACCCCGGACCTTCCGAGGCAGTCCTCGATCGCCGTTCGCTTGTCCAGGTGGAAACCCTGGGCCCAGGGCGCCAGGGCCACCAGAGCTACGGCTTTGGCGACGACGCGCATCTTTGTGTCGGTTTCTTGCAAGGAAACTTGTAGCGGGACGCTGGGATGAAAATCCACAGTACTGAGGCGCCGAGGACACGACGCTTGAGGGGAGATATATCCCACGTCTTCCCAAGGCCAACGGGACCCCTTCAGCACCTCCAAGGAGCGATATGGTAACGACAGTCGATTCCCGGGCTCATGGTATCATCCATCGCCCCATCTCGCGCTCACGAGGAGAGAATATGGTCATATCTTAAATTTGCCAACGCCCCCCAACCGCAAACCGGCAGCACTATCCGTGTCTTCACAGCGCCTATCTGTCCCGTGATAAACACCCGCAGTGTCGGTCGCGGAGTTGAGATGCGAACGTGGGGCCACTCGCTAAGTATTGCCGCCTTGCCATAGAGATTAACCAGTCCCGAGATGACTATCGGTGCCATTTTACCTGTCAGAACTTTCAAACCGTCTTCATGGGCCGTACCGGAAGCCTCCGACTTGGCCTAGCGACCTAGTATGGTGCTGTGAGGTGGCGGATGGATCGAGCGACAGCCTCGTTAAAAGTATGTTCGCGACTTTTTGAGACCTCGCGGAGACGGCTCTACCTCGACGCTTTACTTTCCCCCGGGAATGTGACGCAAGGTGAGATGGCCGTGTTAACAATTCCCCGGTTAGGTCAGGAATGCGAACGGGATCCCCGTCAGTATGCTTAAGAGAGAGAAAAAAAAACTGGCTATTTCCACTGTCTTGGGATGTTAGCCAATATTTCCCGCCCATCTCCTTTCGGATGGACTGGAGGTAATGTCTGCCTCCGCCGTCTCCATTTCAGAGCTTCTACCCCGGGATTTTGATGGTGGCTTTGAGAAAACATTGCGACAACGACACGGCAATATCACAGGGCGCTATACTTCGCCCCAGTTATAAGACGCAGCACGCCCGGCAGGTGGACGCTGGGGCGGTTGCCGGATAATAACGCAGATCTGCATTTAGCCAGGCATTTAAGCCCCCCTGCAGGCCCTGACGCACGAGAAAAGCGGCCGACGACAGCCAGAATTCTGGGCGGCCGGACAAGCATTTTTGTGCCACGCAAAGACCCCCTGGTGCGGACCGCACCTCTCCTCCGCTTAGAAACAGCCCGATTTGGCCTCCGGAGCGAGCAGAGTGCCTAGGAAAATCGATTCTCCACCAACCTTGTGCGTGAAATAGGCCCAATTTAGTCGGCCGACCTGGGGTAATGAAGCAATTCCCATGGGCTGGATGTCCAGCCCCTCGTGACTCGGCCATTTAGGCTTTCCTCAAGAGGATGCCGCTTCCTGCTTGAGTTCTTGCGAGGTTGGGCCCAAGGCACCCTTCTCGAGGCACCTCCATCTACGAGCCTGCCGAGAGATTCACACCTGAACCCCTCTTTTTCTCCTCCAAGTCGCACGTCCCAAAGGCTGGCCGCTGCGATGGACTCTCCAGCAAGGACGGTGAGCGCCCTCGCGCTGCTGGCCCTGGCGCTCGGGCAGGCGGCGGCGCAGACGACGAACCTGGTGGCCTCGCACTTCAGCGGCAACCTCTACTCGCTCTCGTACACGGCGAGCGGCGGCGGCGCCGGGCGACTCGCGCAGACGGCCTCGCAGCGTGCCGGCGGCACGTGGCCCGCCTGGCTGACGTACGACGGCGCCTCGCGCACGCTCTACACGGTCGACGAGGCCAACTGGGTCGGCCCCGTCTTCACCGAGTTCAAGGTTGCCGCCGACGGCAAGCTCACCAAGGGCGCGGCCTCGCCCAAGAGCGGAGGGGAGCTGCACAGCACGCTGTACGGGGGTCAGGACGGCAAGGGCTTCATAGCCGGCGCCCAGTAGTAAGCTTTCCAAACCTTGCCCTCGTGTGATGGACAAAAAAGAGAGCGTCTGGCTAACATGATGCCTGCCCCCACCCCCACCACCAGCGAGAACTCGGGCGTCATCTCCTTCAAGCTGCCGCTCTCGCAGAACGCCCAGCCCGTCTCGAAGCTCACCTTCACCATGTCCGGGCCGGGCCCCGTGCCCAGCCGGCAGAACAAGCCGCACCTGCACTCGGTCTTTCCGGACCCAACCGGCCGCTTCCTGCTCGCGGCCGACCTCGGCGCCGACCTGATCCGCGTCTTCTCCATCAACCCGACGTCGGGCGTCCTGACGTCGTGCGCCAACATCGCCTCGGGCCGCGGAGACGGGCCCCGCCACGGCGCCTTCTGGACCAAGAACGGCGCCACGGTGCTCTACGTCACCAACGAGTTGTCCAACTCGGTCTCGGCCTACACCGCCTCGTACCCGTCCTCCCCCTCGGGCGGCTGCCTGGGCCTGACGAGGACCCAGACCATGTCGTCCCTGGGGCCCGGCAAGGCGGCGCCCGCGGGCGCCAAGGCGGCCGAGGTGCGGGTGCGCGACGACTTCGTGTACGTGTCGAACCGCAACGACCAGACCTTTGGGTCGCGCCAGGACGCCATCGCGACCTACGCCGTCGGCGCCGGCGGCGCCCTCACCTTTGTCGAGAACGTCAACTCGCGCTCCTACTTCCCGCGCACCTTTGAGATCAACAGGGCCGGCGACCTCGTGGCCGTGGGCGGCCAGACGTCGAGCAACGTGGCCGTGCTGTCGCGCAACGTCACCTCGGGCCGCATCGGGGGCCTGGTGGCCACGCTAAACGTAGGCAGCGCCGGGACCGTGAACAACGAGGACGGGCTGAGCCATGTTGTCTGGATTGAATGAGTGACGCTGGTGGAGGGGTCTGTGGCAACGGGGCGGTTTGGGGTGTTGGGGGCTAGTCGGTGAGGGTTGTCTACGGCGACGTGTATATAAACCTGGGTGATATATATAAAGCTCGTAAATATTGAACATCGGGCTTGCGCCGGAGTACTAGACAAGCTTCTACTTTGATACAACAAGATGGTGCGTACCACGGAGGCAGAGGCGGACTGGAAACAAGTGCAACAGCGCTAGTACAGCTCGCTCCGCCGCCCACTTTTCCCATTTTTCAAATAACAAAGACGCCCGACCTGATGGCGTTAGTTATAGTCCTGTTCTCCCGAAAGTACCGGCCAAAGTCAGGCCTCTTCTCGAGCAGCAGGTCGACGACCATGCGGCCAAAGACGACGCCGGCCGCGGCGTTGAGGTGCGTCCTGTCGCCCTGCGCCAGGTCGTACAGCCGCCCGTTTGCGTCGCCGACGGCGTTGATGTAGGCGGTGCTGGCCGCGTTGAGGTCCAGGTGGGCGGCGCCGACCTCCTTGGCGGCCGCGATGGCGCGCAGCCGCTCCGTCTCGAGGTTCTGCACGACCTTGCCGCCGCTGAAGGTGCGGCGGGTGAGGGAGGTGATGAGGATCTGGGATAGGACGCCATTTCAGCAAAAGCTTTTAGCAGTCTGCTCTGTTTCTGCTTCCGTCTTGCTTGGTAGCACGACAAAAAAAAAAAAAAAAAGAAAACAAACAGGCGTCCCGCCAGCCTCTAAAACCTCCTTGGCCATGCGCTTGAGGTTTCCCTGGAACTGGTCGGGCGAGATGCCCTTGTCGGGCTTCTGGTCGTTGTGGCCGAACTGCATCGTCACGACGGGGCCGTACTCGGCAGCGGCGGCGGCGGCCCGCACCCCGGCCAGGGCGGCGTCCCAGCGGCCCTCGGCCCGGAACGAGACGGTGGTGGCGCCGCTCTTGGCCGGGTTGGTGCCGGCGGCCGGCGGCGCGAGCAGGAACGAGAGGAAGCCGTCGCCCCAGCCGCCGCCGACCGCCACGGTCGAGTCGCCCGTGAGGATAAAGTAGGGAGGCGGCTGCTGCGGCGAGGGCGGCGAGGGCGGCGTCGGCGTCGCTGTCACGCACAGGAGGTGGAGGGCGGCTGCTGCTGCGGCTGTTGTGACGCGCATGGTTGGGCGGGTATGGGGGGTTTTGTTGGAAGTGCTGCTGCCGGGGGATACAGATGGTGTGCACGTACTGGATACTATGTTCCTATCATCTCTACATATATATCTACGAGACGACCGAGTAATGGATGGCGGCCGAGCTTCGGCTGCTTGGCACGAATAGGCGCTCACCGTATAGTAAACACATTATTCCACGAATGGCGTCGTCTAGCGTTGCCTCTGGCCCGCCGGCGGCGCGGGGACGCAAGAGACGTCGCACTTCACTGCAACGGTAGCATCGCGCCTGCATCAGGCACGGCGACGTGCATTTGTTCCCCTCATCTCCACGGTTCACCCTTCTCAACTCGGAACATATTATTACTATTTTAGTGCACAGCCAGTAAAAGCCAGTGTTTTCACATGATTTACATAGACCCGTCTCAGCGCACACACCAAATATGTGCCTTGTATCTAGACCTGGGTGTCCTTGGTATCGCTGCGGCCAATGGCGACGTTGCGCTTTTTGAGGCTTTCCTTCCTCGGGTTCTCGGCCTCGAAGATCTCGCTGATCTCCTCGAGCGTCTTGCCGGCCGTCTCGACAGCGAAGAAGTAGATGAGCACCATCTCGACAAGAATCCAGACGCAGTACACAATGTCTGTAGGTCGCGTTTTGTCAGCGGTGGATGCTCGATTGGCTTATAGCCAGTTGGCAAAAGATAAAAAAAACTTACACAATTTCCAGCCAATCTTCTCCATGCCCTCGCTGATGCCGTAGGTGTTGATGACCATAGCAATATTGAGGAAGAGGAAGTTGGCGCCGGAGCCCTTGGCGCGAGTGCGCGTCTCCAGGCACTCGACCGAGTATAGGGTCTGGAGCGGAGTGAAACCCCAAGCAAAGGCGATATTAAACAGGTAGATGGCGACGATTACGCCATACGACATGCCAGCGATGTTGGCGTTGGCGGTAAAAGCAGTGAGGAGGACGTAGAAAACGAAACAGGCACCCAGGCTGTAGAGCATCATGCTCCGGCGGCCGATGCGGTCCAGCATGTAGGCGCCAAGAATTGCGGCGAACATGGCGAAGATGGGGTTGATGGCGTTGATCAGGAGCTGCGTGCTACTGTCTGTGATGCCGGCCTGCTTGACCATCTCGGGCTGGGAGGTGCGGGAGAGCCAGGTTAGTCAAAGACTCATAAGACCAAGGTGTCGAAAGAGAGTACCGAAAACTAACCATAAAGTAAGACACAACATTGTTACCGCTCCACTGGCCAAAAAAGGCCATGCCGATAACCATGTACAGCCGGTAGCGAGCGGGCCTCGTGTGCACAAGCTCGCGGAAATTCCACCAGCGGTTGTCGGTCGTGTAGAGGTTGGCCTGCTCGACGATCTCGCGGTACTCGAGCTGGACGACCGGGTGGTTGCGGTCTCCGTCGCCATGGTATTTGGCCAGGATCTCGAGAGCCTCCTCGGTCCTGTCCTGGGCGATGAGCCAGCGGGGAGTCTCGGGGAAGAAGAGGATAAGGACCATGACGACTGCAGGGAGGGCGGCTTGCAAGATGGTCGGGATCTTCCAGGCCCAAGCGTCGGTCAGGTTCCTGTTGGTTCCGTAGGTGGTCCAGCCGGCCCTGAAAGGGGGTATTAGAAGGTACATGGAGGCAAGGCAGAGCATGCGCTGGATGTGAACAAGACAAGAACTCACAGAATGTTGCCCATCCACCACAGGTTGTTGTACATGCCAGCCATGAATCCGCGGTAGGCGGGGTGGGCCAGCTCGACTGTGTAGGCGGGTGCGGCGGCGGAGGCGATGGAGACGCCGAAACCAAGAACGAAGCGGCCGCCGATGAACTGGTTCAGGGTGGTGGCGGTGCCCTGGACAGCCGTGCCGATGAGAACGATGACGCAGCCGATGAAGATGCACCAGCGACGGCCCCAGCCATCAGCCAGCATGCCGCAGAAAGGGAACGAGGCGATCTGGCCGAGGTTGTATGTGATGAAGACGATACCCGTCGTAGAGCCAGCGCCAGTGAGGCCGAAGGACTCTTGGTACGGCTTCATGGCGTTGATGGCACCCATGAGTGAGCTGTCTAGAGATTCATAGTCGCTTGAGGTTAGCACTCTAATTCGTAGGGAAAAAAGAAGAAAAAAAGGATGTTGACCACAACTCGAAAAGGGGCGCTGGGACTAGAATGCACTAACCGAATCCATTCATGGTTGAGACGAGGTAGCCAATCGACATGATAGCCCACAGCTTGAGCATGCCCGCAGAGAACATGCTCGGCTTGCACTCGGCCAGGACGGCCTCGAGCGCGGCGGTGGCGGGGACCTCGGTCCCATGGCTCGTCACAGGGGCCTCCTTCTTCTCGTCCGCCACGATGGAAGAGTCTACGTGGAAGTATGAGGGCGGAAGCGCCTCGGCGTCCTTGCCGTCCTTGCCGTCCTTGGTCGACATGGTGCTTCTGGACCGAAGATGCTGCAGTCGGGTGGGCGTTGTAGCTGCTGAGCAAAGACCGGGGACCGGAGACCAGCGTGACATCTAGGCACCTGGCCGGGCGACAAGGCCCTTTTATGTAGGACGGACAGGCCGCTAGTCTCGGCCCGCCGTGCCCAGGACCGTGGATTGCATGGTGGAGAAGGCCTTTCTCTCCGCTCCTTGCAGACACGCGCCCGCGTCCAGGCTACCCACTCGCCGAGGGGGGGAAACAAACCTTCATTCGGCTCGCTTTCTGTCAACCGTAGGGGGCAGATGCCACATGATCTCGGGCGGGCATGGCCACGGACAGGCGTCGATACAACGGCGTTCAGGGGACATCCTTGTACCGACGCGGCGAGACCGCGGTGCTGTTGCCGGAGAAGGAGCCCTTTTCATCTGCCCATGGGGAATGAGGTGGGCCAAGACGGCCTGCTGTGGGGGTGAGCAACGTGGGGAAAACGACTTTTCCGCAGTCCATGCGGCGACGGCGGCAGACACGAGCACGAGCACTACTCCGTAATGATGGGGGCGGATCCACTGCTCTCCAGAGGGGAGCACGTGAGGAGGTCCGCTAACAAAACCGCACGAATCATGGTAGTGCCCTGGATCTGGGTTTTGTTGGAATGGATTGGGGATTGGGGGTTTTATTATGGAATGTCATCTGCTTGCGAAATAGGGGAACCCGCTTTGTGTGCACCGACGCGTGAGGCGGCGGCGAGCGCCTCGCGCACCGCCTCCACCTGGTGCTGCATCTCGTCCTCGCCCCCGGCCGCGCGCGGCTCTACCGTCGACGTGCGCCCCTTGAAGGGCAGCTCGTCCACCTCACACGTGGTCCAGCCCCCCTCGCCCCGGCCCGCGGGCGGCGGCGGCGGCGGCGGCGTCTTGCCGTCGACAAAGTAGGCGCGAAGGATCTGGGCGGTGCAGGCCGAGGCGGCCGACACGCTGGCGTGGCCGCCGGACCGCTGCTCGACGAAGCCGGCGCCCTTGAAGGCCGCGGCCATGACCAGGCCCGACTTGAGCGGCGTCACCGGGTCGTACGTGTTGCTGAGCACCAGGAGAGGGAACGCCGTCTCCGTCGCGTTGCCCTCCTGCGAGGGGTCCCAGGGGCCGGGGCGGTTCCGGGACGCCGACGGGATGCCCCAGTGGTTGCATTCCATGTCGACGCCTAGGCCCATAAACACGTCGGCGAAGCGCGAGGTGGCCGCGTGCCGCTCGAACTTGGCTTGGATGTCGGCAAGCGTGTCGTTAACCTGCGGTTGTTGCCGGGGGGGTTTCAGGCCCTGGTTAGCCAAAGCCCCTACACATGAGGCGGGGAACATTGCCTTCTGCAAGACTTGCCGGTTCGCGCTTGTCGCCGCATGAGACGGCAGTCAGGCTGTCGTCTGGAAGGCCCCATGCCGGGCGTGTGCTGGAGTCGCATAGACTGGGGGGTTCCTGGACGCGGAAATAGTCCCCAGTCCATTCTGCGTTGCCGTCGTGGAGATGGCTGAGCATACTATCGACTTCGAAGGCGGAGAGGATTGGGTTGTAGAGCACGTTAAACATGTAGCTCTTTACAAGATCCGACGTGACCACGACGGGGGTAGCCGGCCGGGAGGTCGAGTTGGCTGGATATGCAAAGACGGGCGGGTCTCTATCCAGCCGGTCCAGCAGGGCCCAAAACTGCGCCTCGATGTCGGCGGGCCCGGCATCGCCGTCCCGTCTAAATTGGCACCTGGCCCCGACCTCGAAGCAGTGCTTGAAGAGGTCACTGAGGCCAGCGTCGGTGTCGTGAAGACTCTCAGACTGGAGCGAGGCACCCCACTGTTGGAGACGAAAGGGGGAGGACACAAGTACCTAGGTTAGCCAGAACGAACAGGCCCATGTCGAGGAAAGACAAGTCAGCATACCTGATAAGGGTTTACGTTGCCGTCAATGACTACCCTGCCGACGCGGTCGGGGAACATCTTTGCAAAGGTCACGCCCAGGTAGCTGCCGTACGAGAAGCCCCAGTACACCAGCTTCCCCTTGGGCGGCAGGCCGGCCGCGCCCGCATCGGCGTCACGCCGTTTGGGTTTGGAATCCACCGTCTTGTTCTGCGGCGGCGATGGCTGCGTTCCGTTGCTCCTCGGTAGCGTCTCCTGCCACGCGTCCCACGCGTCGACGATGCTGAGCATGTCGCGGGCCACAAACGCCGTCGACGCGTACCTCAGGATGCTCGCGTCCGCGCCGCCGGCCCGCCTGTCCTTTTCCCGACACATGGCGTTGGAGGCGCGGACGCGGGCGTCCTGGCGACGCAGCGCCGTGTCGCTCGAGTTGATCAGGCCCACGGCGGCGCCCATGGCGTTCCACTGCACCCGCCGCGCGTGGGCGGCGAAGGGGTCACCCCCCACCGGCGTCCAGCAGTCGGCGCGCGGGGTGGTGGCGCCGACGCCACGCGGGTCGAACCCGATCACGTCCTGGTCCTCGCCGCCGCCCATCAGGGACCGGAGCTGCTCGCCGGCACTGAGCACGGTCGCGACGCCCGAGCCGCCCGGCCCGCCCGGGTTGACCAGGAGCGGGGGCCGGTCGGCCTTGGCGCCGCGCCGCGTCCTGGCGCTCGGCACGAGGAGCAGCGCCACCTGGACCTTTGCGACCCCGGACGGCCGCTCGGGGTCCATGGGCACTGTCAGGCGGGCGCATTGGGTGGCCACGCCGCCCGATAATGGGCTGAGGCATCGGTGCCACTCCAGCTTGTCGCTTGGGGTAATCTGCCGTGGGTGGCGTCAGTCAAGAACAGCTTCCTGGCCGGCCACCATGTTTGGGATATCACCACTTACACTCGGCCACGGATCGAGGGAATCGGGCGCAGGGCCGGCGCGGGCCCCGAGTGCGAAGAGCGCGGCGGCGACGAGGGAGCGCCGCCAACCATGTCGAGATGCTACATCCATTGTAGAAACTTTCAGCATTCTGGCCGGGGCTTGGTTTCTCGAGTCCTAAAGACTACACATCTTCTCGACGCGGCATGGCATGGCCGCGTGCACTTATATACGCCTCCATACCAGCCACGTCGGCCTCGCTTCACGAAATATCGATTCCAAGCAATGAATGAGTGAGGATACGTACGTTGGTGACCTTGCGCCGAGGATAGCCAAGACTTCCAAGTGATGTTGCGCCTGCCGTGGCCCCGCTGCGAACCTCCCTTTTGGTCAAGGTAAGCACCGAGGGCTTCCCCAGGCCGAGAAAAAAAAAAAGCCTGTCAGCATGTGGAATATCCGCATATCCACATGTCCACCCTCTTCCCCCGAGGCTCGTGACACGTCGTCGCTAGGAACATTGCGAGTACCACTCGTTGGTTCTGGTGCATGTGCCTTCAGTACAGCACGTCGGCCCCGTCCACCCCTGCCCCCCGCATTGAGCGAAGCGAGCAGCACATGCTCCACCACCGCCGCCTCCGCCGCCGCCCCCACCGGACCCTCCCGCCGAGATGGAGAGGCTGTACCCGGTCGTCGTGAACTTTGCGTTGCTGCCCGTGAACGGCTCAGTACCGCCGCCGGCCGAGTACAGGCACTGCGACGCCGGCATGCCCTGGGACGACGTCAGGTACTTGACGAAGCCATTCAGGTCCCCGCTGTAGTTCATAATGTTGCCGCCAGCCGCCACGAAGCTGAAGACGGTCATGCCCGAGTGCGCGCCCTTGTACAGGCGCCAGGACGTGCCGCCCACGTTTACCGTCGCGATGGGGCTGCCCGTCGAGCTGATGGGGCCCGCGCCGCCGAGCGCGCCCAGCCACACCATGATCTCGTACTGGGGCGTGGTGCCGCAGTTTGAGCTGGTGAAGAGGTCGTAGGCCACGTTGGCGATCAGGTTGGACCCGGAGTAGCCCCACTGCCACTTCGTGGGGATGGACGACACGGCCGAGAGGCGCGCGGCCGGGGCCGAGGCGACGGCGTTGGAGTACGACTTGACGCTGTACGGCCCGCCGCTCCACGACCACGTCGTCGACCAGGACAGGAGGCCGTTCGACATGCCGTTGACCGTCAGGCACTGCGAGCCCGTCCCGGAGTCCCTCCCCCAGAGGTTGTTGTACACGGTGTAGCCGCCCGTCTGGACCGAGTCCCACTGCCCGCAGACGGTCGTGGCCCGCCTCTCCAGGGGCTGCGTCTTGGTCGGCTCCTCGGCCGCCCCCGGAAAGGGCGCGGCGGCGGCCGTGGCCGCGAGCAGAGCAAAGATGGCGGATCCTTTCATGGCCGCGGAATCGGGGGTCTGCTTGATTGGTCGTTGCCGTGTCAGGACGAAATGTCGGTGCCGGCTAGAAGATAAATCACGGACGGTTCAAGATTACATTTCAACGTCTTTTATAAGCAGGCAGATCCCGTTTCTTCCCTTACCTCTATTCGGCCACACCATCATCCCATGCAATCATTCTTGATGTCCCATCGACGACGTTGCGTCGCGGCAGGGCCTCTTCCGCACCCGCCAGCCAGGGTCTAATTATTTCTCCGGCTGGTGATGGCACTTCAATTGGTGGACTTTCTCCATGCATCAACAATCTGCCAACGAAAAGCTTCAGCAGTGTGAGATTTGTGGAGATTCGGCTACCCGAAAAGCTGGGGTAGATGCATCACTAGACAGGCTATCGAACTCTGTGTCTCTCCCCGCCTGCCAAGTCGGCGGGTGTGATGGCGATCCGGAAAATAAACAGAGGCGCACGCAGTCCCTGCTTGTCTCCCGTCAAAAGCCCGACATCTCCATTGCAGTACACGCGCCCCGGTGGAGGAGACGGTGTTCGAACGTGGACCCCTCCGCTATGGGAACCTGCAGCGCCACCGTGTCCGCCGCCGACGGGTACTCGGTGCGATGGCCCAGGGCCGAGACGTCACGGGTGTCGGCCGCGACTATGAGGCCGTACTTGCCGCCGTGGATCCACGCGTCGTCGGCGCTGCCTGGAAGCGTGATGTGAACAAGCCCCGACGTGAAGTAGACGAACCTGTCGCTTGTCCCCCCCGAATCAGTGCTGCTATTCTAGGTGTCATTCTTGGGGAATTATTGGAGAAAACGGGGGAAAGGTCAGGGACGGACTGAGGAACGGGGGCGTTATGCAAGCCGCCGTCGAACCGTGCAGGAATGACGGTGAATGTGGCGTTGGAGGATGAGCCCAGGAAGAGCCCGAGCGCGCCCGCGACGCCGGGCACCGAGGAGGAAACAAAGGGGCCGAACTGCCAGCACTCTATCGTCGACGCGCCGTCCGCGGCACCGATGGCGGTGACGTTGAGGCTCGGCGTGGTAACAGTGTTGAGCTGGGCATGGGCATGCTGGAGGATGGACAGCAGGGTCACTGCGAAGCTAGCGGGGAACATTTTGGTACAAAGTTCGCAGCTTAGGTTCTGGAGAAGGGATCGACCTCGTCCTGTCCCTAGAAAGGCAGTGATGCCCTTTCGCAGCTTTATGTCAGCAAGAACCGAAATTGCTGGTGTTGGATGTAACGCAAAGCCATTGTTATTGTGGTGATGGGCTGGGATCTGCCGTGTTATTTGCAGGCTCGTATTGTGGCCTCCCGTGGCTGGCTGGGCGATCCTAGTGGGAATGACGCGAGATCGCTCACAAAGGAAACCAGGTAACCCTTCATTGATGCACGTGGCATTTAGATGATTGGAGCAGATGTGAGATGTGTCGCAGTTGTTTATTTGTTCCCATGCCATCTCCAAACCTTTCAACAACTCCAAGCCGGTGGCGGAAATGCTGCATCAAAACAAAAACAAATTCAGCAACAAAGCTGGCTGCTGCCTCTTTTAACATGTCCAAAGAAGAAAACGACACTTCAAATACCAAAAAGATTGTTGCCCAGCCGCTTGCGGAGTGAACATGTACGAAACCGTTAAAATGGGTTTCTTCGATTTTTTGGCAACCCCGTGGGGGATCGAACCCGAGCTCCCAAGGAACACAGTAGTCCGCACGGTATGAGTACCCCGGACACAACCACTGCACTACAAGTAGCCGGACTTGTAGCGTCCCTTATTTAGCTTGGGAACGGCCAGCAGCACAGGCAGGAGTGGGGCACGGGGTTTCCCACCTCGCCCTCGTTTGATATCGATATCAAATCATCGTCAGACTGTCGACAGTCATCCACCTGTGCTGTGCTGTTTGGCGTCCCGCTTGGAGCTTTTTTTGTTTGCCTTTCCTTTCGGCTGTGCACCAACTGACAATACAATGGCAGGGAGGGGTTTAACACCTCCAATATGATTCCGTTGGTTTAATCGTTTAATATCCATGTGTCGATTCTCTACGGCGTATGGAAGCAGAGTAGGCAGAGAGATATCAAAGCAACGAGTGCCTCCGAGACAACACCCTACGCCACATGTCTAATTCACTGAGATAGGTACAGATCCCTTGACTACAACCACACAGCTCCGCACAAGAAAACCCCCACTACGTCACAAAGAAAACATTTACAAAGCAAAAACGAGGAACAGACGTGATTGATTGCTGGGCTCCCGCTCCGCCTACCCGTCTCTAGAACACTGCCGCTACGTGTGCACCTAGCGCTTACTGGCGCGGGACTTACACAGCCGCCATCTCCAACTCACGTCAGCGGGCCGGGGCGGATATGCCGGCCTAATCCAAGGCTTGTTTTTGAGCTTCTTGCGCAGCCTGCAAATCCTAGCCTATTAAGTCCACCGTGTTGACGAGGTAGCGTGTAACCTCGCCCTAGACTAGTTGGTAGATCATCGGTTGGACACCAGAACACCGTGCCACAGCCCCTATATATCAAGGGCCTGTAGCCACCTCGATTTTTAGGACCATATCTTTCACAACTGCTCAATCGCTTCGGTTGTCTCTGCTTGACCCTTGGCAGAAATATCCAACCACAAAGCATGCATTATCTCAAATTCACCTCCCTCCTTGGCCTTTGTGGAGTCGCACTCGGTGCTTCCAACGCAAAGGCTGCCTCAGGCTGCGGCTCCTCCGCTCCTCCTTTCAAGCTTGGGAAGCTTAGCGATAACCAAAACATCACGACCAAGGACGGCAAACGAAGATACCGCGTCTACCTTCCCCTATCGTACAAGCAGTCACAGGAGACCCCCGTCATCCTCTCGTTCCACGGCGCGAACGGAAACATCGAGAAACAGTGCAAGCTGGACGGGCTGACCGAGGACTGGAGGAACAACAAGTACGTCGTGGTGTACCTGCAGGGCCTGGCCACGCCCGACGACCCCACCAGGACCGCGTGGCAGGTCGACCCGCGCGCCACGACCGACGACCTGGCCTTCACGGCCGCGGTGCTGGACGAGGTCCAGTCCCGGCTGTGCGTCAGGGCGTCGCAGGTCTACGCCGTGGGCAAGTCCCAGGGCGGCGGCATGGTCAACCTGCTCGCGTGCGACGCCGCACTCAGCGCGCGCGTGGCCGCCTTTGCGCCAGTGAGCGGCGCCTACTACATCCACAACACCTCGAAAGCGCAGTGCGACCGCAAGGACAGCATCCAGTTCCCGGACTGCAGGCCCAGCCGCAAGAACATGCCGCTCATCGCCTTCCACGGCGGCGCCGACCCCACCATCCCCTTTGACGGCACCCACCGCCGCGCCACAAACAGCTGCCTGCCCAGCATCCCGCACTGGATCAACGAGTGGGTGAAGAGGGAGGGGCTGGACGTGGCGAGCGGCAGGACGACGCCCATCAAGGGCAGCAAGGACGGCGGGAACAAGACGGTGTGGGGTGGAGGGAGCAAGGGCCAGGTCGAGTTCGTGTACGACGGAGACACGATCCCGCACGACTGGCCGAGCACGGTGCCAAACAGCGACAACGGGGGCGCGAACCTCACGTCGTTCAACGCCACCGAGTACATACTCAAGTTCGTGGACGGCAGAAGCCTGTAAGTGCGATTAGGGAGTAGATAAACCTGATTAGGGGCCATGTGTAGGTATGTAGGTAAAGGATAGACTTGAGCATGTAATCAAACTGGTATCTTGCAGAATCCGCTGTTCCTAATAGCGTAACACAAAGGGGAAAGAAAAATCCCTCCCAAGATCACATTCGTAACGTCGTTTCGTCATAACAAAACAAACAGATCAGCCAGCTCGTTTAGGGGGTAAATGGCGGCGGTGCGTCCTTGGGAGGTGTCGGGGGAGCCGGCAGCGCCGCCGTGTCGTTGTCGTCCGAGTAGCGCTGAAACACCCTCTGCCTCGTCTCCTGCAGCGCCAGCCGCGTCGACTCGAGCAGCACCTCCTTCTCCTCCAGGTCCGCGGCGAGCCGGGCCCTCCGCGCGTTGCAGTCGGCCGCCAGCCCGTCCACGGCGGCGCGCAGGCGCTGCACCTCGAGCCTGCTGGCCTTGATCTTGTTGTGGAACTGCAGGTCCGTAAAGATGTTGTCGAACAGCACGTCGGACAGGATGCTGCCGTGCGCCACGTTCACCGGCGGCAGCGAACCCGCGTCGACGAGCGGGCTGGCCAGGCGCGCGTTGAGCGCCAGCGTGCGTGCCTCGCGCGCCAGCACGTCGGCCCGGTGCAGCGCGTTGCGCTCCATGGCGTCGGCCCAGGACCCGCCGCCGAAGATGTCGTGCCGCGACGCCGTCAGTGCCCGCTCCATCTGCGCCGCGGCGTCGCGCGCCCGCGCCTGCGCCTCGGCCAGCATCCGCCCCGCGTGCGCCTCGCCCTCGGCCCGGACCCGCGTGTCGTGGTAGGCCTGCAGGGCCTCGTGCGCCTCCCGCTCGCGCGCGTCCTCCTCGGGGAACCCCGGGGTCGGGCCGCGGAAGATGTCGTCGTACAGGCCGTCGAGCTCGGCCTGGGCGGAGCGGTGGCGGCGGGCGGCGTCCTCGAGCCCGGAGCGCGCGGCGTGGGCGTCGCGCAGCATGGCCTCGAGGCCCGCGCGGGCCTCGGACTCGCGGTGCGACTCCTGCAGCGCCTCAAAGTACTCGCGCTCCTCGCGCTCGGCGCGGCGCGCGAACTTGTCGCCCTGGCCCGCCGCCTTGAAGATGAAGCGTCGCATGACGCTGTCGCGGTACCGCTCGTGGTCCTTGAGTTCCTTGGCCCGCGCCCGGCCTAGCTGGTCGGTACGCCGCACCGACTCCTGGAGCTGCCGGTCCAGGTCCGCGATGTAACGGTTGTGGTTCTCGAGGTCCGGCTCCGCGTGGTCCGTCTCTCTCAGTGTGCTGACGAGCTCGGCATTGCGCGCGAACGCGACTTGGATCTTTTCATGGACGGTGGCCATCGGTGAAAAAGGTGGTTTCGGTTCGACGGATTCAGGGGGTGGTTTGCTCCTGTTTACAATCTTGTATTATCCGTGTCGTTATGACCATACCAATGTGGTAGTAATCACACAAAAACCAGCGATATCGTCATATTTGTATCTCGGGAGACACAGACAAAGGCAGCGCTGGGCTGGCATGTGAGCCAGATATTACCCCTGGTTCAGTTGGGGCAGGCTCAGCCTGGGGCTGTGCAATATGCGCAGCAGACAGCAGTGATCAATTGCGGAGGCTGCACATCTCACGCCTCCCTCGATCGTGCCTTGGCACTCTCAATGATGTAATAATTGGACCAAAGTCTCCCAGAGGATTCGAGGTATCCAGATTGTTGCACCACATGGAATTCCAGCACCTGAGGCCCCGCCAAGGCAGCAATCCTCCCAGGTCAGCTGGTATATCATATCTTCTCAAACGATATCCGTCCGTCCACGTCGACGCCTTGGAATAAAGGATTGGTAACTCGTTAAGGCGTCTGAGCCGACTCTCCTTTTTCTCCCTTTGTTTACCGAGCTCGATGAGCCGCAGCTCGGTGTATGTGAAGACGAATACCCCGCTAGTAGCTAACACAGTTTCTCCCTAGCACTCCAGATACCATTCCGCCCTGAGTGCCTTCCATCAAGCTATCCTCCGTGCTAACAGCTGACACAATCTCCTCCTAGCCCTCCAGCTACCATTCCGCCCCGAATGCCATCCATAAATCCATGCTCCGCGCCAAACACTCTAAAAAATGCCCTAGAAGGGGTACCCGGTCGCCCAAAGTCCCACTGCTCATGGCCGTAAGGCTCACCCAAGTAAAACACTAGAAAGGCTAAAAGGTCTGCTCCCGAGATCCCCCCATCACTCCAGTCCATACTTAGCCAGGTATCCCCGGCTGTGCACCTTGAACCGGCGGCTGGTTTCCTCGTTGCACTGGAAGACAAGACCCTCGCCTGGCTCGCGGTCGGCGAGTTCCTGGATCTGGCACGCGTTCTTGAACGCGAGCTGCAGCTTGACACTAGCCCCCCGAACAGGGACGTGCTGAACCTTGTTGTTTTTGCACCAGGAGACCACCTTGTCTCCCCTAACCCAATTACCCTCGATCCGGGGCTCAAAAATGTCAAATACCCAGAGGTCGACCTCGCCCTTAGGGTAGCCGCGGCGGTTTTTGTTGACTCCGTCGCCCGCCAGCTCTCCCTGGATGATAAAGTCCTGGTTCTGGGCGTTGAGGAGATCCGGCAGGTTGTACCGGAGGGCGGCCCGCCAGAACGGGCAGGTATCTGTCTGCGGCAGCTCGATTTTCATCGAGCACACGCCGACCCTCCCGTTCGACAGGTCCATGTGGGGGCCAGGGTACTTTGGCAGCGGGTTGAGAGCCTTGAAGAACGGGGAGTTCTTGCCGATAAAGTACACGGCCATTGTCGAGCCGTCGATCTTCTCCGTGACCTGGTACGTCAAGGACTTGTACTTCGGCTTGATGAACAAGTTCGGGCACTGAACGAGGCGCGAGATTTGTGCCCTGCGGTAAAAGCCGGGGCAAGGGCCCATGCTGACCTTTGTGGCGGAGTGCGACCAACGCTTGACCCCCAGCATCTTCTCGAATGAGACGTTGTAGTTGAGATCGTCGGCCGCAAGGAGCTGAATGCCGTACGTCAACGCATCTCCGCCAGCGGGGTCTGCCAGGCTGCAGGCGGCCGGATCAACACCCAGAGCCTGTGTCATCGAATTGATCGCGTAGACCACCGGCGGGAAGGCCGTCACAGGCCTGACGATGCCGTCGCAGAACAGGCCGGTGTCCTTGTCCAGGTGGAAGTCGAGCTTTAGTCCGGGCTCGCCCTCGATATTGTGCTGACAGTTCATCGCCTTGAACTCGGGGTGTGCGTTCGCGGGGAGAAAGGTCCTAGCGAGGAAGACCATGACGATCTGGCCCGCCTTGAACGACGCCTTGCGCGCTAGGAACCTGAGGCCGTTGCCATCCAGGCCACGGCATTCGACTTTGAACCTGCCGTCTTCGATGCGCGTGACGCTGATGATGGATCGTAGAAACACACGAGCGTCCGAGTTGCCGCCAACGGCCGGGTATTTCTCGATCAGCTCCCGAATAGAAAGGGCCGGTTTCATTGGGAAGCTAAAAATAAATTTTGTTAGAACCGTGATTTGTAATTTGGAAGATTTAAAAGGAAGAGTTGAACTCGAGAGAATTATTCTCTTAAAGTCGGGTCTAAAGACGCTGAAGTGTCTTTGGTTGCCGATGAAAGCGTAACTGAAATCGAAGCCTGATTTTAAGACCGAATGTTGAAGCTTTATATGTTGAGTTGACTTACTTCGCCATTGTGAATATTTACGTGCGTGATCGGAAGAGCAGGCGAGGATTCGAGGGGAGCCAGATGAAGAGAAGGTTTGGTATCTCTTTGTGGATGGGGCCGAGCACTGGTGGGCGTTGTGGGAAAAGATGACCCAGATTTGGTTGGCTTGTCAAACTTCGGCGGTTGCCTGCCAACTTGGGTCAAGCTTCTCGAGGAGTCGCGCCAAAAGTCTCTGATCTGGAGGAAGAGAACAGTCCGGCAAGGAATGTTTAGCTGCTCCAAGCCAGAACGCACAGTGGGCTTCCCCCGAGAAGATCCTCGACGGTATTTGGTATGGTGACGTGAGGGTAGAATCAAGAGAAGAGGGGGAAATACTCGCGCTCTACGCAAGGTGTAGATCTGGGCGAGGAGAGAGTGCAGGAAGAGGAGAGAGTGCAGGAAGAGGGCTAAAAGTAGAGCGTGAACAAGAACTTTTTGAAGGTGGAAGGCTTTCGCCGACCTAGAGGGTCGGATGGTAGATATCCTCTGGCAAGCCTTACCAGAGTCTTTGTTGTGCTTGGAGGAGGTTTCTTGTTGAGGGGAGAAGGAAGGGAAGCGGACCCGGGGAGGAAGTCGGGGTTTTGAGGCCGAAGGTTGGAACTCCAGGGCTCTGAGCCCCACAGGTGATTGGTAGACAGGGGAGGGCCAAGGAAAGCACTAACTAACAATAGAAAGATCATATACGACATCTAATAGCAGAGTACTTATCCGTTTGTTGGGCTAGGTGGAGGTACTATAGCTGGTGAGGAGCGGCGCTGTGTTATGAGCTCGCTCTTTGCAGGTAGGAGCGGGAAATGACACTTCCACATTACTCAACACAAACACTAACATTGTTTTTGAACTCTCCTTCAACAGTTGGGGAAGTATCGAGGCAGCAGACCAACTGTGCCACTATTCGCTTTCACTTGTACTTCAACTGTCAAAAGCCTCAACAATACCAGCACAATCCTGAAGCTAGCCTAGATATGGGCTGAGAAACCGGCCTTGTGCTTGAGGAGAGAAAGTGAGGAGCAGAGTCCAACAAGACATGTGGTTGCTGCCTTGGAAGTGCGACATGTCCCTATATAGAGATGGATGAAGCGTCAGCCATGATGGCGATACCTGCAAGTGGAAGCTGAAGCCCCACATCCCCCCCACTGAATTTGATCTCACCGTTAGTCAGCAGCGTCGCGAGCGCAAGAATTTCTTTGCGCGGAACGCGACTTGCAGCGCAGAGCCCGAGGCTACGAGCAGCTCAAGCGACTCGCCATCGCAAACATTGATGAGAATCGACCGCCTGCGCCGCCACTATCAGCAGGCCCCCACCCACAAACAAATCCTCCAGTTACCTGCCCGAGGCGCCTTGCATATTCTGCGTCATGATTGTCGGAGCCTAAGTGCCTGCACATTCAATTGCTCGTCCGCTCCCTGGCCGTCATCTGCGCCTGCCCTCCTCGCAGCAGCTCCTCCCCTTGACCGAGCTCCCAGTGGGCATCCTCGCCCGCGACGGTCACAATGTCGGCGGCACCAGGGCCCCAGGCCTTCACGTCTTCGTATGCGCCCCGATTGCGGACATACAACAACTCGCTGCTAGTGCCTGTGATCAACACACCCCAGGCAGGCCCCATCGCACGAACAACCAAGCGAGGCACGACCGTCATCAACTACGCCGAGGACGGCTACGACGACTACGACGATGACGACGACGACAGCCGCCGCCGGCCCACGGGCCTCCGGAGCCTGCGCCGAGACGACAGCGTGGCCAAGGTCGACCCTAGCGAGCGCGTGGGCAAGGACACGACGGTGCCTGTTGAGGTGGCTGGCATCTGGAGGGACTGGATGGGCAAGAGTCGGATACCCCGGCCGGACGCACAGAACTATGCGCAGGCCTCGCTGCCTCTGACTCTTATCCCCATCCGGCTCGATGTCGAGATCCCCTCCTTCATACCGGCGCCAAACATCCAGAACGTGAACGACTCGACACAGAAGCAGGAAATGACTGTCCCGTACCGTCTCAAGGACAGCTTCATGTGGAACCTGCACGAGACGCTCATCACCACGGACCAATTTGCTCAGCAGCTCGTTCACGACCTTGATCTGCCCAACAGGAACTCCGTTATGGCCGAGATCAGCAAGCAGATCAGGACACAACTAGAGGAGTACGCAGGCGTGGCCCTCCACCCGCTCTTCCACTCTGCCCAGAAGCCTACCGCTGGACCCGTGCCGCCAACACTGAGTCGAGCCGACTCGGCCACCCCAACACCCCAGGCTGTGGGCGCAGGCCGCTCAGACACCCCGCTACGGGGTGCTCTATTTGCACCCGCCACCCCATCGAGGCTTGGGCCAGGAACGCCAGTGCCGACAACATCAATGTCTCAGGCCGCGCCGACCTCGAATGCCGAGGTAACGGCTACGGCCGAGCACGCTTCGGGGGATTCGGACGACCTGAACCTAGACGATACGTACCGCTGTGTCGTAACCCTCAATATCTACCTCGGCTCTCATCTGTACACGGACAAGTTCGAATGGTCGTTGCTCCACCCGCCAGGCACCGCCGAGGCCTTTGCCAAGGTCACATGTGCGGACCTTGGCCTGTCAGGGGAGTGGGTGCCCGCCATGACGCACGCTATCTACGAAGCGGTGCTGCGGCTGAAGAAGGAAGCGTGCGAGTCTGGTGGGTTGGTCGTGTCTGGTGCTGGAGACTTCCCCGGTGCTGACGCATCTAGCGGTGGTCCGGCGGGTGCAGACGGTGCTGGAGCCGGCTGGAGGCACGACCCGGAGCACCTGGCGGACGACTGGGAGCCGCGGGTGGAGCCGCTGTCCAAGGAGGAGATGGAGAAGCGCGAGGGCGACAGGGAGCGCCAGATCCGCAGGTTACGGCGCGAAACGGCCCGGTTCAGCAGCAACACGGGCATGGTCGGCGGCGTCCCAGTCGGCTTCGGCTTCGGTGGCCTGATCGAGCAGGAAGAGGAGCGCATGGGCCGCGGCGAGCGGAGCAAGAAGAAGCGCCGCTTCCGCAGCCTGTCGCCCCTTGGCCGATCAGGCACCCCGGGCGGCCGCGGCACACCCGATGTTGGCGCGTCCTCGGGCGGATATGGCGGCGGAGGGACCCTGACGGATACGGAGCGGAGTATGTGGAGGTGCTCGCACTGCAAGGTCTGGGGAACGTGCGTTTGGGCCGTGCGGGACGGACCACATGGGCCTCGGGTGAGTTTTTTGCGCTCCGAATCTGCCCTGTTCTGCTTTGATGTCGTGACGTACTGACGACCACCCTGTGCAACAGTCATTATGCAACAATTGCGGCTTCACGTACGAGCGGGACCGCAAACTGCCTCGCTGGACAAAGAACATGCACGCCAACGACATGCGCTTCGTCTAGAACACGGGCCACATGAATGCGGCGGCCAACGGTACTCAGGTTCAGAGTGACATTGACAGCGTCGTGCCATCGCCGGCTCGGAAGCGCCGCGCCGCTGGAAAGTCGACAGGCTGAAAGCCTCGACTGCACTCTTCTAGTCCGTCTAATCAACTGGCCGCCGGGACCAGCAACACGGAGGTGGGGTAGACATGGTACAAAAGAAGGGAGGGTTGATTTGGCGGCGTACTTTGGGTTGGGAACAAAGCGGCGGGCATGTTTTACTCCTTATTTCTCTTTCATTTCCTCTTTTCCCCCCTTGGCTATACGTGCACGTTGGCACCTCTGCAAACCCACCTACCTCCCTCGACGTTGATTCTCGACATGCCCCGAAACTGTGTCTTGATCAGGAGAACACTCATAGACGGGCGCGATTTTTACCGATATGTTCAGTGTGCCATACACAAACTACGAGCGTGCTAAGACAGCATCGCCGATATACGAGCCGGCCACACGGAAGAGCTTAATAGTAGCACTTGAGATGTCGAACTAAGATTCCAGCTGAATAGATATGTCTTAGTGCATGATACAACTGCCAGATTGTACATATATTTATATATTCTCATTTTTGCGTACCTCATAACCAACATGAGAAATACGCCGGACAAGGGATAGCACGATCAATAAGTATACACAGTAGCTTAGGCTAGCTTCGGCACGTGATTGCGGTGCTTGGATCCCACTTCACGCCAAGCAAACGAACGCGCTCAGGGTGGGGTGGATGATCTGAACCCCACCACGATTGCCATTGTACCCGCTGCAGGGGCACAACCTATGGGACGCGACGGAGCTGAAGGTTTCGCAAAGATCGAGTCGCCTAGCGAGGGGAGTCGAGAAAATCAGACACCAAGAAAGGAAAGAAAAAAAAAGAAAAGAGAAAGAGAAGGGAGGCAAAGACTGGAGTACCGCATCGAGCCCTCACAATTGTCTCGCACGCCACAGACCGCCGCGCCGCAGACGCTCGGTCGCTGCAAGCGGGCTATATCCTGTATCGCAGGGGGGCTACAGGGCCTGTCGCAGCGGTTGGTTCGATTGATTGATTGATTGATACGTCAACGACTGGACGCGGGAGCCCGTCGTGTCCGTCTGGGGATGCAGCGAACATTGAGCTTCCGCGACGCCCACCTCAGCCCTCCAGTACTCGAATTGGCGCTCCCAATGAGGGACTGACCCCAGCGAGCCACGGCCACGTCTGAGACCTCGATCCATCCGTCCCTCCTCGCTGCGTCTGGCCCAGCCTGCGGAACGGGCAGGTGCATGCCTCACCCTCGACCTCGACGCCGAGCCCGCGCGAGCCCTCGACCGCCGTCCTCGCTCCCTCCACCTCCATTCGTCGAGCACCCACCCCCACTGCTCGATGAGCCAGGCGACGCACGACATCCCTCGGTCGTCTACCCCTGTATCACACATCCCTACGTACATGCGCAGCACTGCCTCGCGATAGGCCGACGCCACCATGCCCGGACCGGCCGACAAGAAGAAGAAGGGCGCCGGCGAGGGCAGCTCAGGGGCCGCCCCGGATGCGCCCTCGTCGGGTCAGGCCGTTGCGAAAGCGTCTGCCCCAAAAGCAAGCGCGGCCCTTGGCGGCGAGGGAATGCCGCTCATCATATGTCGCAATAAGTCAGACGGCCCCGAGCCTGCTCGGCCCAGCCCGTTCTTCAGGAGGCAATGGCTAACCCGGGTGTCGCGGCGCGCAGGCACTGGCGCTACATCTCGTCCTTCCACGGCCCCTGGCTTAATCTGCCGCTGGAGGCGCTCGAGTCGCTCGCGCACTCCAACTTCAACAGCCCCCGGCCCAGGCCCATCGACGTCGGCATCTTCTTCGACCTGGTCAAGATCCGCAAGCTGGTGGGCGAGGCCACCCCGCTGACGGTCAACGCCGCCAACGGCTTCGGGCCCGGCAAGATGAAGCTCTCGCACGAGCGCAAGCACCGCATGCGCGACCAGGCCACCAAGCGCCTCTCTCAGGCCTACTACATCGACGAGATCGCCACCAGCGTGGCCATCATGCAGGGGACTACCAGCCTGGAGAACGTCGCCGAGTACGTCCTGGACAAGAAGCGAGACGATCTGGACGCAAAGTACGTGCACTTCTTCCACGAGAAGATACCCTCGCGCCACGTCGTCGAGTCGACTCCCTTCGACCCCCTGAACGACATCATAGCCGCCAGGCCCATGGAACCCGAGCCCTTCCGGACCAGGGCTGTCCTGCGCGTCTTTGCTGAGGACTACGACGGCGCCGTTGCAGACTTGACGGCTGCCATGCAACTACTGCGCTACAACGGACCGGCGCATAACTCGCGGGACGACCTAGAGGGCCCCACACTGACCCCGGCGGGGCGCCGGCCCCCAGAGCTCAAGCTAGCCGACGACGAGCAGCCGACGAGCCTGGAGATGCAGTTGATGTTCCAGCGGGGGTCCGCGTACTTATCCAAGGCGTGCCAGTGTGTCTATGCTACGCTTCCGACACCCGAAAAATCAGAGACGGGCAACAGCGGCACCGCGGGTGGCCAGGTCTCACCGGCCACGGCGAGCGACGAGGTCGTTGCCCAGGCCATAGCCCAGGGCGCTGGCGAGAAGGCTGCGACAGCACCCGCGGCGGAGCTCAGCCCGCAGCAGATGGCGGCCCGCAAGTTGGTCAAGACTATGGCAAAGCGAGCCCTGAGGGACTTTATAGGCTTCCTAGACCACCTGGAGTATTCCCCCGAGTACCCGCTCGAAGATTTCGACGAGTTCGCCCGGAAGCACCGCGCGGCCACCAGGTATGGAAATCCCAACGTCGCGCCAGCCGCAACCTACAAGAACCACAAGCTGTACAAGCTTTCTACATTGTTCGAGCCTACACCACCGGCAGGACTGCCACCATATCCACCCACCCCGGAGCAAACACAGCAGGACCAGGCGCAGCAGCAACAGCAGCAGCAGCAGCAGCTAGGGCCAGGCGCCGCTCCTGCAAAGCCCACAACGGCTACGCCGCTCGAGAGCGTGACATACCATCCACTTCTGACGGACGCTATGCACGCCGTGCTCCTCTGCCACTGCCTCCTGGGGACCAATACCAAGGAGCTTCAGCGCCACGCCTACATGGTGGCGCGTCTATCCCGTGTCGCCGACGGCTACCCCATATTTCAGGCCAGTCGCAGCCCAGCTCGGGCTGACTGGATGGAGGTGTTGAGACGGCTCAGCGGGGCAGACTGGCTCCCCCTCCAGAGTGGGTGGGATGCCTTGTGCCGACCCCCGCCTCTATACGTCGGCGTTCCGCCTAGCGGCGCCGCTCCATCCCCGTCGGCGACTCGGCCGCAGAACACTGATGGGTTCAACCCCTCTCTGGCGCCAACATCCCCATACGGCGCGACACAAGCCCCCGCATCTCCGTATGGCTCAGGGGCGGGCGACCCAACCGTGAGGACCCCCGGAATGGCCAGCGCACCTGTCAGACGATGGGACGGGCTTGACGAGGACGCCCGCGAGTACCCAATATGGACAGAGCGCGCCGCGGCCATCGTGAGGTGGCTCAGGGAATCGCCGTCGCTCCCGCCCCTCCCGCCGAGCGGAGGCGGCAAGAAGAAAAAGAAGGTCGTAAAACCAACGGCACCGCCAGCCTGAACCGCGTATTGGATTCTTTCTGTAAACGAAATGCCAGAGGGAGAGAAAGCTGCATGTCGGATCGAGACTAAGCAACGATTGCAAAGGGAGCATTGGACATGATATAGACACGACGGGTGTTGCATATGTGCCTGTGGATACCGACTGCTTGATGCTTTGTTTAATTAATAGATATCTCTTGGGATACCTTGGCGCGCGAGGGCGAGGAGCACCAACCAGTAGACTAGATGTTCACCGAGTAGATGTGATATTATGGTGTTGTGCATATCGTCCAATTAGGTACCGAGGTGTATGTATTATGAAGTGTAGAGATGAATGGCAGGCACATGGGCAGAAAGCTCAGACTTTCCGCAGCCGCACCCGGCAAGGGTACCCGTCGCTCGGGTGCTCCGCCGTCGGCCTCTCTGCCCTCTTCTTCCTGCCGCCGTCGCCGCGCAGCCTGCTCCACTCGTCATGGGCGGGCACGACGTCAAAGTCCCGCAGCGTCATGACCAGCGCCACCTTGAGCACCATGACGGCCAAAGCCTGGCCGATGCAGCTGCGCGGGCCCTGGCCGAAGGGGCGGTACGCGGCTCCGCCTTTGTTGTTGCTACTGTTGCTGTTGTTGCTGTTGTTGCTGTTGTTGCTGTTGTTGTTGTTGTTGTTGTTGTTGTCGCCATCACCGAGCCAGCGCTCGGGCAAAAACTCGTCGGGCCGCTCCCAGTCGGCCGGGTCGACGTGCACCATGCCATGCAGCACCCAGACGTAGCACCCCGCAGTGGGCAGGACGCGGCCGGCGCCGTCGACGAGGTCGGCGCCGTCCCGGCCCTCCGTCATCTTGGACGACGGCGGGTGCAGGCGCAGCACCTCCTTGATGACGGCTAGCGTGCGCGGCAGGGCGTTGAGGAGGGCGGGCTCGGTTGATAGGCGGTGCTGCTGCTGCTGCTGCTTCGAGGAGGAGGAGGAAGGGGAGGGGCCAAAGACGGCGTCGTGCTCGGCCCGCACCAGTGCCAGCCACTCGGGCCGCTGGGTTAGATGGTGGTAGGCAAAGACGAGCGTGGTGCTGGTCGCGTCGTGGCCGGCGAAGAGGAAGAGGCGGATGTGGGACGTCATGGCCGCCTTGAAGTCTGCAGCAATGTCGTTGTTGGCGTCGTCGTCGTTGTCACCGTCTTCCAGTATGGCCGACGCGGCGAGGGAGAGGATGGATTTCGAGCATGGCGACGACGACGACGACGACGCCTCGCCATCTCCTTTTGGCTTGCCGTCCTTCCCGCCGCTACCGCGCCTCTGCCGGACCACCACCCCGGCCAGCTGCTCGTCGATCCGGGCGTGGATATACCGGTTCATCCGCCGGCCGTTGTACCACTGCACCAGCCACCCGGCCGACAGGTACTTTGTGAGCGGGTTCATGGTCGCCTCGTAGTTGTTCCACGATATGATGGTCATCAGCGCCTCGGCCACAGGGTTGTCCCGTTCCTGGTGCTGGAAGCGCGCGCCCCTGGAAGCAAAAAAGACAAGCTGTCAGTCAACCGCCCCTCCTCCCTTTTTGTTTTCTTTTTCTTCCGTCAACCAAACGCAAACCTACATCGTCACGGAGCCGATAACATCCAGCGTCAGCCTCAGCGTCAAATCCTCCAGCCGAAACAAGGCCCCCTCCCGCGCCCTCTCGGCCAGCACGTCCCTAAACACCCCGACCTCGCGCGCGGCCCGCCCCACGAACCGCGCGGCCCCGCCCGAGCTGAACCCCGGCCCCAGCGCCCTGCGCCAGCGGGCCCAGCGCGCGCCCGTCATGGTCAGGAGGCTCTCGCCGCCCGTGACGACGTCGAGCTGGCCGCACACGCCGCGCGGCAGCCCCAGCCCCAGCCGCTGCACCTGCGCCGCCCCGGCCGCCGACGTCACCACCAGCAGCGGGGACGCGAAGGGCCAGAGGTCGACGTAGTGCATCCCCGTGTCCGTGAAGGGGAGGGACAGCCGGCCGAACAGCCGGTCCACGCTCGAGTCGTGCGCCACCCGCCTCTCGCACCGGGCCAGCGCGCCGAAGTGGCCCAGGATCGGGTGGTAGGGGGGCATGGGCTGAGTGTGGGTGGGTGAGGACCCCGCGTGTTTGTGTTAGTTCTTTTGTGCCATGTTTTGCGCGCGAGGGAGTTATGGGTGGACAGCAGCTGGCCCCCCGACGTACCAGACCTGCTCTTTGCAGCTTGTACATGAACCGTCTGGCCGCATACAGCCTCGCCAGGAAGAGCGCCACGCCGCCCGCTGCGGCCAGGGCCAGGAGCACCAGGAGACCTTGGACATCCAAGTAATATCGAAGAGACATCTTTGCCGCACGTTGACGCGTTCGTACCGCAATGAGAGTAGATGGGCCAGACGAATGGCTGGCAGAGGATGCCAATCAACTCATATATAGCAATACGAGCGACAAGAAGCAATGTGTGACGAGGGCGGGCAAACCACAGGATGGCACACAGTCGTTGGCTGGCACGCCATCACGCTCCCCCAGTGGCAGACGATGCCTGGAGTGGAAGACAGCACCAAAGTGCTTGGACTTTTTTTGGGGCCCGTGATAGGAGGCGCAAATACGAAACCGCGCCGGCGCGTTCGGGAAACCCTGCTGGCTCGACGCCGCTGGGCTGGGCCTGCCCGGGGGGGCCATCACACTTGCGGTTAGTATGCACGCTGGGTTAGAAGCCGCCGTGCCGTCGCTCGGTCTCCCTTGCACAGTCAGCCTTCGGTCATGGCAGCCAGACGCTATCAGGGGGTGCACGCCACCAAAATATTGACCGTCTGTGGCGGCGCCCGTGTTGGGTGCATGAGTGAGCGAGCCTGGTTTGAACAAAAGGGCAGGGTATATATTGCGGCTTTGCGTCCTCAGGCGCCGATTTAGGGCCTGTGCAGGGAACTGGCGAGGGAGTCTTGGTTCAGCGAGAGAGAGCTAAACGCGAAACAAACAATGAAGGAAGAGCATATATCTAAAACCCCAAGAGATGTTTCCTAGCCACAAGAAACAGACAACAGCCGCCGGGCACACAGAAAAAGGCATCCAGCAAGACCTATACCAAGAGACAGAATTATCCAAATAACCCGGCGCTATAGACAGGACCGACATTCACCATCGGCCCCCGTTCCCGTTCTCCACGCCGACCATGTCGACGCCCATGTTCAGCAGCTGGTTGATCTCACCCATCCCGTCCTGCTCCAGCACACCCATGAGCTCCGACAGCTGCTCCTGCGTCAGGCTGCCGTGCCGCATAGGGTTCACGAAGCCGTTGGCCGCAAAATGACCCCCCTGGCCGAACGATGGCATGCCACCACCGGGTGCGCCGCCTGGACCAAGGCCCATGCTGTTCATGCCTGCCCCTCCGAATCCGCCAGGAGGCAAGGCGCTCATAAAGGCTGTATCGACGCCAGGGTCACCAAAGCTCTGCGCATTGCCGTTGAAAGCCGGATTGTTTTGCTGCTGCGAGAAGGCAAACGGCGAGATGAGGGGCGGCGGCGGACTGAACCAGCTGGAGGAGACGTTGGCTGGCGGGTGGTGGTGTGCGTGGCGTCCTTGCTGTGGCAGCGGCGGGACGGCAAACGTGGGTCCGCGCGATGATGGCATCGTCACGGGGCCTGTCGGGGTCTGCTGCGGCGTCGACTGCGGCGTCGGGTGGCCGTGCATCTCCTGCTGCTGCTGCTGCGGAGTGTGGGGCGTGAACTTGATGGCAGGGGTGGCGACGGGCGTCATGTGTGCGGGTGGGCTTCGGTGAGCCATGGTAGGAGTTGGGCTGACTGAGCGGGTATCCGACGCCATTGTGATTGCCGGAGACAATGAGTTCCCGTTGGGGAACCCGCCCTGGCCACCGCCTAGCGACTCTGGGGGTGTGGGGAGTGCATTGTGCTGAGGCGAAGACTGCCTGCCCTCGTGGTGGGCGGTTGAAGGCCAGGGCCCAGAACCCGTCTGGTCCTCCATGCGAGAATTCTCCTCGTCCTGTACGAACTCTGGCGGGAAGTAAGACGGCCGTCGGCCTTTGCCATCTGACGAAGGGTTGTAAAAGATGGAACCGGTGCGGAATTGGGGATGCCTCTGCTGGAAGCCGTCGTCGACAAAACCGGGATTTCCAAAGTTGAAGGATGCCTCAGGCTGGCTGTTGAAGACATTGCCAAACTGCGGTGTGACGAACAGCGACGCTTGCTGTTGTTGCTGCTGCTGGCTGTGCTGTGGCAACGCCTGTGAGCCGGTAGCTGAGGCAGCCGACGGGCCCGAAACATCCGACGCCGAGGGAGAGTTGGTGTCAGTGGTCGAAGAGGGTGTCCCAAAGTTGCCGGCGAAACCCCGAGATACGGCTGCGTCTTCCTTCTGCTCGTAGCTCTGCAAACACGCCCGAGCGAGGTTGCTATAGTGCTGCGACGCAGCAGCTGTTCCTGGCCACCGCTCGGCGCACTGGTCGATGGTCTCGAGGCATGTTGCCACCAGCTCCTCCAGCTTCTCCCGGGGGTGCGCCTTGCGAACTTCGGCGTACGAAACGGACCATAGCAACGTGTTGAGCGACATGTAGACAGTCAGGAGGAAGATCCATGTGATATCTACAGCAGACTTCTTGACTTGCTGACTCGACAGGGTCATGATGAAGGCCGCGGATTCGGCGCAGCGCAGAGCCGCAGACCCAGAGGGCTTTGGCACCTGTGGCGAGGGCCTGTACAAGGCGACAACCATGGTGTGGTACTTGCCCGTGAACCTAAAAGCTGTGTGTTAGCAAACTGACGCTGCACGCAGGAGTTCCATCCGATAGGAAGCCGACTAACCAGGGCCGGCACCAGGCTGGCTGTTGAGGGCTGGCGTCGAGCCATTCCTGCATCTTCTGCTCCATCTGCGCGAACCAGGGGTGGCTCTCGTCTCTGGGCTCGTGCCGTTTCTTCTCGTAAAGAACCCGACGAATCTCGGCCTGGAGGACACGCATCTTGCAAAAGTGTATCGCCGCGAGCTTCTTCTTACTCAGCGGACCATCCTTTATACCCTCGGATGTGATGTCCTCATCAGCGTGGGCGTCGAAGAAGCCGACGTCCATAAAGTCGTTGCCCTTGGCGAAGCCGCTCGGGCGCCCCATGCTATGGGCCAGGCCATACTCCATGGCGGTCACGATCCAGCTTAGCCTGCGTCGCATGTCGAGCGTGAGTGGGTCCAAGTCACCCTGGGCACAACCGTTGGTGTTGGTGATGGTCTTCTCATCGCCGAGGCCAAGCTGCTGGCATATTCTTGTGGCAAGACCGATGATGTAGTAGACGGCCGTCCTCGTGGGCGTCAAGGTCGAATACTGAGCGATGAGGATAAGACATTGCACTGTCCTCAAGTCCTTTGTCCGCACAACGTCCTCAAAGTACTGCATGGCGGCCAGATAGTAGCCATCTGCAAGTCCGGCCCACTGTGTGTCGAGCTTCTGGAGCGCGACGGCGAGGACCATCCGGACCATGAAATTTTGGTGAGCGTCAGCCTCGCCAGCATACACGTCATCTAGGTCTTTTGCCAGCGTGACTTCGTGGAGGCTCGGTTGAAATATTTGGGCTGCCAGCAAGTGGTGTGTATTAGCATCATGTTTGCAGGTGCATTCGCCGGTCGCCCCTGTTGTGATAGGAGAAAGCACCAACCTCTCTGGTTGAACACATCCATGAGCCCCCCAGCCATGGGCCTAGTCGGTAGTCCCTCGGCCGGGTACGCGCTGACCATGGGGTAGCTTTTCTTGCGGCCAGAGGGCCCGCTTATGCTCCCTCCCATGCTGACGACGCTCTGCATCCTGTTCGAGCGGTCCAACCTTCGCGAGCGTACCTCGGGGATCAGCTCGGATATTTTGTTGGATTCGGTGTAACGCTTGGCCTCCTCCATCAACAGACGCGTCATGGCGATGCCACTGCTCGGGCCAAGGTACCGCGGGGTCTCGTCGCGCTCGTCTAGGCGAACAAGGCCCCCCGGCCGCACCATGTCCTCCGAGTTGCGGGGGTAGTCATCGTCGTTGGTGAACTGCGCCAGCTCCGCCTCAAGCTGGCGGACTCGGCCCTGCAGCTTCACAACATACTGGCGGTTGATCTTCTTTCCTTTTGTCGTGTCGTAGTACTCGCATATGGAGCCGGACCGCTCGCACGGAAGGCAGCGTGGAAGCGTGGGGTCACATCTCGTCTTGCGCTGTTTGGCACGGCACCGGCGCACATACCGTTCTATGGGTCAGAAAATAGCCTTTGTGACATGAGCTTCCCCGGGATGGCTAACAAGGCCGGAGACGAGAGGGAGATGGATAGAACAGAGAGCAGGGGATCGGGGGAGCACACCTGTCGGCAACGGCAACAAGCCGTCAGGGTGTGCGCGATGCGCTGCGAGGGGCTGTTGCCGTCCGAGTCGTCGCGATTGTGCTGGCGGGCACGGGCGGGCGAGGTAGCGGGGCCGGGGCCGGGGGCGTGATACTGGAATTGCTGGGGCACCGGCGGACGTTGGAACTGGGGGTGGAATTGCTGGTTCGGGTGCGTGTGTTGCTGCGGCGGGCGCGGCATCATGGAGCCGATGCCTTGCCGGAAGATGGCGGTGGCCTCCATCTGGTGCTGTCGGGCAGACGCCACCCCTTGCGCTTTGGTCGCCGTGTTGCGCGCTCCTCCGTCCCTGCTCCTGTTGCTTGCTCTTCCTCGGATCGGGCTTTGTCGCCGGGCGTGGGCTGGGCGGGCTACGGGTTTGCTGAGCGGTGACGGGGCCGGATTCTCTCTGGCGCCCGGGCAGCCACTTGGTAGTGGGTTCGGTGGTGTATCACTTGTACGCCAGGCCGGGCAAGCCGATGCTGATGCTGTGCGACCGAACGCTGGTGTTGTACCGTGTCGTGTAGTGTTTTGTCTAGTAAGCAAGCCGAGGCGAACGAGGCGGGCCTTTCGTGTTTTCCTCTCCTAGTCAGGGCGAAAGACAGCAACCCGGGCGATGGGCAGGCGATGGGGCGCAAAGATGTGTGCGCGGTTTGGAGGCTGTGTGGGTGCCGTCTACTGTGTAGAGCCTCAACTGGGCGGGCTGCGCAGGAGCAAGGGGTTCTCTGGGTTGCTGCAGGCCAAAGTTGCAAGCAGCATCAGATCGAATTTGCGAGGCATGCGACAGCGTTCGTGTGCAGCATTGAATTGGTCCTTCTTGGGCGCGCCGTGGCCTAGGCCGATGTCGTGGATGTGGGGTCCAGCCCCGTTCGCCCGCGTTTATCATGCGAGGCAGGAGCAGAGCACAGGGCGAGTCGTGAACTTCTTCGAGCCCTCCCTTCCTGGAGCGGCAAAAGTTGGTCGCATTTGCCCTGGCGCTGTCCGGCGGAGGCTGCAGCCAGCTTTCTCCGCACCAGAACAATTTGACCCGCACAGCGCACCGTGCCAGCTTCTTTCGGGGTGCGTGGCTGGGCGCATGGTGGGGGACGAGCACTAGGGTGTCGCAACCGGGGCGCAAAGGAGCGGCACATGCACTAACGCGGCACCCATTAGTGTAATTGAATTTGGATGACACCAGTCTCTAGGCTTTTGGCCACGTCCCGATGGCCATCCAACTTTCGCAAAGCATTTCCATGGCAGATTTTTTTCCTGCTTTGCAGATGTTCACACATGGACACCCCCTATTTAGGGAAGTAGGTGGTTACCTACAGGTAATCATCCGGTCCATCTCATCAGCCTGTTGTCCCTTGGATAACTGCCCAACTGCCCTGAGCATCTTCATTATCCCGCGAGTTGCATGGGCGGAGTTGCAGGACCTTGGTACTGCATGTGCTGTGGTACGCGTGCCTCTGAGAGGGGCTCTGGGTCGGTCCGCACTAGCGGTTGGCCAAGGGTTCAAGAGGTCAAAGCAGAGATGATCGGCAGTCTGCGACACTTCGCCGCCTCGTCTAGCGCTCCATTCTTAGAAACGGTTTTTAATCGTGGGGAACGAATCGCGGCCTGATCTATTTGCATGCCCAAAGAGGCCGGGTTTAGCCAGGGGCAGAGTGTTCGCACCAAGTCGAGTGATGCCACGACTATGAACCTAACACGAGAAATTGTCAAATTGTAAACCTCAAATCCAGGCCTCCGCACGCGGAATGCCCCATTAGACCGTAGCTTGCCAGCTAGAGGTGCCAATCAGAGCTGAGAGTAGGAACCTGGCAGTTTTGTGCCATAGGAAAATTGTATTGGGCACAACTTGTGCAGTAATATGCAGACACCCGGACACCTATAACTTTCCACGGTCAGTCTTTATCCTTGTTATTTACATACAACCTGCCTATGCATATCCCGCGGACTTGGGCATTGAAGCGACCAAAGGAGGCGATACGAGGTGTGATGGCTGACATTGGTAATAAAAAAAATGGGGCAAAAATACGTGAAGGCTCTCATCACAATACACCAATCGTTGAACTCTTGGTCACATTCGATGGCATCATCGAGGTGCATCAGCCAAGGCTGTGTAATCCTGACAGCCTTTGTCTGATTCTGCAGACAAAGACAACAAAGGAGGATTGTCCAGGCGGCAGCACGTGGCGTTTAGCAAAGGAACCATCTGGGGAGTCGGGGCCATGAGGAGCAAATCCAACATGCCGCCCGTTGGTTCCAGCCGAGCACGTCGACCACACGCCATTACTGGACTGATCATCACAGCCCGAAGCAGGCGTAGCCTGTCCCCGCCCAAGCAGCTGGCCACGTGCTGCGAGTCGGGGGCTAAATCGAGAGTGCTGGGGCCTGGCCAGCCCGGGTCGAAGGCTGCCAAGCGCGGCGACTTTTCTGACACGCCAAACCAAAACCCCTTCTCTGGATCGTCGAGGACAAGTCAATTGAGGCCAAATACATGCCAGCGGTACGTGCCAGTGGTACCTACGGTGCCCGCGGCTACCCCACCCATTGCAACCACACATGCTGCCTGGACCCCTCGCTGCCTGACCAGCTCCTTAGGTAATCTGACTGTGCGTGTGATCGGGGAGGTGATGCCGTCTGGCCGCCCCGTCTACGCCCCGTCGCCCTGTCCACCCAAACCTGAGCCTCCCTCGCGCCTCGCAACCTGCCCGTGATTGAGCCTGATTGTGCGCGAACCAGCTGGTCCCCAATATTGAAACCCACCACTTGCCTGCCTGCTGCTTGCCGCTGCCCGCCCGCCTGTGCCGCACTACCCCTCAGCTCCCTCCGATCCATCTTATCCCTAGTCTTATCCCTAGTCTTTGTGGCCTGTCCGCCGTCTGAGAAGTTGGCAGCCAAGCGTCACGAGAGATTACAGGAGACGGACGTGAGAGCGAGCGACGCGAATCTACCGCAGCTCCGCGAAGCCAGATTGGCCGTCAGCCGCATCGCCTTTCTCGTCATCGACATCCCCACCCTCACTCAGCAGCCTCTCCTCCAACAGCCGCGTCTTTACTTGAATCTCAGCTCAGTTAGGCGACAGTAGCGCCCCCGTTTTCTCGGGTGTGCTTCGCTATAGTCCACCGGTAACCCGCCACCCCGGGCAGCCGCCCCAGCCGAATCGCCACGCTGGCGCCTCCAAGACAAGGGGCCAGGGGCGCAATGCCCCGGTCCAGTTTTGCAGAGAACCCGTTGCTGAGAGTATCCAGGCCTGTCTCGGCCTGCTCAAGATGTCAGTGTTGGTTCCTGCCCGTTCGTTTTCTGCGTGCCGCCGACTGACTCCTTGTTCCACAGGTCGCTCTGCAAAAGTCAAGGTGGATACTCCCCCTTGCCCAGCTCTAACCCAGCTCTGACGGTGGCGATATATGCCCACCGGCGATGCATGCAGCTGCTGACCCCGCGCTTGTCTGACTGCCGGCCGACTTTAGTGTGATGGGAAGCTCCCGGCATGCACCGCCTGTGAGAAGGCCGGCCGTGAGAACGAGTGCTCTGCTGCCAACGACCAGTTCGCCCGTGGCAAGGAGCGAAGGTATGTTGCCACCTTCGTCCTCCTCGGAGAGACAAGCGCACCTTCGGCTAACAGCCACCCACCAGCTATGTCGCCGCCCTGGAACTTCGTGTTGAGAAACTCGAGAGGCGTCTCAAGTTTGCCAAGTCCAGGAAGGCGTCCATGGCTCTGCACGACATGGACCTTCCGCCCTCAGCTGCCGACCGCAAGGACTCGCTGGCCAACATCCAGGCCGCCATGTACCGCAAGGCTGCCCGGCATCGTGAGAACTCGGACGTCAACGCCCTGGTGTCTGATTTTGGCTTTCTGTCGGTGAACGCAACCACGCAGGACTTTGAGCCTTCAGTCAGCAACATGACCTTTGCTCGCCTCCTGCTCGCTGCTGCCATCATGGATCCGCTCCCTGAGCCCATGTCGGAAGGACCCCCACCTCGGCAAGTTGCCGAGATGCTCGTCAAGTACTACCTCACGCACATCTACTCCCTCTACCCCTTCTTTGCCGATTTTAGCGTGCATTCGAGCCTGGACAATCTCTATCAGGACGGGCGCCGACTGGCCAAGCACCCAGACTGCTGGCTCCTGTACATGATCTTTGCCATTGCTTCAGCCGCTCAAAGCCGCACCCTCCATGACGACTTCTACCGCAACGGCGTCGAGTTCGTGGGACAGGCCATGAGATTCGCCGACCGAGCCTTGATGCCGGGCAAGGAGACCCAGATTCGCTCCCTGATCCTCCTCACACAGTACTCCATGTTTGACCCAGCGCATTTCGACAGCTGGCACCTGATCGGCTTCACTGCCCGCGCCATCGTCGACCTCGGCTTCCATCAAGACCCCCCTGCGACAGAGCCCATGGACAAGGACAAACTGAACCTGCGCCGCAAGATATTCTACTCGGTCTACGCCCTTGACAGGTACGTCGAGCTCTGAGGGTAGACATGGCACGTGCGCGCCGCTCAGACTTGTCTTTTATTGACGCCGCCTTGTTGTCAGGTCCATCGGTATGGTGAATGCCAGGGCATTCTCCTTCACCGACGACGCCATCAATGTCGCCTTGCCTAGAATGACGGGTCTGGGTAGGATCCCCTCGATTTCGGGACCCATCACAGGTCCGCAGTCGGCCGACCCGGCCATCTTGCTATTCCAGCTGCGCCAGACGCAGTCACACTGGTACCAGACCCTGGTGCAGTCGGATCCTTCCGAGCCGCTCCAGGACGCGCAATCGTACATCTGGCAAATGTGCCACGAGATGCGCGAGTGGTTCGAATCACTACCTGACATGCTACCAACCGACATCCGATGCATCTTCGACCTCGAGCTCAAGTACAGCTACGTCTATTGCATTGCACCCAGTAGCCGGGCGCCTATCCTCACTGCGCACGGAACGGTGCTCATATTCGAGTACGCCATTGCGTATATGGAGGCACTCCACGCCCTCGTAGTTCAGGCACCATCCGGCGGGGCTATCCAGCAGCAGCAGCAGCAGCAGCAGAAATCTCAGAGACGCGTCCCTTGCCCGCTCCTGACCTATGACCAGGCACTGAGAGCGTACTTCATGGCATCGCAGTTTCTAGCCGTTATGCACGATACCAAAGACACCCTACTCGCAGGCTCCTCGGTACCTGTCCCAATTCTAACTCCCGGTACTGCCCCACCTCCCCCTATGCCCGAGAGGCGCGGTGGTGACAACACAGAGCGCAGCCTCGCGTGCCTGGATAGTGGGGTCGCAATTCTCAAGACTCTTGGCGAGCGCTGGGCGATTGCTGCTGTGCTAGGTGCAGACTTTGAGGCCAGGAGCTCCGAGCTTCGCGAGGAGCTGAAGGAGCGGAAGGCGGCAAAAGACGCCGCCAGGCTGGAGCAGCAACAGCAACAGCAGTCACCGCCACCGCACCAGCAGTTGCAGCAACATCAGCAGTCTCCGCACCAGCAGTTACAACAGCGACAACAGTCTCCGCATCAGCAGTCGCCTCACCAGCAGCTGCAACAGCGGCAGCAGTCGCCGCACCAGCAACTACAACAACATCAGCGGTCGCCGCGGCCACAGCAACACCTTCAGCAGCAACACCAGCAGTCGCCACCGCCGCAGATGCGTGTCAACATGGCCTCTCATGCAACACCTCAACCCCACCTTGAGCAACAGTATCAATCTCTTCACCAATCCATGGTATCTGGACCTCCCCCTGGCCATTATCAACCTCAGACCTCGATGCCGCCGTCGGATAGCATGTCGCAGCCGCCTCCCCAAAATGGCGCGCAGCCCTTCTCATCTCCTGTTCCCGGTGTTCAACCCCTGCTCAGAAGCCCAGCGTTTGCCGTCCAGGTACCCCAGGCGCCGCTGCAGCAACAGCCGTTGCCGCCGCTGCCACCCACCCGGGGGCAGCCGCAGCAGCATCTTCCTGTGACAATAGTGCCTTCGTATTCGTCAGCGGATATTCAGTGGGCAAATGTCGACATCAACGAGATGATGCGCCAGGGTGGCATCTGAGATGTAAAGGACTGTCGCCGTCCAACCCAGTTTTGTCTTGTTTCTTGTGCTGTAGAAACTATGTGCTTTGTATTTGAGCTAGCCTAAGCGATCTCTACCTTTTTGTTTCTTTTATTTCCACTACTGAGATATGTATTGTGCAATTTTACATTATCTTGGGCCCTTCTTCTGGCTGATTCGGAGGTAGGATATCGTCACCTATAATTTCTGTTGGACATGCAGCGTGGACAAGAGGCGAGGCTGCGTGATGGTCAACTCTCCTAATAATATTTAAAGACGGTAATGTGCATGCAAGACATGAGGTGATGTTCAATATGAAAGATTCAACTATCTGCAAAAAAAGGCAAGTCGGCGCGGTGCCCACGGGGAGTAAAACAGCCTTCCACCCACGCCAACACCAGGGCGGCGCGTAATCCAGACACGGTCGAAAGAAATATGTACAGATCGAAAAGAAAGCTACTTGACATTCCCATGTATTCCATTTTGGCCTCTTATGCAAAAGAAAAGAAAACGCGTAGCCCACACCGGTTAGCAGCAGGGGAGGGGGCTCAGTTCGCTTGTCAGACAGGCCAGACAAGTTTTTTTTTTTTTACAGGCACTGCGAGTACCAGTTGTTGGCCTTGGTGCACGTGTAAGGGCTGACGCAGACGGTGGGGCCGTTCCAGTCGTTGCCGCCGCACTGGCCGTAGCGGGGGACGGTGCCGGGGTTGGTGCCCGTGTTGGTGGGCTGGGGCGGGTTGGTGGTGGCGGTGCCGCTGGGCTCGGGCTGCGCGCCGCCGCTCGAGAAGGTGGAGCCGATGGGGCCGAACTTGATGTTGGAGTAGATGACGGTCGAGCCGGGCACGTCGCGCTCCAGGTCGGCGGGCTTGCCGCTCGTGGTCGAGCACGAGCCGCGGGCGGCCCCCGGGCCGGTGCGGTCGACGGGGTAGGTCGAGTCGAGCCACAGCATGTTTGAGTTGTGGTCGGCCCAGAGCGAGAGCACGAGCACCATGCCCTTCTCGAGCGCCTTGCCCATCTGCACGAGCCCGCCCTTCTCCTTGTGGACGTTGGGGTCGCCGAACGCCACCTTTTGCTTGTCGCACCAGTCCTGGGTGATGGAGTTGCCGGGCAGGCCCGCGACGGTGGACTGCGAGTTGGGGATGACCTTGCCGCCCTGGACGTAGAAGCGCTTGATCTCGCTCAGCTGGCCGGCCGAGTTCTTGATGAACTGCGTCACGACCGTCACCTTCTTGGTCGAGTCGACCGTGTTGGAGGCGCCGCGGCCGTAAAAGGACGTGTTGCCCTGGCGGTAGCTGTTGAAGTCGCAGCCGTCCGGGTCGCAGTCGCCGGCGTAGCGCGTCTGCGAGTAGGTGCCGCCGCAGGCGTCGCCCGAGCACGAGTGCTGCGCGTTGTTCGCGCACGGGTGAGGGGTGTAGGCCGTCGACATGCTGTTGGCCTCCCAGATGTCCATCTCGGCGCAGCACGAGCCGACGGTGCCGACGCCCGAGTTGGCGTCGCCGTCGGACGGCTTCCAGCCCTCGATGTTGGCCTGGGGAGGGGGTTTCTTGTCAGCGGGGGACTGTGACTATCACGGGAGGAAAGCCCACCGCGTTCAGACAAAACTTACAGCTCCGTTGATGTACTTGAGATCACGCGGGCACTGCGAGTCGCAGTAACCCGTTCCGTACTTGGCTCCGGCCTTGTTGCCCGGGTACTTGGAGGCACCACCCTATTCATGCCGGCAAGTTATGTGGTTAGCAACACGGAATCGTCTCGGGGGAACCGCGCAGAACCAAGGACTCACGTCGGCATCCATGGACACAAAGTAGACGGCGCCGTTCAGACCGCAGCCGAGCTGGGCAGCATCGACATCGAAAGTGAACTCGTTGCCGAGCAAGTTGAACATCTGGTACTTGCTCTCCGACTCCATGAGGTAGAGGCGGGACCCGACGTTCTTGCCGCTGCCGCCCTGGGTGACGAACTTGAGCGACAGGGCATTGCCGCTCGTGACGGCACCGTACGTGGATGCGTAGCTGGCGCCATCGACTGTTCATCGGGTTTTCGTCGTCAGCAACCGGAGGAGAATGTACACAGGCCTCACGACCTAGAGGGGGAGGGCAGCAGACAAAACTCACCACAGCACTTGGCCGCGCAGTCGGCGTTGGTGGAGCAGATGGAGCTGTCCCACTTGTTGCCCGTGTAGCAGTTCGTCGATCCCGAGACGGCGTGCGTCCACCGCCAGTTCGCGTCGATGGTGACGGACCCGGCCACGTTGCTGCAGCCGCCCGACGTGCACTTTGACCACTGGAGGTTGGGGTGGGTCTCAGCCGTGAGTGAGCATACCGCCTGGCCCCGGACGGCGGTCACGAGGGCGGCGAGGGTTGCGATCTTGCGAAGCATCTTGAGGGAATGAGCTGGCCAGGGAAGGTCGGGGCTTACTGACGAGTGGAGGCGTGGGTGGGAGGTGCATCTCAAGTCAGTCAGGGCTGAACTAGGGGCGCGCCAGGGTTTTATACATGTCCACCGCGGCGGACGAGGCCGGCAGCCTCCTCCAGGCTCGAGCATGACGCCTGCCTTCATCTGCCAAGCTCGGGTCGCGCTAAGAGGGTGAGCTTCCCGACGAGCCCGGCTGTCGGGGCAAATCCCCATCGACCTTGGACAAACAGGCAAGGGCCACGGCTTGCGGGCCGCCCACGACCTGTGTGGGCTGTCACGAGAGCCCAGCCAAAGGGCAAGACATGCGAGCGACAGCGGCGGGGACACGGGGCTTCTGAGCCCATTCCGGAACCATGGGTGCCATGCGCCGAGAGAGACCACACACGGTCACCGGCGCCACCTTGAACAGCGCTTTAGTGGGCACGGTGTTGTCGTCTTCTTTTGTTACCCCCTCCCTCTTTGTTTCGACGGCCAAGGTTTTGCCCGGTGCATAACGTGCGGGGATGATCGACAAAGGGGAAAAAAGCGTCCCAGAGGCGCTGCCCAGGAGAAGGGGTCCAGCGGATAGTGAGCTTATTGTTGCCATGTCCGCCTGCTCAGTCCGCCCTACCCAACCTACACTCCAGTCGGCCAGCGGGCTCAGGAGCACGATCAAGGATCGAGGACCAAGACACTAGCAGCCGGCGACATGTACCCCTGTCTCAGGTAGACGAGCCCGTCGTCGCGCGGCGTGGCGGCTGCGGATTCTCGTTGATGTTTTCCAGCGCATCGCAAAAGTCGCTGCAAAAGAAAGCACAGCCGCCTCCCAGAACAGCAACTTGGGGACAGTCCCGGTGGATCCCAGGGTTCGACCTTGGCCAATGGAGATTGTGGAGGTGGACCTAGACCCCACACCTAAATGAAGCTGCCGGCACTAGCGGCTTCCCCTCCTGGCGATTGGAGGCTTTTAGAGGGAATCGCGGAGCCCACGTACCGAATCCCACTGTGAAAATCCCACCGTGCCGTCACACCAAAGCGGCAACCCCAGCCTGGTGACTGCTCCGTCAGGAGAACCGGCCAGGCTGCTGTGTCTGCTTGTGACATCGGCTCACTGGACGGGGTCTGTAGAGGCTAGCCCGGGAAGACTCGACCCTCGCGAGTCTTGGTCTCCTCCTCCTCCTTTCGCCCACCGGCGTATGCACCTGCTATGCCCTCATTTTCTCCGCCGCAGCCTCTCCAGCCGCCAGTCTCTCGCTTGGCATAAACCATCGGCCCATGGCTTGCCTGCCTGCAGCTGCCACGCGTCGGCCTCGCCATGCGTGAGCAGGTGGTGTCAGGGCAGCCACCCGACATCCGAGCTAGCGAGCCAGGAGCAGCCGCCAATCTCCTCGACCACGGACTGCTCTGCCCCATGGGGTGGGATCGCGTGGGCGACGCGGCGCAGCTTCCCCGCATCGACCCCAAGGGCAGGGGTGACCTGGCCCGGACGCTCTGCTTCCCCGTGCCGAGTGCGGAAAGGGCGCGCGCCACTCTATCAAGTTTTGATGCCACGCCTGAGATCCCCACCCCCCCTTCCGGGCCTCCTCGCAGGTGGCTCCAACACGCCGCTTGACCCCATCAAAAGGCCTCACGGCTGAGCCCCCCAGCAGATCGCTTCCGGCATTGAGGACTCGCGGGCCGAAAGGTTGGTCGTCCCGCTGGATACTGGACATCTGCCTCCACCGGGGGCTCCATTCGCAGCATGTTCGGATGCGGGTCAGCAAGCGCCGCTCGCCCACGCTCCGAAGAAGACAGCTCTGTCTTTTTTGCCCGGCGATTTCCGTCGGGCGAGTACAATGGTCCATGGTATTAGTCGCGACATGGACTCTTCACCGATCTGCACAGCCGATCTCGGCAAGGCGCAAGGCTTTGCTTGCTTGTCACGACTTAGCACATATACACGCTCGCTCAATATTAAAGAGAACCAGAGCGGGAGCAACCGATCCCGTTGATAGACGAGTTACAACCTCCTGTTGCACCATATAGTGTACGGGCCGAGCGCTGCACCGCCGAGGCGACACATTGGGGAGCTTGACAGCCCGTCTACCAGGCGCTGGCTAATATGTCCTATATTGCTGTCACTTTGGTTTGCCCTCCACGCTGATCCTCAGACTACTTCCCCAATGACAGATGCGGGGAATTTGGAGGCGCAACATTCATGCGCGCCAAGGGCGTGCGGACCGTATGATGTCAATAATAGCATGCAGTACGGAATAGCTGTTTGCAAATACTCCGTTCTTGGCCTGGCGTTCCTACTTCCAGGTCCTATCTTCGGGAATGGTGTTCAAGATGCCAGGAACCATGCGGGCCATGTCGGGTACCCATCTCGCTTGTTTTTCGGGCCTTAATCCGGTGCCTGAAGGCACCCTCGGCACCCATTCGATGCGACCACCGTGGGTATCACTTCGCATAAGCACGCAGCCGGAAGCGACAGCAGATGATCCGAAGCTTGGTGCGAGCATTTTTGAGCTGTTTGTACTCTTAATTCTCCTCAAACTAGCCCATTCCTGGCCCTCATACCTCAACCGTTTCCATTCTGGCACCCAGATTTATATCCCACAAGCCAGTCGGGTCCCAGCTGCTTCTCCTGACAGCGATTCCTTCTTTCCACACCCATTTCATCCCAGGATCGTTGCGGCTCTTCTGTTACTATATCAACAAGGGGACTAGCGTCGCTCCCTGAGCCCCCACTGCCTGCTACACCCGACACATGGCTTCCAAGAGTCCACAATGCGAGCTTGGTTTGCGGAAAGCATGTCTTCTCTGCAAACTAATAGAAAGGAGACAAGTTATTTTAAGCTATCATCAGTCTTCCAGTTGTACCTGCTCTATTATGCTCAAATTCCCTTGGTGAAAACTTGGTGAAAGTTCATTTTTTCCCCTGAGTACCAAATCAAAATCATACGTACGAGCAGAATGTTCCGCCTATTTCTAGGAGTGAAGCATGTTTCACAACGTAGGCCGGATCTCTCGCCATGCTGTGGTTAGACGAGATGAATTGCCGCGCCGCCGGGGTCCGGAGAGAGGTACACAGGCATCGGCTTCGGGTACGTTCTAAGCTGGCAACAAAGGCATTCTTCTATCCCAAATCATCTACAGTGAAAAGTTTTGGTGAATGATTGCAATAGCAGCACTTCGGGACAAAGACCAGATATTGAGTGCGTCGTGCTACCCAGTGTCTTTGTTGTAAATTACAACAATGCAAAAGTATCCAGCTGAGAAGCAAAGAAGCAAAGAACAGCTTGTAGATAAACCCAGAATCCAACCCAATTTTGTGACTTGTCATAAACGAGCTCCAACTTACTCCAACTTAACGAGCTCAAGGAGACATCCATCAGCCTACCACCTCCAATCTCTATCCAAAGGCCAACCTCGCAACAAAAAACCATGTCTCTTCGCAAGCTCGCCATCGCCACTCTCGCGGCCATCGCGGCACTGAAGACAACTGCCCTGCCGGTCGCTGGTGCGATAGAAGGTGGCCATAAGGGCGTCACTGAGCTCACTGACTTTTTGGTGCCTGATAGCATCACTGCCACCACCGTCGCGGCGCGGGACACGACTAGCTCCACCGCCCAGGGACCTGCCCCGGGCGTCAGCGGCATCGACATAGTCGTAATCGTCCTGGCCGTCTGCGGCCTCATCGCCGCCGTATTCGTGTTCGTCTACACCAACTTTTGCGACACGTGCTTTTGCGACACGTGCTGCGTGAAGAAGCGGATTGGGCGGGAGGCGGAGGAGGCGAGGAAGGAAAGAGAGCGCGTCAGGGAGGTGGAAAGGAGCATGGCCCAACGGTACGGGTACGGGTTCGTGGACGTCGAGCTCGGCCCCATGCCTGAGCAGCCCATGTGCTCGCACCCGCCGCGCTACACCACGACCGACCCCGGCCAGCCTTGGGCGGGCCCGAGCTGAAAACGTGAGCGGTCTTTGTGTAGAGATTGGGGGCTGACAAGGCGTGGGGCCATTAATGTGAGTTGGCGTCGGCACGGTAAGCGAGATACCTAGGTACCTACGTGCCGAGCTCCGTGAGGCCGATTATTGTTCGGCAAAGTAGCTACCGAGCACTAATATACAGCCCGAGGGTCTCCTACCCTTGGCACGTTCTTTATTTTGGGGGTAAAGGTTTATCTAGTAGCTGAGTTATTTAATACACCTTTACCGCTAAGATAAAGAACGTGCCGAAGGTGGGAAACGGATAATAAAAACCCTTACGATAAGGAAAATCCAGCCGCGGCTATAAGATCGAATAGTAACAGGGAGTAAAAAAATGCCCGCAGCTGGCAGTTTACCTACTCGTTTATTATTTTGGTAAAACACTTGTTAACGTTATGAACCTTGTATTAAGTAAATTTCCAGCGTGTTTTATTACCTGGTAAGGATGTAAGTACATACTTACGCCGTTTAAAGCAAAAGTGGGAAGCGCTACCTTTAACCAGCAAATATTACGTACGGGATCCCTCGTTGCTGCGTTGTAAAGGTTTTAAACTTATATAATCTCGATTTCCACAGCGTTATAGTTAACCCAGCTCGCGATCACTTTTATCAAAGCATGTAACGTGGTGAGAATCGGTAGTCTGGAAAAAGGCATTGTATATCAAAAGGTCAGGCTGGAGGCCAGCCTAACGCGTTAAAGCTATTTAGTGGGGGCGGGCGCCCGTGCGGGGCCCTAATCAAGTAACGTGGAATCACGTAACCACACACGTAATCTCCCACGTAACCTCCCAAGTATCGATTTCTCGTTACGGCTTTAATGAACGTAACAAGTGCCGGCCCCTAAAAGGATTAGCGTCGTTTTTAACGTAAATACAAACGCTTGTTTTCGTATCCAATTTAACATTTTCGTTATCGTTGTCACGGTACGATCGCTTATAAGGACCTTGCATGGGTTGTAGCCCCAGCTACAACAACGTTCCTCTTTTGCTTTGGTGTAACGGGTACTACCTTGGTTTGGTCCCGTAACGACCGTACTTCCGTTTATATAATTATATTGGCCCATTGCTTTACAGCCGGGTGCAATTGTTAACGCTTAAAGCGGAGCGCCTTTTTTAATGCCGTTGGTTTTTTCAGTAAGCCCTTTTTGGTTGGGAAAGGCTTTCGTATTAATAAGCTTTTTTTTGGAAAAAAGCTAGCGCGGCTTGGAAATTTTCGTATTTTTGTACCGCTTTGCGTACGTGCTAAAATTTATTAGCCAATTTTTAAATGCTTTCGTATTCGAAATATTCTTTTTAAATAACGAAGTACTTTACGGTTTTTTTAATACCTTTTATTGCTAACCTTTTTAATTTTGTACGATTTTTTGCTTAAATTGCCGGAATTATCGAATTTATTTTTGGCAAGCGTATAAGTTATAAAGCTGGGCGACGGTAAAATATGGTGCTAAAAGTTGTTAAATTTGTATTTAATTAAGTGTTGGATTAAAATTATCAAGTAAATACGGTTACCGTTCTTCGATAAGTTAAGCTCGTACGTTAATAAAAACATTTTAATTTTAATAATAAAAGGGTTTTACCGCAATAATGCAATTTTGTTATTAGCCGTACCTTTTTGGAGTTTATAAGCAATGCTTATTTTTAGCCAAACCTTATCGCTAGTGCCACGGTGCACACTTAAATGTTACGGAAAAGGCTTTGTTATTGCACGAAAAGGAAGCTATTTGGACAAAGCGCCTTTAGCGCTTTATTGTAATTTTGTAAGCGTAGCGTTAGCGCGCTGGGAGTGCGGCTTTAAGTTCTTCCTTGGGTATTTTAACGCGTACCGTAATAATACCCCATTACAAAACCGCAATTATTCCAATTGCGTTAACGTAATGCCCCGCGTTAGTGTAGCGCTGCGTATACAGCCCCGTTTGTTTGGTAGCGTTTTTCCGCTTTTTGCGCACGAGCTTGCGGTATTTTGCTTACCGCTTTTTTAAAGCGGGGTTCCCGCGTTGCGTTAGCATTTTTTACCGTTCCTTTAATTTTTCTCCCGCTTTGCGTTACATTTATTTAACTTTTTCCTTTAACCATTATTACCATTTTTACCATTACGATTTTTTAATCCGCCGGTTTAACGCTATCGTTGCTTTGCGTTTTTATCGTCGTTTCGTTCCTTTTTCGCTTTTTTTTATTATACCAATTAACATTATAAACGCCCGCGAAATCCGCGCCGGCACGGTAACGCGCTATCCGTTTTGCGCCGTTATTTGCTTCCCAACGCTTTTGTTACAACCAACGGTTACGACTGACAGGACGACAGGCGGGCGGGAGCTAACAGCCCAGGACGAAGGGGCTACCCCGCACCGTTACGTAACAGGAAGGCGATACGCTTGATATTGAAGGTATTAAAAGTATTAACGATACTCGCGATATTTAAAGGACCGCAAGTATTAGCATTTAAGCAAAGCAAATGCATGTTTTAAAAGCAGGGTATAAAAAGGAAGGATGACTTTTAGCAAAAGCGTCGGTACGCTGCTAATTATAAGTATAAAAAGGAAAGGGTTTTTTTATTTTAAATAGTTTTTAATAAATGTACCACCATTAATTAATTTAAATTAGCTTTTAAATAACCCTTGAAGCAAGCATTTAAACCGCACCCAAATTATTTGTAAATTTTTTTAATTGTTAAATTACGTACTATTGCTTAGTACTTTTTAAATGCTTTACTTTAAAAGCAAAGGCTTAATTGTAACATTTTAACTAATTCTGTTTAGCATTAAATTGGTACCGAGCAATAGCGATAGCAACCGGTTTAAAGCTACCCCCGCTTCCAACGGACCCGGACAACGTATTTACGTACGAAAGGGTAAATTACAATATAAACGAGGTAGCAAGCATTAAAAAGGCTTTTATTGCTATAACCAATAACTTTGCCCATTTACGCTACCAAATTAGCATTTTTTAAATTGCAATTTCGGTTTACAAATTTTTTACGCTCGATAAATATAATGGGAAAAAAGGGATGCTTAAAACCTTTATAACCGAATGCCGTAAGTATTTCGCTTTTTATTAAAGTTAGTTTATTTAAAAAAGCCAAAAAGTCGCTTACGCAATTATTTGCTTTAACGGCAAAGTTAAGGAATAATTCGAACCCGTTTAAGCCAATTACTTTAAAAGGTACAACCGCAACCAAGCAAAAACCAAAATTATTTTTGCTAATTTTAATTGCTTTAAAAAAAAAGTAACCAGCGTTTTTGGTTAAATTAACGAAAAGCGAATGGCAAAACGAAAGCTTTTCCAATTCCAACAAAAAAGCGCAATTTCGATATACGTTGCTAAATTTTAACGCTTTATTAACAAATTCGATTGGATCGACCAAACCAAAATCGCTTACTTTTACGGAAAGCTACGTAATAACGTAAAAAACGAAGTTTTTAAAATGGAAAAGCCCAAATACTTTACCAATTACGTTATTACCGTAATAAAAACCAGCAACCGATTTTACGAGCGTTAGTTAAAAAAAAAGGCTAAAGGATTAAGCCAATAGTACAAAGCAATAAACCGTAGCAACGGTTCGACCGCAATAAAACTATAACTTATGGTTTTTACTTAAACCTTATGGATTTTAGCGCAAATGCTACGTATTAAGGAAATGGGAAACGCAAGTACCAAAACTTTAAAAACGGCAAATGCTTTAAGTACGGAAAGCCCGGGCATATTAAAAGGGATTGCCCCAAACAAATTAAATATAAAAAGCAAATTAAGTAAAAGGATAAGGTTTAATAAGCAACGGTTACTAAAAAGGTAACGCCCAAGCCGGAAAACAACGGTTGTTTTGGCCCTGCGTTTTCTTGGATTACGTGCAATAACGATAATTGCATTACGCATCGATTCGATAAAAACGCTATAAAATATTACCTTTGCAAACGGCTAGCAATAACCAAAAAGTTAAATACTTACAAAACCTTAACGTTCGACGAATTTGTGCACGCAACCGAATAAAACGGAATTTCGAACGCGTTAGTACGCGAACGAAACCCCGGCAACGGCATTATTTAAAACCGTTACGACCTTAAATTATAAATTAAAGCTAACGATATTTAATGGCCAATTTAAACGTTAAAAAATAACGAAAATAACGAGGAAAGCGTTAAACCCATTATATTGGAAATAATAAAAATCCTTTAAAACCCAAACTTTGCTTTTCCGCAACCCTTAACCGCCGATATTAAAGTTTTTATGTAACGCGGTAAATTGCAAGGACAGGTATTTATCGAAACGAGCGATTTTAACATAAGTAGCGAAAGAAAAGGGGGCATAAGCAATTTCTAACGCTACGCCCGCCGCATCCACGTTACGCGCGCTTACATACGCACCGCGTACCGCAAGCATTACTAAAAACAATACAATTTTAAGCGCAATTAAAATATGGATTTACGGAACTTTTGGATAAGCATTAAAAAATAATTTTAAAAAAAAAATCCTTAAATTTAAAATGCATTTATAACGCCGGAAATAATTAGCGTTGTTACAATTGCAATAATATTTTAACAATGTAAAAGCGCGAAAACTACGCAATTAGCCCCAACGCTATATTTGCATAAAAAAGGTTAAAGCAAACAAACAAAAAGGACCCAAAATTCTTTTTTGCTAAACCGGAACTAAATAAAAAAGTTTTTAAAAAAACGAAAAGGCTTGGATAAAGGCCTAAATTAACGCCGTTTTTTAAAACGTTACGTTATTAAAGGAAGCGTTTTATATATTGTCGTACCAAGCAACCCCGGCCGTTAATAACGTTAAAAAACTTATTAATTAGTTTAACAAATAATAATTGGTATTTTATTAAAGCTTAACCAAAAAACGAGCATACGGATAACCATAAGCAACGAAATTACGATAAAGCAATTTATACTTTAAAAACCATTTTAGCTTTGCGCTAGGTTATTAAAGCCATTTGTAATTATTTTGGGCTAAATGCCGGCATTATAATTACCCGGTTTATTTACGCAACAAATTTAAATACGATTTTTTTTTAAATATAAGGATAAAAAGCTAGGAAAAAGCTACGTTTAGCTTAGCAATTACCGGAATGAACCATTTGCATACGTTACGGCGAAATAACAATGTTTTTTTTTAGCCCAAGCTATTTTATGCTTTGCGTTATTAACACGTTCGAATGGACCAGGTACCGGTTTAAAAATTGCAAAATTTACATGCGCTAAAAGGTAAAAGCATAGCAATGGGGGTATCGGTACCTTTACCAGCCCGATAAGCTTAACGAAAAAAACGAAATTTTTTTTACCGATAAAAAAAAGTTAAAGGAAAAGCAATTTGGCCCTTCCCGTTTTTAAAAGCAAACCGTCGGATTTAAATTAAAAAATTAAAAAATCCATTTGTACCAAAGTTATAAAAAGGACTATAGCAAGTAATAAAAACCTTAGCAATTACAATTAATATTATAAAACGATATTTGCACATACAGGTTGTTAAAATTAATAAGTTATGTAAGGTGCTACCCTGCACTTACCCTGCACTTCCCCACGTTAATTAACACAAATTAAATTTGGAGGCCGAACGCGGAAATCGCTTTGGTAGCCGTGGGACGATTTTTAGCAATCCCTATACAAAATAATATTGCGGAAAATCGCGCGCGGCACCGCAACCCTTTAAAGGTAAAAACCCGCGGGATCGATATCGGTGGGTATATAAAAAAAAGCATTAAATTAGCACCCTTTCCCCGGAATAATACCTATTTCTAATAACCAACGTAAGCTTATTAGCATTATATTATAATGCTTGATAAGTTTGATTTTTGTAAACGTAACCTTATAAATTATTGTAATCGTGCTGCAAAGCCTTAATTTGAACCTTATATTTTAATAGGTTATAAGCCTGGGAAATCCAATGGTTTTAAACGATTAGAGGCTTATCGAAACCCAATTAATTAATTAACCACAGCGACCGAAAGCGCTGTAAGTTACCAATTAAAACCTGGGCGATCGTGCGTTGCAACGTGCGTTAAGCTTAAAATTGGAGCAATTAAGCTTAATTGCTAGCAGCCTTTTGGGCTTGTTAGTAAGCGCTGTGGAGCGTTAATACCACAAATTGCGGCGCTAAGCAAGCGCTTTATAAATACGCTGTGCAACCTTGCTGGGAAGCACTACGAGGGCTATTTGTGCGCTAAGGAGCGCTTTATAAATACGCTATTTTGGAACTTTATAAATAACTTGTTAAGGGATAAAAGTAACAATTACCTTGTGGAAAAGCTTATAAGCAAGCGGTATTGCAGGTAAAAGGAAGGGTTTGCATTACCTTGTAGTAACAATTCCCTTGTGGAAACCCGCGTTGCAAGCAGAAGGAGGGGTTTGCATTATTTTGTAATAACAATTCCTTTGTGGAAGCCCGCAAGCCGTAGCTTTATAATTTGAAAATAAGGATTTGCATTGCTAAAACTTATTTATTATTTAGTGGATATAAACATAAAACACCTTAATTTAAACCGGGTACCGTTGCGCAAATTGTTATGCAGCTTAATATATATATATATATATATTTATTTACCCCTTTCGAGCTATATAGCCCATGGGGAGCTTTACGGTTCGGGTTAGCTACTTAAAGGTAAAAACCGTGCTTCCAGCCGATAGTTATTTGGTATAAGGCTGGGTAAAAACTCTTTCCTTTTGAGGTTTTTGTAATTCCGCGTTTTTTTTGTAAGTAATGTGTTGGTAATGTGGTTTGCTTTTGCACCTTTTAACGGTTAGTAAAAAAGAAAAAAGTTAATGTTCGAAGCAAAATATTGTAGTCCGGTCGTAAGGTGGTTCGGCCGTTGCGTATAGGTCGGGTTATTAAGTGCACGTTTTCGTGAAATTTTTGGGCTTGCCCGTTGTTTTTTCCTTTTTTGTTCGTGCTTTACTTCCGGTTTTATTTCGTAGCTTCCGTTGCCTTTTTTCCTTACGGCTTTTTTTCCTAATCCGGCCAATAACCATTATTAGCAGCAGCAACAATAACAATAGCAGCAATAACCATAAGTTTTCCCTTTTCCGCTTTCGCAAGCTTGCAGCCTTTTTAACAATTTTCCAAATAATTTATTTTTTTTAGCGCATTTCCAATTTTTTTCCGATACTTTGCTCGGCGCTTACGCGTTTTTTACGCACCCGTTATAACTTTTAAAAAAAAATCCGGATTTAAAAAGCTTGCTTTGCTTTTTTTGGCGGTAGCAAGCAATTTGCACCGTTGCAAGGCCCGTTGCTTGTAAGTATTTTTTTCCGTATTCCCCGCGGCTTTGCGCTGACATTTTTAATATTTGTTGCGGCGCGTTAAATTGCACGATTTGCTTTAAAATAATGGTTCGTAAAATTAACTTGGACTGAATTTGCATGCAAAATTTTAATAAATTTTTTTGGCCGTTTTTTTAATTGCTTTATTTTGGATATACCGTTAATAAAATGTTTTGGTTTAAATTTTAAATTAAAAAATGCGTATATTGCTGCACGAAAAAATGGTTAATATATTTTCGCTTCCGGTAAAGGGGTATTTAAATCGGGTTAGCGTATGTTCGATGCTGCGGAAAAGCTTGTTTCCGTAAGCCGCGCTTTTAACGCCGAAAATAGCTTTACTAACCGCAAAAAAAATTACGCTTGGGCGTTTAATTTTTAAGCCAAAATTAAGGTTATAAGTTTTTTTGCATTTTCCGGACGGTTTTCGTCGTGTTTTTTCCGTTTTTGGTGCTTTGCTAATATTTTAAAACCCCGATAGGATTGGAAGGAATGGCTTTTCCAATACGAGCGTAACGCTTACGCTACGTTTAAAACCGTTTATAAAGCGTATTTGCCAAATAATACTTTTGCTTTTCCCCATTACCTTGCAAATAATCCAAATATTGTAACCCAACGCAATTTTGCTATTTTCGATATTTGTGCCGGAATCGTTTTTATGGTTAACATTTCGAACCATTTCTTTTAAAACGGTTGCATTAATGCATTTCCGGCTTTTTTTTAAAATTGTTTTAAAATTTTTACTTAAAGCATAGCCGCACGTTTGTTTAATTACATCCGTTTTCGTAACGATGCTATTGCTTTTTTTAATAGCGTTAAGCTTTATTCGAATTTGCGCAATTCCAATTTAAATAAGCCCAATTTCGATAAATTTTTGCAGGTTGGTAATAGCAACGATAACGATAATAGTGGTAATAAAGCTGGCAAAGTAAGCAATAACGAAAAGGAAGAGGTAGGTATAATTAACCTTGTTGGTAAATCGATTGGGTTCCAATTTATTAATACGGAAGCGGGCGGTTGTATGGGTTTAATTAAGGTAATTATTGCGGTAATTGCGGTTAAAAAAGAAATGGCGGCACCCGAAAAGGAAATTAAAAAAGTCGTTGCTTTTTTCCCCTTTTTTCCTTAAGTTCCCGGCGGCGACCCCGTTAGCTATAAAAGCGATATCGAAAACGTGTTTTACAACGGTTTCCCAAACGTGTAAAGGCTTTAACATTTTCCTTTACATCCCCGTTTTGTTTGCGGTTTGGAGTTTTTTATAATTTAGGTTTTTAAATTACCCGCTAAAACCTGCCTTTACGGGCTCGAATAAGTTTTTAATACTTGGGTACAAAAATAAAAGGTTGCGTTATTTTTGCTTGCTAATTCGTAATGGTTATTAATAGTTGGTAAAGTGTTTGGAAGGTTTTTTTAACGAAATTTAAAATGGGTTTAGCTTTTTGGGGCCGGGGTAATTACACCTTTTGTTTTCCTTTGAATTTGCCGCTTCGTTGCGGCGTTTTTCCTTTTAATGTTTTTTCCTTTTTTTTGGTTTATTTATCGATAATGCTGCTTAACAAAGCGTAATTAAAAAGCTGGCTTATGTTTATAACCCACCTGGTAATTGTTATTGCGTTACCGGGTTAATTTAGCAAGGATTTCGCCGCCCCTTTTACTTTTTAATGGAATTCCTTTTTTTGCTTCCGTAAGTTGGGGCAATGCAATAGCACGTGGGTTATAATTTTTAGCTTTTAACCGCATTAGCACAAAGTTGTTACGCTAGGAATTTTCCGGAACGTTAAATAACTTTTAAGTTTAAACCGTTTCGTTCGCAGCTAAATAAATAGCAAGCTTTGCGTTTTGTAAAAATTGCGGTAAAAGCTTAGCCTTTTTTCGTCGGGCTGCTTTTTATTAGCTTTGGCGCCGTTGCAAATCGTTATTTCGTAGCCGTTTTACTGTTTTTTCCATGCTTTTAATACCGCCGTTTTTAAATTTTCCTTTCCAATTTATTTTAGCGTTTCGCTCCGTTATTGGAATATTTGGGTAATTGCCGTTATAAGTTTTTTTTTTTTGCTTTTTAATTTTCGCTATATTTTTTTGCAAGCATTTTTAATTTTTCCGGCTAAACCGCTTTTCCGCAATTTTTTTTTCGAAATGGGCGATGTAACCGTTAAATTATAATTGGATTGGGGCAACGTGCGTTTCCGCTTCCAAAAATTGCTATAAAATGTTTTTGTAAATTCCGGTCGCCGTTTTTAAGCATTTGTTTTGCATTTTCGCCCAAATTTTAGCTATTTTTTTAAAGCGCTACAAAGTGTTATCGAATTTGTAATAAACCGGTATTGCGTATTCCAACGCCGCTTTTATTATAGTTAAAAATAAATATTTGGTTTTAGCAAATGTAAGTTTTTACGTTGTTACCGTTAAACGTGTAATGGATAGCGTTTGGGTTGCCATTTTTTTGTGCATTTTTTGGATATGCTAGGTTTACTTTAACTTAAAATTAATTTAAAACCCCAAAATTTGCATTTTTTTGCCCGTAGCTTTTGGTTTTACCGTAACCTTTCCGAAACGGAAAGGTAGCGTTAAAACGGGTTTTTTCCTTCTTATTAGCTAAATTAATTGGTATTTGCCCGGGTCGAACTTTACCCTAAATTTGGTAGCCCATTCCAAGCATACGTTATAAGCAATTTTAAACTTGCTAGCGGCGTTTGTTGCGTTGCGGTTAAAATTAATAAAATTAATGTTATTCGCAAAGCTTATTGCCGTTACTTTTTTTACTTCCCGCAATTTTTTGTACAAATTTGCCGTATAAATAATAAAAAGGATGGGCAAAATGGAAAACCTTTGCGGAACGCCGTACGGTACCCGGCTTTTTGCCGTATCCTTTCCGTTAAAATGCAATGTCGTTTTCCAATCGTTTAAAAAGCTCTTTAAAAGGTTTAGCATTTATTGTAAAAACCGAAGTTTTTTTATTTCGTTAAAAAAACGTACGTGCAAAACGGTATCGAAAGCGTTGCTTAAATTTAAAAACAAAAAGTTAATTATTGCTTTCGCGTTTTATGCCGTATTTATTACTTTCGTAAGCAAGCGCATGGCCGTTTTTGTAAATTTGCATTATCGGCTACCCATTTATTTATTGGAAAATAGCTAATACTTTTCCGCAACGTTTTTAATTCGAAACGCAAATTTTTTTTCCAATCCTTTTTTTATTATTTTTAGCAAAGCAATAGGCCGTTACGCTTTTAAAATGCTTGGGTTTTTATCGGGCTTTTAAAATATAATGGTGCGGAATTTCCGGAACTTTTTCGGAAAATATCCGCAATTTACGCATGCTGTAAAAACTTTTGTTAATGCTGCGAATAATGCTGGGCCCATTGTTAATAACCCCCCGGTAAGGATTTTTATTGGGCCCGGGGCTTTCCAAAATTTAATGCTTCGAAAGGTTTTTTTAACATCCTTTGCGGTAATTTCCCGGCGCATTTGCAAAAGGTAAAGGTTTAACTTAGGGTTTTCCAGAACGTTTAACGTTTTTATTATCGAAATTGGAAAAAACTTCCTTTTTAGCGCTGCCTTTTTTTCTTTCCTTATTACCGTTACCTTTTTGCCGGGTAATTTTAACGTTAAAAGCAAAAATGGGGAAAGTGGTTAGTAATTTTGATATTTCGCCCATTTGGTAATGGTTTATATTCTTTTGGCATTTTAATTTTTGCTTATTTCGTGCATTGCAATGCGCTACGTATACTTTTTCGCTATTTAAATAGCGCTTTTTTTTCGTTTGGTAACTTCCTTTATCCCGGCGTGGTTAATATTTATCCGGTTTGCTTTTTACGCCGTTTTTGCTTGGTATTTTTCGCGAAATAATTAAAAAAAAAATTGGTTTACCAATTATAACTTTTTATTTTTCTTTTTAGCTTTGGAATTGCAAAGTTGCGAATTTCGAATAAAGTTTTTATAATTTCGTTTACCTTTTTATTAATTGCTAAAAGTGTTGGTAAAAGTTTGGTACTTTTGTTAAACGGTTCGGAGATTTCCAAAGGTAATAAACAAAAATCTTTGTAATTTAGGGAAAGGTTTTATTATTGTGCATACGGAGGAAAAAATTTATTTTGCCAAAAAAAAGGCACAGGATTGCCCGTTATATGCGCAAGGACAATTACCCAAAAAGTGGTTCTTTGCTTTGCTTAAAGCAGATAATGTTGGCCCGTGCGGGATTTAAAAAATCCCGGAGCTTTTTGTAATAACCTTTTTTTCCGGATTGCACAAGTACAAAAGTACTATTCCAATACCGGCATTTTTTTTTTGTGCGCGGGCAACAGGTAAACCTTTCCAAACAAAAAAGGTTTAATCCGGAAATGCCGGAATTTCCGAAAGCCCCAATATATGGATTTTATAACAAAAAAAACGCCGGATTTGAAGATCCGAACTTTTACTTAATAAAAAAAAAGCTTATGCAAGTTATAAATAAGTGCAAAAGGAAAAAAAAATCGGGATATGCGCTTTAAAAAAGCATTTTTATGCTTTTAAAAGCATTGGGTTATTAATGCGAAAAACAATAAAAAAAAATAATGCAAATTTGGGTTTTGGCGCAATAAAAGGCTATTTAATAAATTGCTTTAATAAAAAATAATATTAGCAAATGCTTTTGTAATTTTTGGGGGTAAAATTTATGCTTATAACAAACATTTTTCCCATTTCGCTTGCAACCCGGTTAATTTGCACCGGTAAATTTCGTTTTTGATTTGCTTTTTTATTTTTCGGTGCTTGGCTTTTTTGCACCTTGTTGTTTTTAACATTTCGATTAAATAATTGTTACTTTCCGGATCGTTTTTGCAACCAAAATAGCAAATAAAAAAAAAAGTTCCGGTTACGGCCGGGCGCGCAAAAGTCGTTATTTCGAAAAGAAAAAAAATTCCGCGCCGGGCAACGATAAAAGTAAAATTGCTGGTTAAAGCAATTAAGCTAAAAAAAAACCGATTTCCCGCAAAATTTGGCCATGGATTTGTGTTAGGAGCACAAGCGAAACCGCCCGGCAAAAAAGGGGGAAAAGGGCGTTAGCAGCCAGCCGGGCACGGACCCTTTTGGTAACGTGCCGGCGAATTACCGGTATTGCGGCCAAAGCACAACGGCAAAGCCAAAAAATGGGATAAAACTTAAATTGCACGAAAGCGCTTAGAGCGCGGGGCATTTATAAAACCAACCCCGCGTGCTTTAAAAAGGCGCAAAAAAGGGGAAAGTTAAGGAAAAAACAATTTTGTAGCACGATAGCACCTTTAAAAAAAGAATTAAAAAGGTTTAACAAAAAAAACACCGCATCCGGCCCGTAATTTGGTAATTACCCGCCTTTGCATTATTTATTTTTAACATATTGTTCTTTCCTTTCCCGCCTTTTTTATTTAAAGAGCAAGCCCGGGTAATTACCGGAAAGGATCGAGCAAATTTGTAAAAAGCATTTGCAATTTTATACCGCTTACAATAACACCCAACGCCACGTCGAGCACGTTGGAAAAAGCCGTTGGCCTACCGGAACAAAATACTAAAAAAGCTTTGCAAATTTCCAACGATTTCGAAAACCTTTCCGTAAAAAAGCTGCAAAAAATAAACGATGCGTTGGAAATTTAAAGCAAACGCGCCCGTTTAATCCGGAAAATCCAAAATAAAGGGTTAAAGCACGCGCATAACGGTTTTAACAAAAATAAAAAAAACATTTTTAAGCAACGAAAAGGTTTTACGTAAAACAAAATTACTTTTAAATTATTAATGCTGAAAAAATTTGCAACGTAACAAAATATTGCTTACTATATTAGCAATTACAAATTTATTTTCGAAAGCAAAAAAGGGCGTTATAGTAAAAACCGTATAAAAGTTTAAATAATTTTTAATATTTTTAACCATTAACGGCGGGCATAATAAACAAAATACAAGCAAATATACCATACGAATATTTAATTACCGTTTATTTAAGCCGATTTTTTGCGGTAGCTCCAAACGGAATCGAAAAACCTTAATTTGCGGATGTAGCAAGCAATTAAAAAGCTTGCGGGAGATACCGTTATTAAGCAAAAAAAATACAAATTGTTTAAAGCATTCCGAATCCGTTAAAATTTAATAAAAAACGATTTCCCCGAATTAGCATTTGTTGCAGGCAGAAGGGATAGGCACGGATTAAGGCTATTCCGGTTAATATGCTTTAAGGAGGAAAGGATTTAAAGTGCAAGGTTCCGT